GCACAGGAGCCTGGTCTAAAATGTGCTCCAATTCATACTGACTTAATTTGAAAAATGCTGCAATTATTTTAAATTAGTAGAATAGATGCTGAGATAAATAAGTGTAAAAGGGAAAGTCCATAAAGTGAAACCCAAGATGTTCAAGATTAAAAACATCACACAGTACAAAAGTACATAATACATATTTTAAAGTTTGAAGGTTTAAGAGATTTGAGTCTTGTTTTTTTATATTGAGAGTTTCTGGTTTTAAATGTCATCATTAGTAAGATAATAAGTAATCTTTTATTTACATAGCGCTTGGGAAAGCCAAGAGCGCTTCAAAATTGTTTAGACTTCAGAGAGAAAAACAATCTCATTCACAATCTCTGTTGTTTTTAATTTGACTATAAGGTTGTTTTCCAGAACCAAGAGCACACACTGTACAGGGTCACTGGACTGCTGGAGTGGACACTGGACAGCGCAAAGCCCACCCAGCCACAGGTCACAGATCAAAGAGCAAAGGAAAATGCCACCTCCTTGCCCCTCCCCACGCCACTGCAGAACTGAGTGGGTGTGAGAGAGACCGGGGCCATGAAAGAGAGGTATCTGGAGACGTGATGGGTGGAGCGTCAGGTAGAGACCTAGAGGGAGTTGAAAGTGTGTCTACGTGGTTTACATCACCACAGTGTGACCTTTGAGACCTACAGGTGGTTCGTGGAGTCTGGAGAGACAACCCCAAAATTCATATACACACATACATACATACATACACTCACATTTACATATAGATACATGAAAAAGTAGAACATGAGAAAAAAGCATTTTAAAAGTTTACTCCAATGTAAACACATATTTTTAATTGTCTATCACTTGAATCTTTAGTTGAATCAGTATTTTTTGGGACCAGAAATGTTCATTTGAATTCTATATTGTCATGGACATAATTGACCTCTGTCCTGACACTTTTGATTTGTTGATTTTGTACTGTGTGAAGTAATTACATTGATTAGGATTACATCTGATAAAAACACAAATTAGAGAAGTAAACTGAATCACTGCGCTTGCCTTTTGTCTAAGGGACATTTGCAACAGCATGAATAGAAATTGTGTTCAAGTAGAATCAAAGTGACTTAACCATAGAGAGTAACTATTGCATAACAAGCTGTGTACAGGAACTGTGACACTGCACCATTGACCAGAAGTGCGTCGCAAATGACCTGATGTGCTTCAAGTGAAAAGACTGTATCTGGAGATCCGATGTCCAACTGGAGAGACCAAAACCATGGCTTGGACCCTTCTGATGTCCAAGATGACATCTCTCTATGACCTGACCTGATGATGACTGAGACTCACCCTCAGGGGACCTGAGGACCTGAGGACCTGAGAGAGAAAAACTGGGGAGTGATGTTTATATTATTGAAATCATACATTGATGAGTGCTAAATGAGAGAGATACTCATGATTCTTTCTTTTGTTTTTGTTTGTCCCTAGCTTCTGGACATCTGATGATCTATTGGACACAGACATTTGCAGAACAAGAACCAGCCAATGAAAACGTCTATTGCCGATGCTATTGCTACAACCAGAACCTGTGACCAAATGCAATATACATGTTAAGTATTCAGACAACTGACAGACAAAAACTTTGACTTTTTTAGTCTGGGAGACTGAGCAACTGTTAAAAACTTTGAAAATGATAAAGTATGAGTATTACACTTCAGCTCTTTCAGTTTCAACAGTTTCAAGGATTCAACAGTTTTCAAGGATTTCAGCAGTTTCAAGATTTCAAGAGTTTCAAGGACTTCAACAGTTTCAATGGACTTCAGCAGTTTTCAAGGACTTCAGCAGTTTCAAGGACTTCAGCAGTTTCAAGGACTTCAGTGTAATCATGCAACCTAATAGGGATTTTTCCTAATAGGGATTTTTCCATGTAAACCAGTATAATGCAACTTTCTTTAATAGGGATTTTATTTTTTTTGTTTGGTATATTTGTTTGTTTTTTTGCGGCATCATGGGTGTTTTTCCGGGGCAGGTGAAAATCCATTGATTTTGAGAATGTTAGTATTGTGTCTGTGAGGCAGAGGGTCAAAGGAGGGGATTTTGGATTGTAGGGTTTTTGGTCGTGTTTATTTGTATTTTGGTGGTTTTTTTTTTTGTGTTAAATTGCTGTTTTGTTACGGTTTTGTTTTTTTCTATTTTTGTCGTTGTTCTTTTGATTTTGTTTTTTTTTTTTGTTCCATTTGGTTTTTACTCTATGTATATCTTTTTTCTATTTTCTGTATTTTTCCTTGTTTTTTTTTCGTGTTTTTTTTTTTATTTTTTATTTATGTCTTATATTTTCTTTTTGTTATGGTGGAGGTTGTTACTGAGGGTCTTTGTTATTCGTTTTTTTTTATTTTTTTTGTTAATTTTTTTTGTTTGTTTATTTATTTTTTTTTTTTGTATTATTATTTTGTTTCTATCCATTGTGATTTTTCTGTTTGTTTAGTTTTGTTTATTTTTTTTGTATTTTTTTTGTATTTTTGTTTTATTTTCTTTATACTTTTTGATATCTTTGTTGTTTTTTTTTTTTTTTTTTTTTTGTGTTTGTTTTTTGTTTGCCGTCGTTGTTGTAAAGGGTTTTGTGGGCGCTTTTTTATTTATTTTGTCTTTTGGGTTTTTTTGTTTGTTTGTTTTTTGGACTTGTTTTATTTGTTGTATCTTTTTTTTTTTATTATTGTTTTTTTTTTTTTTGGTTGTTTTGTTTTTTTTATCGTTGTGGTCGATGGGTTTGTGTGGCCGTAGTGGTTGAGTGAGGTAGGTGGTTGTGTTAGGGGTGGTTAGGTTCGTAGGTTTGCAGAGCGAGTTTTTTATTATTGTTTTAAAGGGTTTTAAGGGAGCTAGAGTGCGCCGTAGACGTAGGGGGGTTGGAGTTGGGTGTTTTATTTATTTTTTTTTATTTTTCATCCTTCAATTTTTTCCGTTTTTTTTTTTATTTTAATTTTATTTTTTTGTTTTTTTTGTTTTTTTTTTTCGTTTTTTTTTTCGCTTTTTTTTTTTTTTTATTTTTTTTTTGGTTGTTCTTTTTCGTTTTTGTTTTTTCTTTTTTATTGTGTTGGTTTAATAAGAGTGTTTTGTGTTTTTTTTTCGAGTTTAAACATATGGCGAGAGAGATTGGGGGTTGGGGGGGGGGGGGGGTTATGGAGGTGGAGGGGGGGGGGGAGGGGCGAGAGGGCTAGGTTGGGGGGGAGAGGTTGCGGTTGGTATTTTGTGGTGTTTTTATCTTTTTGTTGTGTTGTGTTTTGTGTGTTTTTTGGGTGGGTTCGGGTTTGTTTGTATAATGTAGGTTGGGTGGGTTGTTGTGAGGATGTATTGGAGGTGGGAGGTTGGTTATGTTTGTATTTGGGTTGTTTTGTGGTGGCTGGTAGGTTTTTTGGCTTTTTTTTGTTTGTTTGTTTAGTAAATGAGTTTTTTATTGTGGTATTGTTTGAGTTTGTTTTCTTTTAATTTTGTTTTTTATGGGGTTTGGTTGTGTCTTGTATTTTTGGTTTGTTAGTTTTTGGTTACTTTACGGTTTTCTTGTTGTTTTTGGGTGTGTTTTTTTTGTTTAGTTGGTTTTCTTTGTGGGTTGTGGTGTGGTTTTCGTGTGATTGGGGTTTTTGCTTTTTTTTTGTTTTTTTTTTTTTTGGTTTTTAGTTTATCTTTTTTTAGAGGGGGATGGAGAGGCGGGCGGGAGATGGCGATATTTTTTGTTAAATTGAATGGGCACGATATTTTGCTTTTTTGTTTTTTAGTATTTTTTTTTTTTTTTTTTAAATTTTTTTTTTTGTTTCTTCTGTTGTGATTCAATATTTTTTCTTATTTTCTGTTATTTTTTTGTTTTCTCTTTTTTTAATACTTTTTTTTTTTTAATTTTTGTTTTTTTCTTTCTCTGTTTTTGTTTTTTTTTTTTTTTTTTTTTTTGTTTTTTTTTGTCTTTTTTTTCTATTTTTTTATGTTTTGTTCTTTTCTTTTTTTTGTTATTTTTTAATTTTTTTATTTTATGTTATTTTTTTTTTGTGTCTTAACAGTGGGTTTTTTGTTTTTTTATTTTTGCTATTTTTTGACGGCGTTTTTTGGTTATTTTTTCTTTTTACTGTTTTTTTACTTTCTGGTTTTTGTTTTGTCTTTTATTTTTTTTTGTTTTGTATTTAAAAACTATTGTTTTTTTCTTTTTTCTGTTTTTATTTTGGTTTTTGTTTTATTGGGGGGAAGTAAGCTTTTGTTTTTTGTTCTATTATATTTTCTTTTTTAAACCAGAGAATTTGACATGGGGAGGCTTGCTTTTCCTCGTGGGGCGGTAGCTTGTTTGCTGTGGGATACGGTTTGGTGTCTATTTCTTTATTTATTTTTTTGTATTTAAAGGGAGGAGGAGGATGGGGGTGGTTGGTGGTTTCGTAGATGACCTGGAAACGAGGGGTTGGGTTGGAACGTGGTGGTGTGGGAGGGGGGAGTGTTGTTCGGTGCAAGAGTGGTTTTTTTTTTTTGTGGTTTTTCTTCTTTGTGTTTTTTTTTTCTTGGGTGTTTTTTTTTATGGTTTTTTTATGGGTTGTTTTTTTTGTTTGTTTGTTGCGTGGTATTTTTATGTTTTGGTTTGTGTTTAATTGTGTTGTGATTATAATGTGTGTTGTTTTTTTAGTTGTTAGGTGGTTTTTTTTTGGTGTTAGTTATTTGTTTTTTTTTGTTGGCTTTGTTTTTTTGGTAATTATGTTTGTTTTTGTGTTCTATTTTTTTTTTTTTCTTGGTTCTTTTTGGGTATTTATTTTTTTCTTGTTTTTTGCTTTTGTGCTTTTTTTTTTCGCTACGGTCGAGGGATGGAGGGTGTTTGTGGTTAGGAGGTTGGGTTTTTTCTTTTTTTTTTTCGTGGTTTTATTTTTCTTTTTTGTTTTTTTTTTTGTTTTTCTTTTTTTGATTTTTTTTTTTGATTTTTTTCTTTTTTTTTGTAATTTTGTCCTTTTTATTTTTTTTTGTTTTTTTGCTGTGTTTTGGTGACCGTTGTTGGGATGACGGTGTTTGGGACTCTGATACGGGGTAGGGGTGTGGTGATGGGGGGGGGGGGCGGGGGGGGTGGGTTTTGGAGAGGTGAGCGGCGGGAGTGGGTGTTGGTGTGGGTGGGGGGGGAGGGGGGGGTGGGGGTGGGGGGGGGGGGGAGTGGGGTTGAGGTGGGGGGGGTTGGGGGGGGCGGGGAGGTTTGGTTGATGTCGTGGGGGGGGGGAGAGGGGGGTGTGGGGACGGGTGGGGGGGTTGGTGTGGTGTGAGTGGGTGGTGTGGAGGTGGAGGGGGGTGTTGGGTTTTTTGGTGGGATGTTGTTGTGTGGAGTTAGGGTTGGGGTGTGGTGGGACTGTTGGTTTTTGTGTGGTGTTTTTTTTTGTCTTTTTTTTTTTTTTTTTTGTTTTTGTTGTTTTCGGTTAGTCGCGAGAGTTTGGTGGGGGGGGTCGAATGTAGGTTGTTGGTGGGGGGTGGTGTTTGTGGGTGGTGGTTGTGGTTGTTGGGTATGGGGGGGGTGGGGGTGTGGGGGGTCGGGGTGGGGGGGGGGGTGGGAGACGGTAGGTGCGTTGGGTGGTGTGGGGAGGGGGAGGGGGGGTGGGGCGTGGGGGGGGTGTTTGGGGGGGGGGGGGGGTTGATGGGGGCGCGGGGTTGGGTTTGATTTGTGGAAGTTTTTGGTTTTGCTTTTTATTTTTTTGTTGTGTTTTTTGAATTGTTTTTTTCTATTGTTGTTCGTGGTTTAGTTGTTTTATCTGTTTTTTTTTTTGTTTTTTTTTTTTCGTATATGTTTGTGTTGTTTCTTTTTTTTTTTTTTTATTTATTTTTTTTTGGTTATTTTTTTTTTGTGATTCTGGTTTATTTTGGTTCTGTATTTTGGTTTGTTGATTTTTTTTTTGTTTTTGGTTATTTGTTTTTTTGTTGTGTTGTTTTTGTTATTTTTTTTGTAATAGTATTATTTTTTGGTTTTTTTTTCTTGTTTTTACTTTTTTTATGTCTTTTTTTTTATTTATTTTTTAATATTTTTAAAGAGATATGTTGTGAATTGTTGGTGGTGGTCTGCCGCTGCGGTTGATTGGGGGACCGGGAGATGCTGGCCGTGGGGGGTAGCGGGCTTTGGTGGGTGGAGGGGCGCGGACGTGGTTGTTTTTATATTTATTATTTTTTTTTTTTTTTCTTTTAAGTTTTTTTTTTGGTTTCTTTATTTTATTGTTGTTTCTTTTGTTTTTTTGTTTTCTTTTTTTTTTTTTTTTTAATTTATTTTCTTTTTTTTTGAATTTTTATTTATTTTATTTTTTTTTTCGTTTTTTTTTGTATTATTTGCTATTATATTATATTATATACCCACACACCCCCCCCCATATTTATTTTTTATTTTAGTGGATTTTTCTTTAGATGTGTTTGTATTTTCTTTTTTTAAAGTGGGTGGTTTTGCGTGACTGTGGTACGAGTGGTCCTGCCGGAGGTGGGTTTTTTTTGTGATGCGAAGACAGTTGCAAGTTCGCGTCCGTGGGTATCGGGTTTTTTTTTGGTGGTTTTTTTTTATTTGTTTGTTTGTTTGGGTCTTATTTAGTTTTGTTTACTATGTTGGTTGTCCCCCCCATTGTTTTTTTGTTTTGGTTTGGGTGTTTTCAACAGTTTCAAGGATTCAACAGTTTCAAGGACTTCAACAGTTTCAAGGACTTTCAACAGTTTCAAGGACTTCTACAGTTTCAAGGACTTCAGTGTAATCATGGCAACCTAATAGGGATTTTTCCATGTAAACCAGTATAATGCAACTTAATAGGGGTTTTTACATGTAAACCAGTATAATGCAACTTAATAGGGGTTTTTACATGTAAACCAGTATAATGCAACTTAATAGGGTTTTTTCCATGTAAACCAGTATAATGCAACTTAATAGGGATTTGTCCATGTAAACCAGTATAATGCAACTTAATAGGGATTTTTCCATGTAAACCAGTATAATGCAACTTAATAGGGATTTTACATTGTAAACCAGTATAATGCCACTTAATAGGGTTTTTTTTCATGTAAACCAGTATAATGCAACTTAATGGGGATTTTTCCATGTAAACCAGTATAATGCAACTTAATAGGGGTTTTTACATGTAAACCAGTATAATGCAACTTAATAGGGGTTTTTTACATGTAAACCAGTATAATGGAACTTAATAGGGTTTTTTACATGTAAACCAGTATAATGGAACTTAATAGGGGTTTTTCCATGTAAACCAGTATAATGCAACTTAATAGGGATTTTTCCATGTAAACCAGTATAATGCAACTTAATAGGGATTTTTCCATGTAAACCAGTATAATGCAACTTAATAGGGATTTTACATTGTAAACCAGTATAATGCCACTTAATAGGGTTTTTTTTCATGTAAACCAGTATAATGCAACTTAATGGGGATTTTTCCATGTAAACCAGTATAATGCAACTTAATAGGGGTTTTTACATGTAAACCAGTATAATGCAACTTAATAGGGGTTTTTTACATGTAAACCAGTATAATGGAACTTAATAGGGTTTTTTACATGTAAACCAGTATAATGGAACTTAATAGGGGTTTTTACATGTAAACCAGTATAATGGAACTTAATAGGGGTTTTTACATGTAAACCAGTATAATGCAACTTAATAGGGATTTTTACATGTAAACCAGTATAATGCAACTTAATGGGGATTTTTCCATGTAAACCAGTATAATGCAACTTAATAGGGGTTTTTACATGTAAACCAGTATAAAGGATAACAGTTTAAAGGATATCAGGAGCTTCAAATACTTCAGGAGTTTCAAAGATGTTTAAAGTATTTTAACAGTTTCAAGGATTTCAAGGATTTTTCAGCTAAATTCCACATTAGATCTGTTCCGCAGTCAATCGCAATGGCTTCAGCCATTGCAACGGTTTCTAGTTTGTATTGCACCTTTCACAGACCAGGATCTCAAAGCGATTATTCACATTAGAAAACATACGGGTGAAAATAATACAGACACAAGTCAGATTCAAAACACTAGTTTGTTTTGAGTTTGGAGTTCTGTATCCCTGTATTTTGTTATTTTTAAGTTTGTGTGTATTAAATCATGTATTTTTGGCACTCTTCATTGTACACACATTTCCAAACTAAAACCTGTCAAATTGACTGCCCTGTGAGTTGTAGTATTAATGAACTTTTCAGTTTTGCATGCATTGTGCTTTGTGACCAGGGCAGGTGGGTGATACAGAAAGTTGCACGGAGGAAACCCTGGTTCTGAATGATAACTGAGCTGGAGGACTTTCCGCCGCCTGGAGACAACTTCTTATCATAACTACATTATCTTTGCATGCAATCAGCAATCCATTGTGTTGCATTATTTTGGGGCCGCTGCAGCTCGGGGCGTGTTGAGAATGAAATTAAGCAGTTCTGCCATCGGATAGAATTAAGATGTTGCAACGTGGTGTACAAAAAGGGAGCGAAAAGAGCTAATGTATATTCAACGCTCGCGCTCATGTTTAATTTCACACATCTTGATTTCCATGAAAACGTAACAAGATTATGCGTGTCAAGTGGTGAACCGGCATATCTGTGAATAAATAATACGGAGGTTGCATCTCATGGACAACGCTGATTTAATCTTCCAGCCGTCACCATGTGATTGTCAATTTGGAGGAAACAGGACGGTTTTGTTTGTACTGTATGTTGCACTTCAGAACCTAAGGCCATATTAATTTACTGTCATAACTGCTTTTATTTGGGGCGACAGTAGCTCAGTTGGTAGAGCACTGGCCTTTGAGCCTGAAGGTCATGGGTTCAAGCCCACCATGGGACCTTCTCCACCGACTCCCACTGATGACTGCTGTTGTTGTGTCCTTGGGCAAGACACTTAACCCCACTTTGCCTGAAGCCCCCACTGAATAATCAAGGCCGTATCGTCACTGACAGAGCAGCCGTCCTCCTGTGGACTCACCACCTGCAGAGGATCAGTGAGGGGCTGGTGCTAAGTGAATTGGGTGCAGCTCTGACTGCCACCCCCCTGACCCAGAAATGGATGAAGGGGAAGAAGATGGATGGAACTGCTTTTATTTCATTTTTTTACAGACAGAAAGTTCTTTTTAGATCCTCCCCCACGCTGCACAGGTGCACTTTAGAATTGAATTAAAGTCTTATAGATGGATGGATGGATAGATGCTTTATTGATCCCCGTATAAGAGAAATTGAGGAGTCCAGTAGCAGCAAAAACACACTGACCCCTCCGACCACCACCAACCATGCACGCAAGTGTCTTGCCTTAGGACACAACAACAGTTGCATGGGCACTTTACAGCCGCCCCACTGTGGGACCTGGTGTTCCCAGAGGTCTCCTTGGCCCTGCCCTGCTCAGAAGTCAATAAAAGTTAGGCCTCTAAAATGTCATTGCTTCCAATGTCTCATGTCAAATCACAATATTTACATCTGTGTGCCTTCTTTTAGCTATGTTTGATTTACTTCTTAATCTAAGCAAAAGATTCTATGTTTTACCACTAGAGGGAAGTGCACTGCAGGGGGCCTAAAGGTTGTCCACACGACCAGTAACTACAATTTAAATCAAATCTACACATGTTTTACCATTTTGTCAGTATAAAATGCAGTTTGAAATTGGGGGTCCTGAGGGATTGCTCTAGACTGTGGGTTCCATTAGTCAGGTCTTAGTATTTTCTACATCTCTACTTCTACTAATTATTTTACATTTGTAAACGTGAAAAGCAAAGATAAGGGCCAAAGCATTGCATATTATATTCCCTTAAAAGCTGGGGTACCAAGCTATAAAACCACAAACATCAATAAATTACAATCTGTGAAACTATTTCCTTGCTCTTGAAAATAAGGTGAAAAAATAATAAGATAAAACAGCATGTTGTTGTCTAGTTTGTGTGACTCTTTCTGGGACAATGTATTGGAATATCTGGGAGTCTTTCTGGGAATTTGTATTGGGACATCTGAAACTGTAATGTAATATTAATTCAATACAAAGTGAGGTACTCCAGCTTTAAAATGAGATAAGATAACCAATATTCATCCCACATGTATTATTATTTTCTTGCATGGACAGGTTACTTTTCCCTTCAGTCCATGCACTTGAATAGAGAGCGAATGGCGTCTCCCGTGTTCCCTGGCGGATCACACCTCTTTGCAAGGTGCCCCAAAATTCACAAAAACTCAATCTCCTGCTGCCCGTGGAAAGAAAAAACGTTGCATTCCGTTACATCAGAAGCCGACCGGCCCTTTCCGCGGGGACTTTTCCTTCTGGGGTTCACACGCTGCACATAATACTTAATTGATTCAGTGGGAATGTCAGAAGATAGGCGCTAAAGCCTCGGTGCCGCTGCTGCCACTGCTCCTGCTAATGTATCGTTGAAACCCCCGGAGACATCACCATTGTGACCATTTCAGCAAGTGCGTCAATTTCTTCCGAGTCCTGCAAAAAATCTCACTTGTCCTGACTGGTTGTATGGCTATAAAAAAAAAAGGAGAAAATAGAGCATTTTACAGCCAGTCTGGGTAATGACGAAAACACGAGAAGTGCGATTTTGTGAATGATTCCATCTGGGCTGTTGTATTGTCGAGTGTTTTAGGTCGGCGTCGTTCTCGTCTGAGCCTGTGAAATCCGGAGGGAACAGGAAAAAAGTCTGGAGGCAAAAAAAGTTTCCCACTGAAGAATATGAAACAAGCAAGAAGATTGAAATCTCAAAGTTGAAGCATGAAGAGATAGATCATCCGGATACAGACATGGCAGCATACTATAGGAATAAAAAGCTTTTCCTGTTTTATGAAAGCTGGTCTGGTTGTAATGGCGCTCTTGCATTCCTACTGTGACAATAGCAGAATGTGGTGGATTGTATTTCCTTTGTGGGAGAGAAACAGGTGGCTGAAGCGGCTGCAACAAAAACTATTACTTCTTATGTGCCAATTTAGGTTGGATCAGTGTGTTTTAGTAGGAGTAAAGCGCGCATACGAGGCTATTACAACTGCTACTACTCATAAATCATGCATCCTCAAAGGAAAAATAATATGCATTGTTCATAATATTTTTGGCTCTTGTTCTTGCGCTCCTTTGCTTCGACATTGCAAGTTTTATAGCCTTTAAGGAAAAATAAAGAAAAAAATTGTATTCATCGCTAAGCAAATCGATCCCATAGAAGCTGTAAGCAGTAAAGTTGACAAACTGTAAAACCTGCAGTGGGAGGTGTGGAAGTGTGTGTCCCGGTGGGAAGGCTGGGAAGACAGTGAGTTTGGAACCTAAAGGATCAACAAAACAATTTAAACCACAGGCCTCAGTGTTGTCATTGCACGAATACAATAGAGATGACCGCCATCTGCTGACCATTGGAGGAACTGTACAAATTAAATGAATGTGAGGAAAATGAGAGCCCCATTTTCCCCCGTTTGACTTTTAAAAATTAATCAAAACTTTAATAGACAGACCTGTTTAGGCTTTGGTTTTGCTGAATTTAATACCACCCCCCCCAGCCCACAAAGCATTATGGTATTGCTCCAGTAGCATAACACAAATAAATACATTCCCTATACATATTCGAATTACAGAGGTTTCCACTTCCCAAAAATCTGAATATTTACATCAGCCGAGATATGGCCTCCGCATATATGACTTATAACGTTGCCTGAAGTCATTTGCTTGTCACAAATGTAGCTGGAACATGTCATACCTACTGCGGTCCATTCATAGGCAATATAATGAATGCATGATGTATGTGTAATGTTTTCTAATTAGTATAAAATTATGGTTTGTCAGAATAAGGCGCTGAATGTTTTTGTCCCATAAGCAGATATTGTGCCCCAGCCGAGTGTCTGAAAAGTGTCTGTAAAGTGCATTATCTGCATACACAGTCTCCAGGCCCTGTTTTACTCCGGATTACAAAGAAGCCGCTGTTGATCTCGGCCTATTTCTGGGGCTGTGTTTGGTGCTGATGATGAGATGAGATTGAGTTTTCTACAGTTGCTGGAGGAATGTGCAAACCAAAGCTGTAATGCATTATTTCCACGGTTCAGTTCATACACTTTTGCATAACCCCGGCATCTTAGATTGAAGTTTCTAATAAAGAAGGAAACGTGTAAGATTTAATCATTTATTGTAGATCATAGCAGTCGTGATCAACACTTGTTTTGCTCTTTCTGGATCATGACTCTGCCTGTGATCTGAAACTCGATTGAATTCCAGTTAAGTACATTTCCAGCTGGGAAGTTGAACTTTTGACTGTAGTTGTCGATGTGGAGCGGAGAGAGCACATAGTCCCACAGATGAACATCAGTGATCATTCCCACAAAGGATCTGCCACGGTCAAAGGACCCTCCATAAGAGTCCTGGTCCTGTAGGCACACAAGATTAGGTCACTTTTGTTTGCACAGATAAGATAACTGGTATTTTGTGATGTACACACACAACTATATATTGCTTGCACTAGAATATACAGTATTTATATTTGCTTCTTTATCAGTCAATCTACTTTTATTTGTAGAGCACCTTTCCCAAGCAAGGCAACATCACATCAAGCGAGTCATAAACATTAAAATCTACATATATATAAAAATTGATCAAAAACAAAAATTAAGATCACAAGAAACATTAAAAACAGAATAAAATCACAAGTAATAAAAAATATTAAAATCACACACAGGATTAAAATAGTAAATAGCATAAAGTATAAAATCCTTCAGTTGGGGCAAGAAGCGAAAGTTTACACACACAATCACACAAGCACTTTTGAGGTCCACTTTTGGTGGTGCCAATTCATCCATCCATCCATCCTTATTAGCTCTGTCTAGGAGAGAAGCGAGGAAGGTAAAGTGATTTTTCCTGTTAATTTGTTAGTTTGTCAGTGAGCGACATAACTCAAGAAGTTGTGGGAGGATTTCTGGAAAATGTGACTTATGGACCAGGGCATGCTAGCACATTAGCACTATTGCTTAGAACTACTCTCAAGTCTCTGCACCTTGAGGAGAGCAAAGCGTAAAAGCAACACAAGCACATTTATTGGTGGAATTATAAAATACACAACTCTGATACTGTGTCGGTAACAGTATTATTAGTCTTTTAGTGGGAATGCTTCACTCTCCCCTCACAAAATATAAAGAGGAGTGTACCTGTCCGAGCACAATGATCATGGGTCCACTGATGTTGGAGGTACTGCCAAACTTCAGACTTGAAGGTTTTCCATCGAGCCACAGCTGAGCCAGACCTGAGGCTGCGTCCCACGTGCCACAGACAGACTGCCACTTGTTGAGCTAAAAATCCAAGCCTTTATAGTTTATGACAAAGTTTCTGACATCGACATTTATCTCATCCCTCACTGGCATCTTGAAAATGTGAAAGTCATTGTTATGTGTGGGCGTGGCCAAACCGAAAAGGGTGAACGATCTGGTGAGGTCTGTGAAATACCTGCAGACACAAAAAACAACATTAAATGTGCATGTCGTAAGACATTTGAATGATTCACAAAACAAAATAAACAAATATTATCACGTGATGCCAGCCAGAAAGTAATGTCACAATGTTTTCTGTTGTTTTTTTTAACTTATAATCTACAGAAAAATCTTAAATATGCTGCAAAAAGTATATAGTGAAACCTGTCATACACTTTCACAGGGGTGGCCAGAGTCGGCACTGACCTCATGCACACAGTGACCGCTCCCAGGATCTGTCTGGAGGTGGTGAGTCTCACATGGTTTACGTCTGTCTCCTCTGGAAACACCAGCATCTTTCCAGACATGTCTTAAGAAATACAAGGAAACACAATTTTAACAGAAAACAAAACAACATAATTATTACATTAATTACATTGTCCATAAGCTTTGGAACGCTCTTCTCCTCCACGTTCGGACTGCCCCCACAGTGGAGTGTTTTAAGTCTCGTCTTAAGCCCCACTTTTATTTTAATACTACATGAGTTGTGTGGTCCTCTGTGTTTTTTATTTTTATTTATGGTATTTATGGTTTTAATCTGTTTTGTATCTTTTTATCTAAAATGTTTTTTTTGTTTTATACTTGGCGGAGCTAAGGATACGTTTCTTGTGCATATATTAGAGCCCTGCACTTGAGCCCTAAAACATTGTTATGGGAGAAAAATAAATAAAATAAAAAGTCGGCCTTGATGCGGGTTTTGGCCTGAAAATTCAGAAACCATATTGGGCCGGGCCGGGCTGGGGCGCCACCCCCTCGGGGCAAGGCCGGGCTCGGGCCCAGATAATAGCCCCGTGCAGGCCTCTAGCATATATAATATTTGTTTGTGCAGCACTTTGGACACTTGAATGTTGTTTAAATGTGCTATATGAATAAAGTGGATTGGATTAACTTTTTTTTTTTTGATTTGCCATATACAGTAAAGTCCACGTTGGAATCATGTGCAAATGTGTGCACCTGACAGTTTCATTATTACTACTACTTGTTTGTCCCAACAGAGACTGCAAAAATTAAAATTGTATTGTACAAATCAAACCACAACATTCTGTCTTTCTCTCAGTAAGTTAGTAATGTGTATTTATGTAGCGCATTTTACAGACCAAGGTGAATGCCCTTTACAATGTTCAGAGTTCAGATATTGTTGCAATCACTCCACACGGTAATGACGGAAGCGAGTCGCCGAACACACCGAAGCATCAAAGCCCCCAATCAACACCATCCATTCGCTCACTACATTCACACCTATTGCACATGTTTTAGTGGTAGGGGAAACCGGAGCACCTGGAGGAAACCTACACAGCTCAAAGAAAGCACTTGTAAAAGATGGTAAGAAAGAGCCCAGTGAATCACCATTCCACTCTTTAATCTGAGAGCTGATTGACTGAGGGTGGTCCTGACAAAGAGGCCAAACTACATGCAGGTGGAAACTGATGATAGAATCTAACAGTTGTTTCTTTGTTTGAAAGTTGGAAACACCAGATTTTATTCAACGGTTGCCTGTTTTTTTGCATAGTTTAAAGCCAATAAAATAACAATCCAACAATCCAGCCTCTGATTATCTAGTTGTATTGCCAAAGAAGGAGAATGGGGATGCTGTACCAAGGACCAAAACGAAAAAAAGAAAAGAAAAAGAAAAAGTCTCACAGTGGCTACACATTATGAGATTTATAATAATATTTGTTAAACATTGGTTTTGTGCTTGAAAAAAAAACTCCCTATATTTGTTGATCAATTATTTATTTGTGTTTGATTTATTTAATCTTTTGCATTTTTTACACTCTGCCCAAATAATCAAAGCAGAACAACCCATCTGTTTTGATGGGCTTTAGGTCTAACTGAAGCTTCCCCCTTGCATTTGCATTTAGTTACAGGAATTATAGAATGATGAATACAGACAAAACTTTTAAACAGCTTAAAAATAAAGTAGAGCAAAAAAAAAGAAAATGAAATAAATTAAACTAAAATAAGTGAATGAATTGAGGAAGAATTAAATGACAGAAAATAATAATGAGGCTTATGTTTTGTTTTCACACAAGCACAGATGTGTAATAATAATATATGTTTTTTTTTTGTACTTGTAGTGTTATCTTCACGAGTAATATCCAATGTGGACAATTATTTTTCTCTTCAATCTTTTTATATTTTGGCAATTTTGGTCCTCCTTAGACACTGCATGTTCTGGGACATTTTCTTACATAAACTTTGAAAGATTTATTCATCCTTTGTGACCAGTGTTTTGAATGTAAATGTCTACAGTAAGTTGCTATTGACAAAAAAATTAATAAAAAAAATAATACTGTTGAGTTCTGCAAGACTTTTTTGTGGTTTTGGCCTGTTTAAAAGAATCATTTGATATGCAATATTGACAAATTTCTATTTTAAATGTTCAACCTTACAGAAGACCTGCTGCCATCAGAGAAGTTTCTAGTCGCTCCTACTTACACTACACAACTATGTCTACAGTTTTATTTGGAAGCATTTTCATTTGGGGTAAGAACAAAAATAAAATGTATGCTTGTATCTGTATGGAGCTCTGCAAAAACAGTACAACAAAAACAGTGCATTCTGTGAAGTATCAACATTTTGAAAACTAGACAAATTGAGTGAAATTACCTTGAGGACTAGCAGCGGACATTCCAAGTAATAAAGCGACAAAAGTGCAGACGAGCGGCATCTAAACAATAGAACAAATACAACGTGTTTATTACTTAATAGTTTTACATTTAGCCTCATGCTCTCACCTTGACGTCTGTTGCTCTTTTCCTCTGGTATTATTTATTATTAACAGGTTTAAGGGGAATGAGAGGTATCAGGACAATATTTTACGACATGGGACTTGTTGGGTGTGAGACAGCTGAGAGCACTATGTCAATATGTGTATCAGTTTGTATCAACGCTCCAGACTAGGTTAAACTAGTTTGGAATATAGACTAGAATAATATATAATATAAAATGTTAAATCCACTTTATAATCTTTGAATTTAATTGTAGAAGTAAACTGATGTTGGCTGATTTGTATTTCTCCCAAAAAGGACTAAACACCCCCAGAAGAATCTTTTTTTTTTTTAGAATTAAGAGATCCTTCATTTTCACATTTAGCTAAAAAAAAACAAAACAGAAGTGACATTGTGGTTGTATGTATGTACACTGTTTAATACAAAAACAATCAAATAGACATCAAATAACAGACACTTTGAATACGGTTTTGGCATTTTTTGGTGAAATCCTTTGTCCATTTGTGTGGTTCATAAATCAGGATGTTCCAGGAGTCACAATATTAACATCATTAGAATAGATAGTCTTTAAAAAAAACATATAAAAAGTGAATCTTTGTTATATACATGAAACAAAAGCCTAAAGACACTGAAATGTTTCAGCTGGACTCTGCGGTCACTGGTTATGTACAGTGGCTTGGTTTTTGTTTGATCAGAACACTTCCGACTGTCTGAAACTCTATTGAATTCCAGTTAAGAACATTTCCAGAGGGAAAGTTGAACTTTTTACTGTAGCTGTCGATGTGGCATGCAGGAAGCACATGGTCCCACATGTGGACGTCGGTGATCATTCCCACAAAAGACTGGTTTATGTCAAAGCCTCCTCCGTGTGCGTCCTGGTCCTGCAATTGCACAATAGTGTAAAGAGAAAGTCAAAAGTACTGTTTACATCTTGTGCCGTACCTGTCCGAGCACAATGATCATGGCTCCACTGATGTTGGAGGTACTGCCAAACTTCAGACTTGAAGGTTTTCCATCGAGCCACACCTGAACCAGACCTGAGGCTGCGTCCCACGTTCCACAGACAGACTGCCACTTGTTCAGCTGAAAATCCTGCCCTTTATAGTCTATGGCAACATTTTTGACATAAGCACGAATCACATCTCTCGGTGCCATCTTGAACAGCAAAAAATCATTATCATGTGTGGGCGTGGCCAAGGAGAACAGACTGACGTCTCTGGTGAGGTCTGTGAAATACCTGCAGACACAAAAAAATATAATTATCAATACATGTTAACTGATCTATAGATTCATATTTTTTATGACATGACATGAATTGTAAGACAAACTAAAGCACAACGTACAGTAAATCACAATATTGATATTTTGGCAAAGAGACAAGGCCTGTCCGACTGTAGATCCTAAAACTGTCATTTCTTGACATTTCCACCAGAAACTGCTCAGTATCCTGCCATCTACAAACATTTTCAGACGACTCTCGACGTACCAGGAGGGGGACTGAAGAGAGTTTTACTTTGTGGATTGACGTTGACAAAAACACCTGCAGTTGTTTTCTCTCAGACAAAATGAGGTAGTGGTCAACTTTAAAAATGATTAAATAATATGAGAATTAGGAAGGAAGGATTTGATACAGTCCTTCCATGTTTTTCCACTTTATCCCAAGGTGCACATTCTGTTCCTCCTGTTGTCTACTCTGAGCCCCACCTTTACTTATAACCTATTCCTAATGGACCAACTCGTAACTCATAACGCCATAACTAATTTTGATCAGCCATATCTTTTGTGTTTGAATATGGCTCTTGCTTTTGATTGACAGTAGAAGAGATAGATCTTGAAACATTTCTGTTGGAGTTTAGTGTTCTTTCCCCACTGACCTCATGCACACGGTGACTGCTCCCAGGTTCTGTTTGGTGGTGGTGAGTCTGACGTGAGCTGTGTTTGTCTGTTGTGGAAAGACCAGCATCTTCTCAGACATGTCTTTTAGAAACAAAGAATTAATAAAACACATAATAAACCAGTAGAATGTGCAAATTCGGAATAAATGTTTACCTCGAGGGATGGACGCTGCTGTTCCAATGAGCATGGAGAGAACAATGTAGACGAGTGCCATCTAATCACAGGACAAATGTGTCTTAAAAACTCTGCATTAATGAACAATATTCTATTGTAGTACAGATGCAGGCTCTTACCTTCAATCCAGTTGCTTCTTCTGTTTCTTTTAGTTTTCTCTTCTTTGAGTTCTGTGTCTTTTATACAGTTCTCCCCGACCATATTTATCATTAACATTAACAATCGGAGTGTCTGGATTATTATTTCCTTATTGGAAAAGACGTTGCTGATGCACGTGTTTCCACAGATAACTTTACTTATCAGTCGGTCACGTTTTACAGTATTCATATGATTTCAGTGGTCGGAGAAACCAGAGCATTCAGAGGAAACTTACACAGACACAGGGAGAACATGCAAACTCCACTCAGAAAGACCCTGTTCCGACCGGGATTTGAACCCAGGACATTCTTGCAGAGAAGCAAGAGAGCCTGTGTTGCTCTCTTTGTATTAAAAGCCATCGTTATATCAGCTTTTTTAGACAGTGGAGTGAAAAACAGAGGACCAAAAGCCAAAGGGTCTGATAGTGACTCGTGCGATGTATTTGTTATAATAATATAGTTAAATGTGAATAGTAAAGTGAACTGAACAACAAAGCCATTTAATAATTGTATTTCTGTGACGTCCGTATCAGCTTCTGTCGTATCAAAATGGACCTACATGCTTTATTTCAAAGTAATGTGATTCCAGCTAAAGGTAAAGTACTTAACACCACACTCTCTGGAACACCACAATTGTATAATATGTAAATATTGTTTCATGTTTTAATTGTTTTGCTGAATTTAAATCTTGATGCAAATGGATGGTTCTGTCGTGACAAGGACAAGAAGAAGGACAAACCCTCCAAAAAGTCTTTCACATTTAGCTAAAAAATAATCTCAGAACTGACGCTGTGTATGTATGTACACTGTTTAATACAAAAACAATCAAATAGACAATCAAAAAAACAGACACTTTGAATACGGTTTTGGCATTTTTTGGTGAACTCCTTTGTCCATTTGTGTGGTTCATAAATCAGGATGTTCCAGGAGTCACAATATTAACATCATTAGAATAGATAGTCTTTAAAAAAAACATATAAAAAGTGAATCTTTGTTATATACATGAAACAAAAGCCTAAAGACACTGAAATGTTTCAGCTGGACTCTGCGGTCACCGGTTATGTACAGTGGCTTGGTTCTTGTTTGATCAGAACACTTCCGACTGTCTGAAACTCTATTGAATTCCAGTTAAGAACATTTCCAGAGGGAAAGTTGAACTTTTTACTGTAGCTGTCGATGTGGCATGCAGGAAGCACATGGTCCCACATGTGGACGTCGGTGATCATTCCCACAAAAGACTGGTTTATGTCAAAGCCTCCTCCGTGTGCGTCCTGGTCCTGCAATTCCACAATAGTGTAAAGAGAAAGTCAAAAGTACTGTTTACATCTTGTGCCGTACCTGTCCGAGCACAATGATCATGGGTCCACTGATGTTGGAGGTACTGCCAAACTTCAGACTTGAAGGTTTTCCATCGAGCCACAGCTGAACCAGACCTGAGGCTGCGTCCCACGTTCCACAGACAGACTGCCACTTGTTGAGCTGAAAATCCTGCCCTTTATAGTTTATGCCAACATTTCTGACATAAGCATTAATCTCATCTCTCGCTGCCATCTTGTACAGCCAAAAGTCATCATAATGTGTGGGCGTGGCCAAGGAGAACAGACTGAATGCTCGGGTGAGGTCTGTGAAATACCTGCAGACACACAACATAATACTGTACATCAATCTGTGAAGGGTTGACTGATTATTAAAAAACATGACATGGGTTATGAGACAATCAAGATATCTGCACACCCCGAGTACGTAGAATTTAAAGCTTGTGCCTGTATAGGACCTGTCTAGATCAGTGTCTCCCAAAGTGGGGTCCGCGGCCCCCTGGTGGGCCGCGAGGGTACTGCAGGGGGGCCGCGGGAGGTCATAAAAAAAAATATATATATATATATATATAATTATTTAATGTTAAATTTATAATGTTTTGTTTGTAATATTAAAATATTTGTGTTCATTATTTGACTTGAATAATCCACTGTAATCATTTTTGTATTACAATGTTTGTAGCAGAGGCTATTTCCCCAAAATAAAATAACCAGAAGAGCCTATTCTTAATGTTGTCTTCTTGGTTATTATTTTGGGGGGCCACGTAGACCCGTCAGATTTTTAAGGGGGCCTCGGGGTTACTGAGTTTGGGAATGGCTGGTCTAGATCTTTCAAGTCTTCTATAAACGTTTTCAGACTCTAGTCGTAGCAGGAAGGGGACTGAAGCTGAGTACAAGAGAGTTTTGGACGGCTTTGTGGATTGGTGTTGACAAAACCACCTGCAATTGAATGTCTCTCACACAAAAAGAGGTAGAATTAATAAAGTTATATACAATCTGATCTACACTACAAATTAAGTAATGGCACGTTAGGATAATATTATTAGTTGTACCTGGAAAACTTCCCAGGGAGATGTCCAAGAGGTAGCCCACTGCACCTCCTGTTGTCTTCTCTGAGCCCTTCCCTTATATTCAACATTTCCCTAAGAAACCAACGCACTCTACGGACTACACAATAAGTCACTTTGAGTCACTAATGCACTAGGACTGAAAAACCTGCCCTGCTTTTGCCACTCTTTCTTTTACTGCCACTTTTGTATTGCACATAATATATCCTGCACAGACTATATTATTTGCCTTTAACATGATTGCACACTTCTGTCTTTTGCACAATCTAAGTGACTCTATCCATGCCAAATATGTAAGTTTCTCCAGAGTGAGATCAATAACATCTTAAATTATCATCTGTATCTTGTTTGATATTCTGGCTTTGAAAACTGCTCTATAGATATTGACTATAGCAGAGATACATCTTAATTACAATAATGCACTGGTCTCTGCCATCATAGATTTAAATATTTTTTCTGTTGGAGTTTAGTGTTCTTTCCCCACTGACCTCATGCACACGGTGACTGCTCCCAGGTTCTGTTTGGTGGTGGTGAGTCTGACGTGAGCTGTGTTTGTCTGTTGTGGAAAGACCAGCATCTTCTCAGACATGTCTTTGGAAACAAGGAATTAATTAAACACATAATAAACCAGTGGAATGCGCCAATTCTGAATAAATGTTTACCTCGAGGGATGGACGCTGCCATTCCAATGAGCATGGAGAGAACAATGTAGACGAGTGCCATCTAATCACAGGACAAATGTGTCACAAACCCAATAATAAACAATATTCTACTGAAGTACAGATGCAGGCTCTTACCTTCAATCCAGTTGCTTCTTTTAGTTTTCTGTTCTTCTTTGAGTCCTGTGTCTTTTATACAGTACTCCTCGCCCATATTTATCATTAACATTAACAATAGGAGTTTCCCGAATGTCATTCCCTTATTGTAAAAACATTACTGATGCACGTGTTTCCGCAGATACTTATCAGTCGGTCACGTTTAAAAACATCACCATTCATTAAGTCTTTCCCACACCCAATCTGTACTTGCATTCATCAACTGTATCTTGCTTATACTGTACTTGCTTATATCAAAAAGAAAGGGTACCAAACTTTCAAAACACAAAAAAATGCAACTATTTATTTCTTTGATAAATACGTTATTGTCCCAGTACAGGGAATTAGGACCCGACCTGCTAAATGTGTCGTAGCACAGCATCTGGGGACCCATCTCCAGATGTGGATACTCGCCTCAGTTAGGGCCGAAGCTGGAAAAAAGAAATCTCACTTTACATGATTTTAGTGGCAAGGGAAACCAGAGCCGACCGGGATTCAAATCCAGGACTGTCTTGCAGAGAAGTAAGAGAGTTTGTGTTTGTGTTGTGATACCAGCACTGAGATCAGTCTGGTTCTATCTCTAGTTTTAATGCATGTATGTCACATCTTCAGATAGTAAGTAAACTTTATTCATATTTACAATGTGGGCATTTGTCTCTCACTCCACAAAGAGATGGGAGCACGGTCGCCAGTAAAGAACGCACATGCCAAACCTACTATACATATTTTTAGTGGTGGGGGAAAAGGGAGAACCTGGATGAAACCTCAGCAGACACGGGGAGAACATTCAAACTCAAATGCTAACCACTGCGCCACCACAAATGTTTCTTTTTTACCAAAGGGTCTAATAGTGACTCATATAAATTCTGACTTTTACAAGACGTTCTGGTGAATCAAACAACATCTAATAAAATAAAAAAAATCTAAAAACTAGCTACTCAGGTCAGAAAACAAAACTATTATCAATCACAATACAGATTAATCCGCATTTAAAATAGCAGCTACTTATTTTGTATATTTGGTCTGCTCCCTGCTCTTAGTACTGTCCTGTATGTGCGCTGCAACATTGAAATTTCCCCACTATGGGACGGATAAAGGAACTCTTATCTTATCTTTATCAACTTATACCATATCCTCTATGAAAGTTCATGAATATGCTCTGTGCTTAAATAAATACATTAGAACACGTTTTAATTCATATGTAACAAAATGTAGCATAATATAATGAATGTATTAGTGTCAAAGCTTCACGACACATGTTTTAAAATGTCGACAGAAAAATACAATTAAAATATGCAGTACATTTTTACAGATTTGTAGACTGTTTACTTTTTATGGCGTAAACAGTGTCTGGGTTCGCATCAGACTTTGCTCTTGTTATTGTCTTAATATCAACGCCTCGGCCTTTCCTTATCGCTTGTTTTGTTGTTAATCATTGAGTGGCACAAACTGATCAATAAACATTAACGTGTGCTTTATTGAAATAGAAAGTGCAGCACGTGTTTGAATCTAATCTTTTCGATTTTATGACAAAGAATTACACGTGTGTAAACCTGAAATACAAACAGCCACAGCATCTAGAACGTGTTGGTTAACACTAGCAAACCCATGGAGGTTCCATTTGGCACTTCTACCTAAAAAGCCCACCACGGTGCCAAATGACTCCAAGGATTTTAGCTAACAAACTAAATCACCTGTGAACGGCCAACTTTGTTATGTAAATAAGGCCATTATCACAGGCTGAGCTGAAGTTGCTTCCACCACTTTACTTTGTCTTCTTCAGGAGAGGGAGGATCTGATTAGTTAAAATGAGTTATATCTAGTGTCATGCTGACTTTAATATTTTCATTATTATTTTTTAACTAAAGTGAATTGAAAGAAAACAAACGAGCAACATCATTCAATGTATAAATTTACATTGTTTACAAAATAAATATGCTACTTACAGTTTTTCTCAGTGTCTTTGGTGCATTTATCACATAATTCTTCACATTTGCACGACAGTTAGTGCATTTCTCAGAACAATTAGTACAAACTGCAAAACCTTGGGGATAACCTGCAAAAGTGCATCACCTTCTCAAAATGAAAAGTTTATTCCTCAAAAGCAAGTCTTCATGTCGAGGAAACTGTCTGTCTCAAAATAAGTCTTAACAACATGGAGTATGAACAACACAGTCAAATGACTTCGTCACGTTTTCATTGTGACACTTTACTCTCTGTGTTTTCAAAGCAAAAAATCTGATCTTGGTGAGCACTGTACAGCTGAAAACTACAGTCAAGTTACACACAACTGTATTTAGTGAGAGTAAAAGAACATTTATACTGTATGTACTGTATGTGTGTGTGTGTTTGTGCATGTATGTGTTTCGATGTATGTCTGTGTACTGTATGTATTTCACATATTTACTGCATATGCTCTTTGCAATTCTACAGCATTGTGCAACAGAAATACAGTCACATACATAGAGCAAACATACAGAATATCATTATGGTAGAACTGTGACAAATGTAAACAATAAAACACACACCTTGTCATGATTGAAGCTGAAATTCGAAATTAGGAAAGATTTTCTGGATATAAAAAGATAAAGTAATGTATGAAATTAGTTTGACAAATTTTGGTTTTGAACAGTTTTGTATGTGATGACCAAAGCGATGAAATGAGGACTACTGGTTTTACAGAAACTATTCAGTCGTGAAAAGTATGTTTCATTCTGATTGACAGGACAGAAGCCAATGATAATGTTATAAAACAGCAGAGAACTGTATGAAAGTAACTGATACATGTCCAAAAGCATTTGTAAAGTGTTCAAAGGAGAAACTGCCGCGATGATGTCACACACGACTCAATGTTGTGGAGGTTCTACCGTAATGATTTTTTGTATTTTTGTTTTTCTACGTAAATACTGTATGTGTACTATGTTTGTTGCAGAATGCTGTAGAATTGCAAAGAGCATAAGCAGTAAATATGTGAACATACAGTACATCCATATGTATCACTAAATACAGTCACAATGAAAACATGACTCAATCATTTGACTGTTGTTCATAAACACTGGTGTCAGGACTTATTCTTTTGAGACACAGACCGTTTCATTGACATGAAGACTTTCTTTTGAGGAATTAAGTTCATTTTTAGCAGGTTATCCATGAGGTTTTGCAGTTTGCACTCATTGTTCTGAGAAATGCACAAACTGTTGTTAAAATGTGAAGAATTATGTGAAAAATGCACCAAAGACACTGAGAAAAACTGATTACAAAATATATACAGCGCATTCTCAGGGTACACAGCACTGCCATGGCATCTCTTCTGCATTGTCCACATGTGTATCTGTGGTCTCACAGACTACTGTAGTACTCTCTTGCAGCTCTCCCTCCCCCGCACGAATAAACAAAGCCCACCCCAGCCCCCTGCTGTTATAAGTCATTACCTACATTTGCAAATCAATACATACAAATGTTAGCAGCCAACCTAGCAAGTTAGCTCCCTCTTCTCAAAACAGGGGCCAATTTCGCTTGGGTTTTCTAGTGTTAATGAAAGATATTTATTTATTTGTCCTTGTCATAACAATACATACATTACATATTAGCTTATTAATATTGTGTGTATAAATATGCATTATTATTGGACTTTAAATATGATAATGTGTCTATTTATATTGTTAAAGCATGTGAAATAATATCTTGAGTAGAAATGATGTGGTGAAAAACTGCTGTATGTAACTCCGTTTGCTTCCACTAGAGGGAGGAGTTGATTTTTTTTTTTTTTTTTTTTCAAAATTTAAGAATTACCGATTGCAACCACAGCCTTGTGATTGTATAGAATGTGAGTTTGATGTCATAGTGGTATAATGCAATCATACTATTAGAGGAAGGAGAGAGGAGTATTTAGAGAGAGGTAAGTCTAAAAAGTTACATGTCTGTAAGCTGCAAATGTTAATAACTATTTATGATTATTACTTCTAGAACTTAAGGTGGGGCTGGATCTTTGCAGCGCTGTTTAAATCATGTCACTCATGCATTTATGTTGCTGTATGAATGTCAAAGAAAAAATAACTTAACTTTTAAATAGTTACTTTATTATTAATGCAAAGCAGTAACAGAGACAGAGCCAAACATCGACTAAAATGCACCAACATATAGAATACAGGTGAAAAAAAATACATAATTCTCACAATCAACAAAACTTTCCTTGCAAAAAAAATCAATTATTTTCTTTTTTTCTCTTTCTTTTGTTACAGTTTGCTCATTTTTTAGAACAAAATTCCCCAATGGTAATGAAAAATATTTCTTGAAAGACAAGAAAATTCTCAGATAAAATTGCGACCGCGCTTGAACTGAAAAAATCTCCATAACGGAATGAAAGTGATAACTGCTTACTGCGTATGAAATTAAAATCGTTTAGAGGAAGTTGACCTATTTTGTGCAATTAATCCCTTATATGTTTTGTTTTTGCACTGGTGTGAAATTCACTTTTTGGTCACTTCACTGCAAAAAGTAATGAAAAAAATAAGTCAAAAAGTGCTCAAATTTGGAAACATGTATCTTGAGTTGAGCACCTTTTGAATACCTTAAAACTAGATTTGCCAATGGGACAAGCCAAATTATCTTACTTTAAACATAAATAAACATAACTAAATGGCTTTGTCCCATTGGCAAAATCTTATTTTGAGAATTTGCTTAATTTTAGAGAAAAACCACTGGATTTAAGCTTTTATTACCTAATATTTTATGATTTTTTTTGCAGTGTTCTGAGTCCTTTTGGAGCTGTCTGGATGGCCACGAGCTACAGATATGTGACTCCCTGATCAAATTTGAACTATAATTTTGTTTTGCTTTTTCCCCTTTTTCCTTCTCCCTGGAGTACCATTCACTCGCAGTACATTTGTTTATCCTCGATCAGCACTCGTCCGTTGATCTGGAAGTCCAGGGCCGCCCAGTTGAGCACGTTCCCCGGGGTGAAGCTGAGGCCGGACACATACTTCTGGATCTCACAAGACGACAGCACATAGTCCCACATGTGAACGTCGGTCATCATCCCCACAAAACTCTGCTTCAGGTTAAAGCCTCCTCCGTAAGAATCCTGCTCCTGGAAACCAAATATTTTTTTGATTAAATCACAAATACAAAGCAGGCAGGACATTTTTACACAAAATTGACGTTGTTCCTCATTAAAAAAACAGAATTGTAATAGAGTTTAGATCCATCAAAGACTTGAATCAAAAACATGTAACTCCGCCCCTTCCAACCAAAATCGTAAAGACAACAACAAAAATATGGTCCCTAAATTATTTTCTACTTTTTTTGTAATTTTGTAGATTGTATAATTTCTCAGATGATAATGACATCCTTAACAATCACATGTCCGTGTTTGCAAACTGTATTATTTATTATTTGGAAATTAACATAAAATAAATTCCACTCCTCCCTCTGGTGGCAGCTTATGGAGTTACAGACGGAGAGCATTGTTTACCCTTCGTACTTGTTTCACCAAATAATTTCTATTACAATATTATTATACTTTCTAAACCATGAAATGTAAAAAGTTATTATCATTTTGAATGGCCAAACATAATGCAGACCATTTCCTCTTTAATTGTTTAGGCTGAAGATGTCGCTATCACTATAGCACTAAACTAAGTGTCAATTATAAAGTACATACCATTATAATTTACTAATAATAGTATCACTGCAAACAATTATAAGATATGTTTGAATAAAGTGTTTTTTTTCTTAATTTGAGTACATTCTGACTGTCTTAAAACAAGATTTGCCAATGCGACAAGGCCATTTAGTCTTATCCCAAGAACTGTTGCTTTATTCTGTCATTCTTATGGAGACATTTCTTGAATCTTTTTAAAACAAGATCATTTTGCTTGTTCCATTGGCAAATCTTGTTTTAAGGCTCTCAAAATATGCTCAAATTATCAATTATTTTGCCAAATTTGAGCAATTTTTGACTCATTTTTCATCAATTTTGCAGTGATAGTATTCTATTACAGACCTAAACAACATTTATTGCCTTTGAGATTTGAATGCCAAGTTTTGCCTCTCTACACAACGTCAGAGGAACATAGACTTAACAAAGACCACACTCTAACTGTGAATCAAGTTAGTAATCAGTGCATTTTTTTCACTTCGCTAAGCAAAAAAATGCCTCAGAAACAAAGCAGAATCATCCTTGTATCACAGATTCCGAAAATAAAATCAGGGCCAAATTCAAAGCAGTGGGTGTATGGTGCAGGCGGTGATCGACGGAGCCAAGGGAAGAGCGAAGACGTGCTGGCGTTAGAAATTATAAATGTCTCAAACGATGCAGGAATCGCTCAAAAACCACTCGTGAGGGTTGGAAATGACAAGAGAGAACAAAAGTTGTGAGAAGTTGATTTTACATGTTACAATATGTCCCATTTAATTGGGGTAGGGAAGTTAACTAGCTGTGCGACGAAGAGGTCTTTCCTTCCTGCTGCTGTCAGACTGTACAACGAACAATGAGAACTAGCAAACACTGCCGAACTGACCTCATATTTTTGCATCGGTGCAATAATTTGAACTAATGTCAGAATGTGCAATATATGTCCAATGTTACTTTACTCATGCTAACATGTACATATGTATACACACACACAACTATATTCTTTCCCTAAAATATACAGTATTTTATTGTTTTTTTTATTATGCAACAGTTAGATTCTATACGTACTTCTTGCTGCTTCCTTATGCTAAAGTCGGAGTTTTTGGATTTGCTTCCCTATTTTGCTAAAGCTAGAGATGTTATTCTTGCTTCCTTTTTGAGGTTAAAGCTAGAGATTTTATTTTATTTTATTTTAGTATAGAGTTTTTGTTCATATATTTTGTCTTGTGTGCTCCTCATTCCTAGTATTCCGTAACCACTGATGCAGCACTGAATTTTCGAATAAAAATAATCTCTTAATATGAATCTTAATCTTTGATCCACACCTGTCCTAAGATAATGATTGGCTCTCCGGTTATGTTGGAGCTGACGATGAACTTTCTGGCCAGGGGCTGTCCGTTAAACCAGAGCTGCAGCAGTCCAGAGCCGGCGTCCCAGCTCATGCAGAGGGAGTGCCATGTGTTGGGTTTGTAGTCCAGGTAGCCATACTCGGCACTCAGACTCTTCACGTGTCCTTCCATTTCCTTATTGGTGTCGTCGTAATACATCAGGAACTCATTATCGCTGGTGGGTGTGGACAATGAGAACAGGATGTGGTCCCGTTTGAGGTCTGTGAATGACCTGGGAGAGCAAAACAGCAATGAATAGGATATTGTGGTTGGCATACATGAAACGAGCTTTTGTTTAGGGACAGGGGTGGGTGTTTTTTCGCCAGGGGGCCACATAGGAATAGCAGTAGTGGTTTATTTCTGTGGTCAATATGAACATTAGAAATTTCCCCGCTGTGGGACGATCTCTAAATCTTAATCTGGTATAGATCTTGGGTCATGTGTTTTATGTGACCCAAAGATCTTATGCATGTTACACAACATATATATACATTTTCATATTGTGTACAGCTGGACTTGTATTGATTGATTGATAGATTTTATTGGTCAAAATATGTATTTGATATCTTCTGTGGAAGCTATTTCAGTTATAACATTTTTTGGTTATGCTTGTAAAGAAGTATTGTACAAATAATTAATTTTTGGGCGTGGTTGCACATAGCAAGTTACAATTGTTCCTTGGTTAGTGACTCCCTTTTAATTGAATAGGCTTCAGGCCCATTGGTGGTCAAGTAAACAATATGAGACATGAGGTTCACAGCTGGAAGGGTCTGGGGGCCGTATGGAAACATGAAGGCCAAATGTGACCCTCAGCCCGCAGTTTTTCCAGGTCTAGTTTTGGTGACTCACAAAAAAAGTACTAAATTCAGAGTTATTTGCTGAATTTAGTACTTTTTTTTGGGTAGACCTAAAATTGAACAAGCAGTTTAGTCATATTTAATACATGGGTTAAAGTTGAAAAAATTCCTGAGCCTGAACCAGCTATATGAATCATAGAATGATCACTAATAAGCGTTTTTTATAAGCGGCCAGGGGTTAAAGCAAAAAAAAAAGATTTGACTGAAAATTTTCTCATGGAAATATAATGAATTACAGATCAAACGAATTCTTCAAAGATATACATTTAAACTGGTGTATTTTGATGTGAAATTACAACCAGTGGATCAAGCAACTTGTCAACTCTTTGACAGAATATTAGTGAGAGTAGTTCATCTGCATCATTGGCTTTACTTGAGGCGAGATGAGGCGTTGTCCTTTGGCTCTGTCCTCGTCAAAATATCGCAAAAGGACATTCAAAATTCTGTCCACATTTGTTTGTGGACACTCAATGTTTAAGAAAAAGGTTTCCCTATCAACTTGGTGCTAGTGCACAGCGCAGTTTTATCAACTGCAAATGATTAATGATAATTAAATCTACCAGCAGTAGTGATGGTTCTGAACGACAGGTTATTTTCTGCGATAAAGCCACAGACTCTTAGTTTTAGGTCACAGACACAGTCCACCAGTGCAAGCCTAGTCTCAGTTGTCGCTGAATCTGATGCACCAGGTAAAGAAGTGTGGGAAAGTGCACGGACAGCTGCCAAGTGCGCAGTTTTGAGCTGGTGGTGAATCCAAAGCTGTTTTCTCATTACTCCCATATAAAAAAATAATAATAGCGAAGTACGAACAAGCACCGGACACCTTCATCTTTTTGCACCAGGAAGCAACAGAATCCCATCGTCTCCACCTCATCCAGCCATGCCCACCTCCATTTATTTTTCACTGTTATCAACAGCAACTTATACTGCTCCTTCTTCCATAAACAACGATCCATGATTGTGATTGTGCGTGCATGCTAGGCTAGCTTTGATGAATGAATATAAGACCTGCTAACACACACCTTTCTTCAGCGAGTTTCTTCCGTTCTCTCCTGTTGATTGGCTCTTTTTATCACGCAGTTTTGCATGGGGATCGCCACCAAGATATTATCAAAAGCTCACCAAGACATGCTTGTCCCCATTCCCAGTCACAGCAAAGTACGTATTGTACATTCCGTTAAATAAAAAAGCATTGCGTTTGGTAAACGTTAATTATGTCCTACCTTTCCTCTGATAACGCGCCCAGTTTACCGGTCCGCGGGCTGCTGGCTGTTATTGCTCCGTTCGGGATTACATTTTCCTTGTCCTCTTCTCCTTTTCAAAAGCTCCGTGCACTTTTCAGAAACTTTCACCTCCGTGTTACCATCGCTAACTTGGCTACGTCCCATTGCCTTGAATCATTTACGGAGCGCTCATGTAGCTAGCCACGGCACGTTCAAGGCCCACTCGTGATTATATTACTTTTTATTTCTATATACATATAAATACAATTATATTCAAATTATTAATATATATCTAGATATATATACAACAGATTCACACGTATTACTATATATTTTGTTATAATTAACCATTTCATTGTGTGTATTATATTATTATTATATATTTTGGTTTTTTTTTCAGACCAATTTCATTTGACGGAAATCCGTCACTTAGACGGAACTCTTTAATCCCTGCGCTATACACATGCAATCCTTTCATACAATTGGTAGAACACACTTGAACCTTTTTCAAATGACAGCAATCATTATTTATTTATATATATATTTAAAAAAAAAAAAAAAAAAGTGATGTTTTTTTTTTTTTTTTTCTCACGCCGGATTTCCGGCACGGTGCCGGAAAACTTTAAGCCCTGTTAATATGGTGATTGATAAGGTAACCACAGTTATTATAGAGGTTCAATTCAATGTATTCTTGTAGCCCTAAATCCAAACAGCAGTTATCTCGGAGGACTATACAAAAAAGTTCAATTGGCCAACACAGATTAGAGAATCAAACTGTTCATCACAAGAAATGCAATGAAAACAAACACATAGAGCCTAAACGGGCGAATGACCAATGTACACAAGTGTTGACAAAGTCCATAAATATCATTGAATGTCAAATGGCCCAGATCATCACCACTGTCCTTAGACCCTCCTGCCTCCTGCAAGGAAAAACTATAAAAACCCAGTGGGAGAAAATGAGAAACCTTGGTGTGGCCCACATAGAAGGTAAGTTATTTCCTTGAGGCTGTAAATAAGTAAATATGTGTATTCCTTTTTGAAATTATGCATCTAAGAACTGTTGTTTTAGTATATTAAAATGGGATAATGACACCTAGTAGTACGTCTAAAATGGAACGTAGGAGCTGTCCAATTAATTTCCGTTGTTTATTCTTTATTTGCCTCTCCACAGATCTTCCCTGTAATGTGGCCTGGTTGGGTTTTGTGCACGTCCTTGTGTCATACCTGAGACAGACAGAGGCAGCACCGAAGTTCCTTTTGGATGTCATCAGTCTCATATGATCCGTGTTTGTTTGTTGTGGAAACGTGAGCATTTTACCAGATAAATCTGAAAAACACACGACACAGAGTAATGCATCATACAGTAATTCCCCATCCGTCTGTCTGTTGTGTGCAGAACTGGGGGGGCGTGGCCTGTGCGCCTGTCCGCCAGCGGCCTGACAGTGGCTGTCTTCGTTTGGCTCAACAACACGGAAAAGAAGCAGCTACACATTTCTCCACATGAGAGAAGAGTACAGGAAAAGTACTTTTAACTACATGTGTTGGTCCAAGGGTTCATTAGTCTGAGTGTGACCGTTTGCCATGGCCACACCCTACTCTATGACATCATAAACCTTTCTCTTACTGATATGAGGAGTAGGGGGAAGGGGCGGGCCTTTCTGGGCACCTGGGCAGTAAATATGTTTGGTTTGGTTTCATTTGAGGAGGTTAATTTGTTTGAGAATCAGAATCAATGTATTGCCATTTGCAGAATACACTACATTGGAATTCAAACAGGAGACACCGGGGGCACCAACTCCACAAAACACACACACACGAACAAAAGTTAGTTAGTACTGATTAAGTTAACATTGACTCTCTGTACTGGCTGTGTTTCGGTTGATCCTTTTATCATCCATTTTTTGTTTACGGTCAAAAATGCTAGCTTATGTCTTGTTGCCTTACTGCTTGGTCCCTATCACAGTTTTAGGCTATGTTTAGCAAAAATCAGAAGCACACACATGTAGGACTGAGCAGGACTGAACCAGGACTAAAGCAGTTCTCAAGCAGGACTGAGCAGGGCTGAACCAGGACTGAACCAGGACTAAAGCAGTTCTCAAGCAGGACTGAGCAGGACTGAACCAGGATTAAAGCAAGACTGCAGATTTAGACCTGCTTCAGTCCTGTCTCAGTCCTGATTTAGACCTGCTTCAGTCCTGTCTCAGTCCTGATTTAGACCTGCTTGTAAAAATAATGAAAGATTAAGCTATAAAAGAAACTTGATTCAGTATATGGATAAAAATGTGCAAAGAAAGATCCAATTCATGAAACAGCTCCAGCAAAGATTCTAGAAAAAATGTACCTTGCACTACTCCCGCTGCAGATGCCACGAGCGTCATAAACACGAAGAGCTTCATCTGTTTTAACACAAAATATGAAATAAATACAGTTTTTCTTTAGTCTTTCATCAAACAGACGAGTCTTACCTTCAGAGCTTGTGTTTCAGACTCCAGACAGATGTTGTTTCCTATTTTACATCTTCCTCTTTTGCGCTTTATACGATGGAGTAACGCACTTCCTGCTCAAAACCCCGGAATGACCCAATTCTGTGTTGTACAAAAACTACTACTATCTAAATGTAGTCAATGTAGCCAAATGTTTATTGCTTTGCCTTATTCCAGAGATAATGCTTTAGTCCAAATTACACAAATATCAATATAATAATTGTATTGATATTAAAAATGTGTCCTTTGCTTTTGACCCATCCTGATGTCACTAAGCTGGAGGATTATACCTATTTTGCAGGTTTTTAGCGGTATGGGAAACACCCGGAGAAAACGTACGCAGACACGGGTTGATTTGATTACGTAATTCTAATTATCCACACCATCTAACCCAACTGTGATTTATTCATGAATACAAAAAAAATATTCACGGGAGGAAGCCTGAACGCATCCAGGTTTAAAACAAAAGCACTTCTTCATTGAGTGAAAGAAAACAGAAATCCCTAATTCTTTCAATATTGATCAGTCCTTTAAGCTTGGAACATAAAAAGCTGCATTTTTGATTCTTGAAAAGAAAACAGATTGATCCCTGTACACTTCAGCAAAGAGCCTAAAACTATAGAGAAGTAGATCAGCCACAACTTTACCACAAGTTCAAGTAAAGTCCATGGCGAGGATCGAACGAGAAAGAAGGAGGTATGTATGACTTTGAATGCAGCCAGAGTTGTTTCTGCTTTTGTTTTTCTGCCTCTGTTGCTTCCTTCACGGCCATCTTCAATGCCCCTGCTTTACAGGTACTTCTCTGAATGCACTCACTTCATAAAAAAACTGTTTCTCACTCATCAAGGGTTCTTTGAGGTGCAATAACGATGCAAAGATGTTTTCAGTGAATTCCAACTCAAATGGATTTTTGAAATGAAAACACAAGGACAACAAGAAGAAGCCAACAAACAATATCAGACAGGAATTTTTAAAAGTGCATTACATTTTGGACTATTAGGTGCACCTGTAAACAACATTGTAAGTACATTTTGTCCACTTATAGGCCACACTTCAATATAAGGGTTTTCATGTTAATGTGAGGGATAGACGACTCTTTTAACTGGTCACAACATGATTTACCGTTACCTTCCATGCATGTACTCATTCAGAAGTCAATTTTAACAATAAACGCTAATAAATACAGTGTTCCATATAGCTACTTAAACTTGGAGTCAAAATAAACTATAATAATCAGAGGTTCAAAGAAGAATGTTGTATAGAGTCTGTATGGTATATTTATCTAGGAAAAAATATTTCAGTTAATCTACTTTTTTTAAATGTTTAATCCTGTTACTACATGGTTCTCTCATCCAAAACAGACCTGTAGTTGTTTTTAGATCCATCCACGTTAATATCAGGAACCTCTGGCATAAACCTCTGACATGTTACACCGCCCCCTTCTGTCTAAAAGCTCCTGTCTCAGTCCTGTAATAGTATGTTGTCTCAAAGTACCACTATGACATCACACTCAGAGCCACTGCTGCTGTTTTTCCCAACAATTAGGTTTTTTTTAATTTCTCAGGTTAAATCAGGTGATAGAAGAGAGAGCAGCAACATCTAATGATTGGATAGTTCATTTACAAGGCGTATAATGGTGGAGCAAAGGACCAACATTTCCATTTAGACAATCGGGGATCTTCCAGAACAAAACAAGTTTGGCTTAAGGAAACAAAAGTTAATTTACAGAAACTCATTTTTAATCAATTTTGGAGCTTTGTAATATGTAAGAATTTCAAGTCAAAAGGCATTAACAAAACATGCTCTTATCGATTACTTCTTTAACTGATAACAGTAGTTCAGCCGAGATATTTGGATTTCAAAATTAGTTTTACAGCCCCTAAATCTTGATATTGTTTTAATTTTGATTCCCGCCCTCCACTGTTTCACCAATCAGAAAGTCCGCAATCCGGGTTAGCAGAACTCACAGCGTCAAGCTAACCCCACTGGTAAAGTAACATGTGGCCGCAGAACTAACAAACGTCTCATTATGATTCTCAAATCTTTCATGACAAAACAAGGAATAAAAACAAGGATTTCTATAGGGGCCTTTGTGAAAAAGGTGTTGGAAATAGATTTGTTGTTGATAAAATTCTTGTCTATTCAGATATTTTGGTCCCAGCTGGATTCGTCTGCATATCTGGCAACCTGAGTCAGGGAGAGTGGGAGAGGTTGCAGTACCACTTTAATTTCAGAAAGGAGCAATCTCACTTGTTCAAAAATTAAACACGCTTTAATCAGTGTAAAATCAAGCTTATTGGTGTAGATGATTTGTGTATTTGGACACATCTTGATCTCAGTCCAAGCTTTACTCGCAGTACATTTGTTTATCCTCGATCAGCACTCGTCCGTTGATCTGGAAGTCCAGGGCCGCCCAGTTGAGCACGTTCCCCGGGGTGAAGCTGAGGCCGGACACATACTTCTGGATCTCACAAGACGACAGCACATAGTCCCACATGTGAACGTCGGTCATCATCCCCACAAAACTCTGCTTCAGGTCAAAGCCTCCTCCGTGAGAATCCTGCTCCTGGAAACAAAACAACACAATATATTTATTATACGAACTCTTTGTATCATGTTGTTCGAGGAAACCGATGTATGGTATTGAGCCAGTGCCGGTCTCTTGATGACCTCATATGTTTTATTTAGAAGTCTCTATGTCTATTCAACTACATAATTTAAATATATGGTGTTAAAGTAGCCCACATGCTAATACAGTCTGCCATTACTGTCGCCCCTAGTGGGTTACATAAGCATCCACACCTCTTAAACGTATTGACTTTTTGCCATACTAGGGCCACAAACAATTATAGAATGGACATAGGAGATCCTTCATATGACCCACAATGGGGAAATGTCAGTGTTGCATCACCAGTAACAGCAGGAAGGAGAAGTACACAATATAAAATGTGTGTCGTGTTTGCTATTACTGATTCCAGCCATGTCAAACTTGGATCAGCTATTTCAGATACCTAACTTTGCCAATCACCAGCTCTCTGCCCAAAGTTTCAAACAGTGACTTCTTTTCTTAGAATAGCAAAAGATGTTCTAACAATATAAAGACATACCGGGGTCTGACACACGTTTTGGGACGACAACAAAAAGTTTATAAGCCTCCTCGGTTCATTCCTGGCTCAGAACTGGTGCATAGCAGGCTGGCACAACTGCAAATCAGCCAAGACTCAGCTGTCTGCCCAAACTCACTGCTTGTACAAGGGAAATATAGTTACTCTGGAGGTGCTGCAGACATCTTGTACATTGGGAAAGTATTGGTCAAACACCACCTAATTCTGGCCTTTATGGACGAGTAGTAGATAAAAAGCTAGTGTTGAAATAAAGCCACAAGAAGAAACATGAAAGACACCTTCAACATGTGGAAGAAGATGCTGTGTTGCCTATGCCTGAGCCATTACACAGTATTACACATTTGGGAAATTGCTGAACATATCTGTTTAATCCAGATATGTCCCCTAACAACACAACAGTCTCACTTCTGATTTGCTCTTTGGTTGCTAGGTCTCTGCTAACTCCAAATTTGTTGCATTATTGTCCATGATGCAAGTACAGTACATACAGTGCGTGTGAGTGAACAGAACCTCCACGTCAGTAAGTTTCATTGACCTTGAAAGGATACAATGAAAGTTACACAAATGAAGGGTAGGACTTTTGACTCCTGCGCCATTATCCTTGAGAGGTGTGCCTTCATACACGCCACATCGACATGCAGTGTATGGAGCCGCAGACACAAACAAATTGCATAAAAGTACCAATATTTTGGGTTTAATACTTTAGCTTAGATGGTGGTATCAAAAATAGGTTTTTGGTCTGTTCAATAAGCAACAATTTAATCATATGTCAATGAATGGTTTGTTTAAGGCCTTCTGTATATTCTTTACCAACCTCTTTGACTGTTGCACTGAGAGCCAAAACAATTTCCTAGTGTGTGACTTCCTGTTACTTACATGGCAATAAAAATGATTCGGATTCTGATCATGTGTGGTGAAGATGGAAAAAAATAATCTGACACGCTGATCTTAGAATAAAGCCCTGTATGAAGGTACAGTTTGTTCTTTTTATCCCTCTCTCAATGTTTCTCCCCTTTTCCCACCTTGTTTTAGAGTTTTTCCTTACCAATGCAAGAGGGTCTAACATAAGAACAGTGCTGATGATCTAGGACACTCAACATTTAACAACATTTATGAACATCTGCCCCTTACCGACCAATATCAATGTGTTTTCTCTTGCATTTCTGTTTGATTCTCTGATCTGTGTTGGCGAATTCAACGGTTTTGTAAAGTCATCCAAGATAACTACTGTTTTGATTTAGGGCGCTGTACGAGAGTAAATTTAATTGAATTTTATTACCTGTCCTAAAATGATGATGGAGCGTCCGGACATCTCTGATTGGGAGTTGCTGACATACTTCCGGATCAGTGGCTTCCCGTTGAACCACAGCTGCACCAGGCCTGAGCTGGACTGCCACGTGGTGCAGATGGAGTGCCACTGGTTGGGTTTGTATTCCACGCCTGCGTATCCAACTTTATCCATCTTCACATGAGGCTGCATTTCATTGGCCTCATTTTTGTAAAACAGCAGGAACTCATTGGCGTTAGAGGGCAAAGACATAGAGAAGAGGCCGTGGTCCCGTTTCAGGTCTGTGAAAGATCTGGAAAGACAAAGCTAGAGTTTAGTCAATCTCTTTGCTGAGATGATCTTTGATATTTTGTCTTATTGCAAACAACTTCCTTCTATTCTCACAACCGTAAAAATGTTAGTTTGGCCCCAATGGTGAATCTAAATCCAACTTATATTCTGCAAAATATGCATTTTAAAGCCACATTGCCAAGCAGAAATACTATGCATTAAAAAAGAGAGCACTTTAGAATGATTTTATCATTTGTATTGTAGTTTAATTTCTTTAGAAAGAGGCATACATTTCTTTCAAACAAAAAAATAAGTTGGTGAGACACTGTTAACATTGTTATGAAAGAATAAACCCTCTGGTAACTATGGTGACTGTAAAAATAGACTTTTTGTAAACTTCTCCATTGTGAGATCAATACAGTTTATCTTGAAAATTTAGAGCTAATTTCTCTGTAATTCCAATCCGCATGAAACAAATACTGTCACAAAGTTTCACAGATTCTTTGTCAGTACATTTAAGTATAGTCTAATTGTTTCATCATTAACGTGTCAAGAAGTGGTGACAATATAACAAAACATACATGTTGGCCGAAAGAAAGGCTTTCAAACACAAGAATAATGTGCCGTGTTTGGAAATCTATAAATTGTCAAAAAATAATCTGGCAAAACATGTGGACGTTTTGGTTTTTTTGTTGATCACATACATGTTATGTTCATCACATCATGTACACAAGATTGTTTCTCTTATTTAAAAAAAAAAAATCAATCCCTTTTCCCTTCTTCTTGTGTGCCCCTTGTGCACCAAAATAATCCAAAGTAAAACTAAATTAAAATATGTAAATAAAAAAAATAAAAAAACTCAGGGAAACGGACGTGGGCGTGTTTTACGTTTATTTTTTTTAAATGTAATGAAAATTGCATATCAAATAAAGCTCGCCATCGTTGGAGAAGAAAACTGTACGGCCGGGCCTAAAATATTGCATAATATTTCTTCTTTAAGAAATCAAGGAAGGAAAGATCTTTGAGACTCAGATGATTCAAAAGTGTTGGAGAATGGTTAGAACGTGGTTAAAGTCAGAAATAGTTTTTTTTAAACAGAAACTAGATCACTTGAAGAATTGTCACATGCAGTTCATTTTTAAACATGTATTTTTCACCTGTGGCAGACGGTCAAAGCACTGAAGCTCGTTTGCGGCGGTGAAAGCCTCACGTGGGCAGTGTTGCTTTGTTGAGGGAACGTGAACATTTTTCCGGAAAGATCTAAAACAATAAACACGGTAAAATCAGTATATTCTCCTTTTCTTAATTACTGCTATTACTTTGGTCTGCTTTCTTTTTCTAAAACAGAAGAATACAATTTAGAAAAATAGTCTTACCTTGAACCGCAGCAGCAGCATTTGAGATCAGAAAAACAAGACACACCAAAAGCTTCATCTGATTCCAGAAAAACAAATTTAATATTTTAAATAACATTATATATTTTGCGCTGAAGTCTTTTCCCTCAGATCTTACCTTGAGAGCCTGTTGCGCAAGTAATATCTGCAAAGAGAAGATTCGACTTATGATGAGAACTTCCCTATTTTTGGTCATGTGAGGGGCCGTTTCCCCAAATCTGAGATTGAACTGTTTTTTCACACACTTTCTCAGCTTGTCTAATGTGTGGTCAAATTATTCACATCAAGTGAAAATAAAAGGATTCCATGGGGTCGAACATTAAACCAAAATAGATTTTTGTGTATGCAGTTCTTTCCGCAGTCGCTCGTATAGTAAATAAAGACTGCTCCCTCTGCGCTCTGGATAAAGCAGAGGAAATGGATGGGTAAAAACCCGGAGGGATGTGTTAAATAAGTACAAAATGAACTTAAATAAAAATGTAACGGAATTACACTTGAGGTTAAGGTTATAGCACCATGGGGTGAATTTTCCTATGCTTTTGACCCATACTTCCAATTCCACTTGACCTACACTCAAGGATTTTATATATGGTGGGTGTTTTGAATGAAGTAAGAAAAAGACGGAGCACGGAGGAAACCCACCCAGACACGGGAAAACTTGCTAACTCCACACAGAAAGGCCAGAGTCTGCACAGGTCCCCAACCCGCCAAAACTTCTTCAAACCTGGTCTGGACTGCCCAAACTCTGGTTGATGTATTCAGAGTCTTTTTGGTTCGGACCATATTCTCTGCTCTGGTTCAGAGTGAAATTCTGTACACTTTATTAAAATGTTGTCATAGAAATTACCTTCCTCTTGTGGATTTGCTGTGTACACTTGATCTGCTTAGTTCAGACCATGCATCCTCTCTGCTCTGGACTGGATCAGTGTGAAACCATAAACACGGTACTACAGTAACATTTACTGCTAGAAAAAAGAAAGAAAGAAAAAAATTGTTTTCAACCAAGGCCTTTCTCATTTGATATGGGACCAAGCATAAAACACATAATAATTTGGTCAATTTTTCTTTACAATATTTATAGTTACATACTTGTGCTTTACAAAGAGAAACAGCAACATCATCCCCCTTTTAAAGCAATAATTTACAGTTTCTTGCTCAGGCTAGTGCATAAACATGACTATTCTGGGGCCTTTCATAAAAAAATACTCAGTGGCCACAGTCAGGTCTAGCATACACCTGCAATAGAGATTCAGGAACCTCACCCTCTGGTTTCATTTCACGATATACAGCCACAGTATCCACCTTTCTCTGTGCAATGTTGTTAAGTGTACAGTCTCCAGGCATTTTGTATTACTCCCCATTACAAAGAAGCTGCTGTTATTATCGGCCTGTTCCTGGGGCAGTGTTTGGTGCTGATGATGAGATAAGATTGAGTTTTCTACAGTTGCTGGAGGAATGTGCAAACCGATCTGTAATGAATTATCTCCATGGTTCAGTCCATGCACGGATACAAGCATATACTACAACTCTGAACGAGGCTCTGAATGCAGAATATGGACAGAAGGATATTGCGTAACTTTGAAATATATAATACAGATCAAAACTAGTCTCCAATACTTATTAATATTGTGCTTCCTGGATCTGAAACTTTGTTGAATTCCTGTTACATATCAAGAAAATGTTGAACTGTTTTTTAAGAGGTTAATGCCAAAAACTCCATGTCTGTCCTGGTCCTGTAATTTGCACAATAGTTAAACCATAAGTGACATTTGAAAATTTTGGATATACCCCTGTCCTGTATTTGTAAACAAAGATGGCTCCACGAGTTTCGCGGCATCAGAGGTACGGCTTTATCGTGGAATCACAAATACCTGATAAAAGATGGCCACTGCAGACACACGCCTCCTTGATGGATTGAAGCTGCTAAAAACGTGAATCCTTGCGTGGTTGGGGTTAGAACAAACATAAATTCATGAATTTAGTATTTTGATGCACTGACCTCTTGCCTACTGGTGTAAACAATGTCTCAATAGCTCACCAAAAACCTCACATATTCAGAGCTGTAGATACATCATTTGGGGCAATAACCGTGTGGATCTCAGTTTTTGCAAATGTACACTGTTTTGTTTTGAGTGCACATTTTTCAAATTTTATGTCATGGGGTAAAAAAAAAAAAAGGAAGGACCCAAAAGCAGAACTGAAAAATAATGTCAATTCATTAATAAGTGCCACAAGAAAGGAAAAAACCTGGAACAAGAAATGGGGAAAACAACAATACACAGACAAACAAGAGGACAGGAGCACAGGGTCTAAATACACACGGAGACATGAGGGTGGGGCAAACGATCTACAGGGCAGATAGGAAGTAAATCTCAGACATGTCCACACTGAGACATTTTAGTCACAGCATATAGAACTATGTTTGTTCATGACATTAGATACAGTTAAAAAGTAATCTTTCAGTAATCCTGTAAGAACATACAAAATAGCCTTGGTTTTTCAGCGGGGGCTTTAGGCAAGGCTGGGTAAAGTGTCTTTCCCATGGACACAACAACATCAGTGGGAGTAAGTGGAAGTAGATCTCGTGGGGTGATTGAACCCACGACCATTAGTCCCCAAAACCAAAACTATGTGCTTGCACTGCATTTTTGTTTCCGTTGGAACAAAACAGTTGTGTCACCTTTTACAATGTGGTCTTGAAGAGGCTCCAAAATATCTAAGTTCTGGATAATTTGGGGTTTTATTAGCTTAGCTTCATATGAGGAGAGAATGATGCCTTATCTAAAAAGTAAAATGAAATCTCCCACCACAGTAAGAGACGCAGACAATTGCTTTAGTATAAAATTATAATATGTGTATTTGTAAAACAACCTTCAACTTTACAAATGGAATAAATGAGTGAAAACACTGCATCAGTCACTTCAATCAGCTCAATTTGAAAAGCATCCATCTGTGTTTAGTTCATCAGTATTCCTTCCCACTGTCCATTGTTTTTGTTGGATACTTTTCAGCTACTCAACCTTTTGCTTCTGTGCAAACTTTAATGACAAATCTGTTTATTTCCGATCAGCACTCGTTTGTTGATCTGGAAGTTCAGGGCCTCCGAGTGGAGCACGTTCCCTGGGGTGAAACCGAGGCCAGACATATAGTGTACTTGGATCTCACACGACGACAAACCCCAAAAACTCTGCTTGAGGTCCGAGCCTCCTCTGTGACGATCCAACTCCTGGAAACATGATATAGCACTTTTATAGCACTTTTCACAGACAGTCAGAAACGGTTAGTGCTTGTGCTGCACACCAAGAAGGTCTGATTCCACGTCTAGACAGGGCCTTTCAGAGTGAAGTTTGCATTCCCTCTGTTTCTGCGGAGGTTTTCTCCAGTGTGTTCGACGCATAGACTGTATCTCCGCCGTTCTAACTAATGGGCCAAAAATAATGGGGCAAGCTCCATTCATTTGAACGAGAGACTTCAAAAATTCACAGCGAGTAAACTAGAGTGGTCCAAAAAAATTCACCCCCCTCAGCATTGACACACATGTGGAACGGGGCTTTGGGCCAAGAGCCAACTTTTGGACCATCCTGTAAAGACGTTTTTGAGAGGTCTGCCAAGGCTATATGTTAGCATTGGCTAATTCTTATTCCGGGTCCACCCCCATCGGCCCGGGGTGGTATTGCAAGCATGTCAGCGCAAGTCATTTTGGCCACTTTTGAGCCGGGACCCGCCCCCACTGGTTCGACGTCTCGCTTCTGTCATCAATGTGTGCGCATGTTACGTCCGGCTCAGCTAGGGAGTAATGAAAGCAACAAAAACTAGATGGAAATGGTATGGGTCATGAGTGATACATACATTTAATAATAATAGTAAATTAAATGAATTGTGGGACGAAAGAGGAATACAGAAATAACAAGGACATATTGTCACTTGAGCTCAAATTAACCAAGTGACAACATAACACAACAACACAGAAGGAGCGGTGAAGGCAGACTGGCACGGAACAGGTCCAGCTGCCCCGAGCTGGCGTAGAACGGTAGGTTATATGAGGGATGCCCTCAATGATGGATCCCCGGAGTTGGCGGACGTCCTCTCACTTCTCCCGCTTCAGCCACTCAGGTGACAGACCGGCCGCGCCCACTCCTGAAGCTCCTCCAATAGATCACCTGTACAGATCGAGGCGGCGCACACAAACACACAACAAAGGGCAACGGGAGCGCCATCTAGTGCAAAACTGGCACAATAGGTCGTTGCCCGTAACAGTGCAGTGAATAGAAAATAACCCGTGCACCAATATTGTAAAGTGAAAAAGTGTGAAATGTGCTATATAAATAATAATGCTTACTTGCTTACTAATATTGCATTGTTCATTCACTGTTCGTATTGTAAATTAAACCTCTGTGCCCCAAGAAATGTATGGATTTAAAAATGTGTAACCCAATCCAAAGATTTTAAATTACTAGCTTAAGAAATGTTTGTGATTATGCATCTTGTTACATCTTGAGTTTTTAAGCTGCTATCTTTGACCCTATCATTTATCTTACCACCCATGTGGCAAAATAAACATACTTTCTTACTTTTGCTGGAGGATTTTACCAATCATGCATCTTTTGGTTAGTGGAGGAATCCGGAGCACCTGGAGGGAACCCATCCAGACTGGGACATGCAAGCAGAAAAGCCCAAGCCGACCCACTGGCTGTGAGCATAGGCTGTAAATGTTAATGGGCCAAAAATTATGCTCTACTGGAGCTATCCAAAATGGCCGCGAGTGGTCCCACCCACGAGAAAATTGTGAAAAAAACGCATCTGCGCATGCGTCAGCCGGCGCAAGCCCCATTCATATAAACGAGAGACTTCAAAAATTCACAGCAACTAAACTAGACTGGTCCAAAAAAATTCACTCCCCTCAGCATTGACACACATGTGGAACGGAGCTTTGGGCCAAGAGCCAACTTTTGGACCGTCCTGTAAAGGTGTTTTCGAGAGATAAGAAGATGCTATATGTTAGCATTGACTAATTCGTATTCCGGGTCCACCCCCATCGGCCCAGGGTGGTATAATTGCAAGCATGTCAGCGCACGTCATTTTGGCCCCCCACCGGCTGTGAGGCATAAAGGCTCTCACTCTGTCTTAGAGCAGGTGTTAGAGTTCAAATGGAAGGACACATAATCAATGACTAACAAAAGCTTCCCCAAAGTCACATCAACGATTGTTTTATTTGTAAAGAGCCGGGACGGTGAGATCAATTCAGCCGAGCAACTCTAAAACATGAGCAATTTCTCTGTGGATCAGTTGTTAACAAAAAACAATCAAAGTCAGTCCATTTCAGTTTATTTGTCATTCGCAGGATGCTCAAAGTGCACCAAGAGAACTATATAAAAGCATATTGAAAAAGAGACATATACAAAAGTACAGAGCAGCATATATTTTCTCAGCTTGATAAACCATAATATAACATTGTTTACTCATTAAAAACCCACCTGAAGTTCTTTTTAGCTCCATCCATGCTAACATTAGGAATTCAGCGCAAAAATCCATAAGCACCTCCTTCACTGACTCTATACAACTATATGCCATTAGATCCTGCCATGTTTTATCCACTTCAATTATATAAGCAGTTACTTTCCACTGCTACCACTTTTCTACTCAAAAAGGTAGACAGATTTTTGTACACATACTGTATCACAAGAAAAAAATAGTGTGTCTTTTTATGCAGCGGATGAGCAGCTAACATTGATTCTTTGTGATTTCGGCAAAAATGTAAAATTAGAGGAGATCAGACGGTAGAGGACCAACAAAACACTAGCGAAAGACACAAGCAGACCAAAAGAAATCTAGAGTGAATAACACATTATTACTGGAGAGGTGGCACTTCTGGCAAAATCTCCCTAAATACCTGATTTTAAAAAACACTTATGTGGTCAAGATCCTGTTTAAGATTCTGTTTTCGTCTCACAGTGGGGAAATGTCCGTTAGAGAACAGAAAATAAGTGAATATTAAAGGTCCTATATCACGCTTTTCTTCATGTTTCACACTCAATCCTATACACATGTGTGATATTAATGTGTATGATACACCACACAACAATCAAAGCTTGTGAGATTAGAGCCATCTCTTGTATAGAGTCACCTCGACTCAAACGAGCTGATCCAGAGAAGAGTCTGCTCCTCTGCCTGTGAGCCCGCCTCCCCCCGCCCGCACGGTGACGTAGCATCACGCTTTTGTCGTTTATCACCTGTACTTAGTAATTTCATACATAAGAATAAACTTTTTCCAACAATGACAATCCGTCACATCAAGCCCTATGTCCTCGATGCACAATCAGACCCTAGTTATTTAGTTTACAGAAGTATACAGCGAGTTAGCGTCACTACTCACAGATCGAGGGGGTCCGAGTTACGTCTTTCACCGTGGGAATAACGTGTTTCCAGATCAGCTTTTGAGTACGTCCAGTTCCATTGTCCCTGTAGTTCTGGAACAGTCTCAGTGAAGTGTCGCAGATGAACCGGTATTATAATAGATCCATGAGATGAACAGATGAAAAAAGTCGAGCCGCTTTCTTCCTCTTAGGGCCAAATAGTGTGTCACATATTTACACCCATAACACACTTCATTCAAGTTGACGTGATCCTAACACTTTTAGTCGCTGACAAAAGCATAAAAACAGCAGCTCTATGTGGTGTCCGCGAGACCAGACCACAGACGCTGGACTCGGGAGCCGGAGCCTGTGCGCTCTGATTCGCTGTTTTGATCCGTCAATCACCTCCCGCCGGCTTTTAATTCATTTTTATTTTTATTATTTTTGACAAAAAACAGCATACTAATTGTGTATTGTTTACCCCGTTTTGACAAAAGTATTTAACAACTATTTTAAATACAAAGCAAACGGGGTCATGCGTGTCATGCGCGTCATCAGTGTGGTTTTCGTCACTTAAGTGGACCCGAGCGTTTCTGTGCCTCACGCTGGGGAAGGAGACAGATTGTTCTCTTACAAAAGATTGACAGAATCAATGAATAAACTACTGTGGGCTTGTGTATGAAGGCCAAATAGCATTGTAATCATGTTTAAAGTAGAGAAAAGTCAAAAACCGTGATATGGGCCCTTTAAGTATAGCACAATCTTATACTTTCAAAAATAAAATTAAGTCTCCATCTTCAGCTTTTAGAGGCAACATATAAAAAACATTATACTCCACTGCAAGAAATCTGTAGATAATTCTGTTTTACACTATGTACTTTATGCACTCTAGATCATGTTTAAAAGCCAACATGATTGCAAATAATGCCAAGAATGTTCTTTCAATAGTTATTTCATGAGTAAAAGGTCAGAATGCAGTCATCTGTATTCACAAAATAGCAGACAGTTTGACGCGTTTGGTCCATTTGAGTTTACTTTGCTTCTAAATGAGCAGCCTGTGTGTGGAGGAGTCCTGGGTGGTCCCGCGCTCCCAGCCCCTCCGGATGCGTGTCAAGCTGCGGTCCACACACGGGAGCAGCAGCAGCAGCTTCAGCACGAGCACGACTGAAGGCAGCACCAGAGACAGCAGGTAACCCGGAGCCATGTACCATTTGTAAGACGTGGGTCGCAGAAACTTGTCCCATCCGTATAAGTAGGCGTGGAGCGTGCAGAGGAACAGGGTCAGGTAGCCCAGCTTGGACTGCCAACAGAGGAAGACACAAGAGCATGCAGTGTTGAATCTGGCCTTCACAAAATGGACAAAGGTCACAACGACTTCAGTCAGGTCTCTGTTGTAGCAGTAGCATATGCACATAGAATGCTGTATGCACATGGATGTAGCATATGCACATAGATGTAACATATGCACATGGATGTAACATATGCACATGGATGTAACATATGCACGTGTATGTAGCATATGCACATGTATGTAGCATATGCACATGTATGTAGCATATGCACATGTATGTAGCATATGCACGTATATGTAGTATATGCACGTGTATGTAGCATATGCACGTGTATGTAGCATATGCACATGTATGTAGCATATGCACATGTATGTAACATATGCACATGTATGTAGCATATGCACATGTATGTAGCATATGCACATGTATGTAGCATATGCACATGTATGTAGCATATGCACATGTATGTAGCATATGCACATGTATGTAGCATATGCACATGTATGTAGTATATGCACATGTATGTAGCATATGCACATGTATGTAGCATATGCACATGTATGTAGCATATGCACATGTATGTAGTATATGCACATGTATGTAGCATATGCACATGTATGTAGCATATGCACATGTATGTAGTATATGCACATGTATGTAGCATATGCACATGTATGTAGTATATGCACATGTATGTAGCATATGCACATGTATGTAGCATATGCACATGTATGTAGTATATGCACATGTATGTAGTATATGCACATGTATGTAGTATATGCACATGGATGTAGTATATGCACATGTATGTAGTAAATTAATATGTATGTAGTTTATCAAAAGACAAAAGAACCAAAACATCAAAATAAAACTAGGTAAAAGTGATAAACTTCTTATACTGATCATTGATGGCAAATGCATCCGATTGTTGCTTGTTCGTCCTGTATCTATATAGATATTCTCATTACATTCAAATTGACGTGAAGCCCATTTGTTATAATGTTAATGATTATGGCTTTTACAGTCTATAAAAAAAAAATTGTGCTGTTTTATTTGTGGTATTTACAAGCTGTGTGCCAATTATTCCCATTATAACATATACAGGCTCCACATCGTTCTACTTACGTTCGTAAGTAGAATTACAGAAGTAAATGGACCGTTGAACGATATCCTAATTTTCAGAGTTTCAAAAAGAATTTTGACCTAAGATAAGATCGAATGTATTGATCTAACCAAGGATAAATTTACCTAATGTTTGCTTTTAACATTGAATCAACTTGTGTTTGAGTGTTGTCCTTTCCGATGGGAATGTGTATTAATTAAACAGTCCAATCAAAAGTGTGTCATTAGATAGAAATGACAATGTTAATTATATGTATCTACTTCTCACACTCAGAGGTAGATATAGATTCACAGAATGAAGCCAAGTGCCCATCCTGTCTCATAGGTTCATCTTTTCATTTCACTCAGAGATATTTATTATGTTCTGGAGAATGTGCATTCTCCACAAATCATATGAACAAAGCCAACGGCCAAGGATAATGTATGCTCTCCAAATTACATTTGATGAATAACTTAACATTTAAAGAGCTGCTCTAATTTGGGCTGGAATAAAGAGGAGGAGGGAGTGTGACCCAGTTACATTTCTGAATGAGAGTTTCCCAGAGAGAAGATGTGAGGTGCAGGGAGGAAGATAAAAGTCAACACGGTCACATGTCCGCTCCGTCAGGGCGACTGGGAGGAGGTCAACACAACAATCCATAATGACCACATGCAGCCTTCTGGGTTTTTACTTTACACCAAGTTTTTCAATCATCAGATTTTTCAAACTTCACACGAGTTTGTACAATGATTGTACTCGTCATTGAAAAGTTGTTATGTCATGTTTATCTGTTGTTGGGTCATAGGGACAGAAACCTAAGTAGAAGCCCAGACTTCCATGCCCTGAGTCTTCCCTGGGGTCTCCTCCCGGTGGGATGCAGCCAGAACACTGTTCCAGGGAGGCGTCCAGGAGGCCTCTGAAACAGATCCTTGAGCACCTCGACTGGTTTAATGGTGTGGAGAAGCAGTGGCTCCAGAGTTGTCCTGAGCTCCTCATCTCTAGGGGAGCGCCCAACACTCCAACGAGGAAACTCAGTTCAAAGCTCATGACCATAGGGTTGACCAATAAATAGAGAGCATTGCCAATGATCTCGGCTCCTTCTTCACCACAACAGTTTGATAAAGCTGTGACTGCAGACGCTGCTCCCTCTTGACCACAACAGTCCCACACAGTGACACTATCACAGCAGACACTGCATCAGTCAATATCACGCTCCTCTCATTCGTGAACAAGACCCGGAATCTCGAATCCTCCACTTGAGGCTGGACCTCTCCACCCACCTCATTTGTAACTTTGTATCTGCATTACTGCCCAATCAATGTTTAGAGGAACTATTCCAAAAAATAGTATATGTTGGTATTAAAGTAAACTGTACTTTAAAAGGTGGCTGTAAACAGTCTGGGAACATCTCCAGATGTTGATGCTCTGTTCAGTTCAGATTGTTTATTTGAGCTCAGATCAATGCACAGTTGATACAGCCAAAAGACATAAATGTTTGTTTAGAAGCTAGTTCAAGGACAAAAGGAGTAGGCAGAAATAAAAAAACACTTTGCCTTCATTGTAAATTCATTCTTTATACTGCTCGATTAGGACCTTCACTGGAAGTTTTTCCCTGCGGTGCATGTTTTGCATGATGGACAAAAAGGCCCAAGCCGGCACAGGAATCTTCTGGATGTGAGTTATGAGTCAAAATTGTGGTTACAGCGGCCCAGTTTAATATTGTGTGTGCGTTCCACGGTGTTATAAGTGATTCATCAATCTGGTTGTCATCGTAATGTTTCAAAGCCTCGTTGAGCAGGTGAGACATCAGTCATTCCAAATGAAATATCCCAATGAGCTTGTTTGTATTCATTTTAGAATTGAGTTTGCCCATATCAAACAGCTATGAACCACCAAACTGTCTGCAAAATGTGCAAAGTTAGCGAATATTAACCGTGACTTTGAGCTGGAATTTGCATTGATGGCATTTACATATTAATATATTTACTGAACTAAGACGTGTCAGGTCTTAAAATGATGTGAGAAAGCCTGTTCTCACCTGGATGAAGCTGAACTCTCTCCAGCTCAGACTGTTGCTCACAGACGGCAGGGAGCTGATGCCCAGAAGCACGAACAAGCCAAAGCCCAGGATCCCCATGGAATAGTAGGAGTCTGTGCGCCACGCTGAGGTCTGCGAGAACTCTGTCGTCTGGTTTTTCAACACCTTTTCAAAGAGACAACAGCCTGTTAACCCTTTAATGGTTTCCTCGACCATTTGGTGGATCACTGTTTGAGTCACTTTAGCTACTTGAAGCTTGGAACTGAAATCAACCTCATTGGGGCATCTCTATCACTTGGTTTTAGGCACTTTTACCATCAAACTCAACTCAAAAAAAACAATTTGTCAAAAAAAAAAAATACATATAAAAAATTTTTTGTGTGTTAGTAGTGCCCTTACATCTTAGAAAATAAAATTAAAAATACATTGCTTTCTTCAGCGAGAGAACAATAAAGGGGACCTAACTTTCAAAACCACAAAAAATTCCACTTGTTTGAACTAAAAACAGATCACAGTTTTCACATGCATTTCGTGTTAGCTTTTCGTCACATCTTTAAATCTTTATTATTATTTTTTGACAGAAAAGTAAGACAGAGACGACTATTGTCACTCAGCCAATCAGCCCAAAGCCTCAAATAGTGACTCACAGATCAAAGTTGACAAGAAAAAGACAACCAGCATCAATGGTTGGATTGTAACTTGTGTAAATAAATCTTACCTGTGATATAGTGCTCGCAGCGATTCTGTACCTCACATAATATCTGTAGATCAGAGACATTACAAATATTTCAATTCAATAAGAGGCAGTTTATGATCCAATTCAGAGGGAGTCATCAACTATTTCCTGGTACATTATAAGTTAAATATGATCCCTTTTGTAGTCCACAACATTGATTTAACTGAGACTAGCAGCAAGCTCTTTCATACATCGTGCTCATGTTGAGGTTTACGTCGCCAATGGCTTGTTTCGTCTTTAGACAGTGTAGTTCACATGTGTCAAAGTCAAGGCCCGCGGGCCGGATTTGGAATTAATTTTACATGAATTAATTTTAATAGTGCCATTGACGCACTATTACGTCAATTGCGATTTCCGCTATTTTCATGTTCCCAGATGTCTATTATATCTAATATGTATGGGGATAAGCTTGAGAGCATATTGAATCGAGCCAGCAGGTGGCAGCAGCGCTCTCTGAATGGTTTGAAAACAGCTAGATGCACTTGTTGTGCCTCTTTTTCCTCAGCTTTTTGGTGATTTCAGTAAAACTTCCCTCTACTCAACTGGGGATTACAAGCTAGAAACAAAATTCTTTTTGCTGATGAAAGTAGACAGTCTATTCTTTCAGAATCTGGTTTCGGATTTCAGATAGTCATAGTACACAATATTCTGTGGGTCTTGAAAAATCTATAAAAATCATCAGAAACTGCTGGCAATATGGGAGTACCTGTTCTGAAATAGGCTGGCAGGCAATGAGTTAATAAACATTGAACCAGTCCGGCCCTCGGCTCGCAGCAAATTTGTTTTTTTGGCCCTCTGATGTATTTGACTTTGACATGCCTGGTGTAGTTTATGAGTTGACATTTTTTAATGATTGCATCTGTCATACTTGTCGTGCGGTGAGACGAAGGAGGACCCAAAGTGCATGAATGCAAAAATATGAATGATTTAATGAGGATAAATAAAAGTTCACAATGAAACGAAAAAGCAAAGTCAAAATTCAAACGCAAACCGGGAACAGACAAGACAAGGAAAGACAAGGACAACGGGGCCAGCAACAAGGGGAGAGGAGCACAGGTACAGAAAGACACACAGACATATAGGTACACAGTAGAAAGACACAGGTGAAAAACATCAGGGCAAGCATTTGATCAACCAGGGGAACAGAAAGTAAAATAAAAAAATTAAAACCAAAGGAAATAAAAAAATCCACACCATGACAATACTAGTTATTTTCCTCTACTAGCAGTCAGAGGTGGCATGTTTTATAAAGTTCAGTTTTAGTGAAACCTATTCCTATGTTGACACGCCAGTTTAATTAAATGTAATGGATTATGTTTGCCATCTCAAAGGAAGAAAGGGCAAAAAAAAAAATATAATGAGAAGAAGCAGGTTGCTCCCATTGGCCCCAAAACGTCAATTAGCGTAACAAACATAAAGTCAATGCATTTATTACCATAATAATGTACAAATTAATACCTGCATAAAGTGATTTCTAAAGTCAAAGAGGCATAAACGCACATATGCAGCTAATTAACACTTATTTTACTTCGAATGTCAGAAAATGTCATATTGTATTTATTTTAATTGTGGACATGACAATACATCACATATAACAATTACGTTTAAAATAATTGTAGTCTTTTCCCGCAAATGAAAAGGAGCAGGAAGAAGAAAAAAATCTTCTGTACACTTTTTTCTCTTTTCTCTGCATAAGGACTTTTTTCTGATTCTAACCATGTTCTGTGATGATCCTGACACTGAAAATAATCCTGTATTTTTCAGTGTCAGGAACTATGTTTTTTTTTTCATAGTTTGAACATAGTTTGAAAGTAGTGCGTTGGCATGTGGAGCGGGTGCACCTGGACTCACCGTATGGGAATGATGAGAGTGTAGAGCACGTGCAGAGAGGCCAGCGCCAGAGCCACCAGTCCCATCTGCTTCCTGCACAGCATCCAGCGGTCCAGCCAGTCGGGGAAGGGCCTACAACAGAGACACATGGTCACAGGGGCAGCCGTCCTCCACCACTGTCCTCTGTCGCCGTGACGATAGATACAGCAGAGGTGGCGAGACTTGTGTGACTCGCATTAAACACAACTTTTTGATAAATAGAAGATGGGAGTTTAAAAGTCTTAACTTCTTCCCACTCCTTTTTGAGGTGAATTTTCGTTAATAAAACAAAATAAATTGTATATTTGTATATTATCATGTATTCTTTATTTTTCTATTTTATTGTTGTTCTTTGTTATTCTTTGCCATGGCTCAAAATAAAGTATTTATTCATTCAACCACAATTTTCAGTCCCTTCACTTGAGTAAAAGTTAAAAACTATGTGCTTTTATATGTGCGTATAGAAATATATGTTTACTGTAAAACTGCAGTGTGGACGTGAATATGCAAACATAATACGGCCTACAACATGCTTTTCACTACTCACAACTTGTATTATGGATCTTAGGAGCAAGGCTAACCACTCCAAAACTATATTGTTGAATTTAGAAGCATGGCTAACCACTTCAAAACTGTATTATTGAACTTGTAAGTATAGCTAACAACTTCAAAACTGTAATAACAATCTCATAAGCATTCCAAACATGTTTAATTGAACTTAGAAGCATGGCTAACCACTCCACAGCTGTATTAACTAAGTTGGAAGCACAGGCTTACCACTTCACAATTGTGTTTAATAATAAAATAAGAACATTGAAAGGCGCTTTGATATATAAATAAACTTGACGTACTACTTACTTACTAACTAGAAGCAAAGCTAACCATTGCAAGCCTGTATCAATGTCCATGGAAAACATTGCTCGTCTCTTTTTTGTATATTGATGTATTGCCCTCAGGTTATATTAAATTCCATTGAAAAGGAAAGAGTCAGGTAAAGTATAGATAGTACTTGAGTAGAAGTACTGTGGCCCTCTGACCTGTACTTGGTCCCTCTGTGCAGCTGGAGCAGAGCGGCCATCACACCAGGAAGATAACACAAAGCCAGCATGACGAGCGACACGATGGGAAAGACCTGCCACACAACATCACACAACTTTCACTAAGACACCAACAACTGTGTCCTTCTCCAGCCTCTCACAGCGACGGAGGAAGGTGTGAGGTCAATGTTTAATAAGAGTTTAAATGTTTTGTGTTATTTTGACTTTGGGTTTTACTTCCTGTTTCGTTCCTTCTGTTAGATTGTGCGCCCCGCCCTAATGTGTTTCACTTGTATCTTTCTGTGTCTATATGTACCATACGTAAATATCCCCATTTTTGCTGGTCCATCAAAGGAGTTTTTTCCATTAAAAAGGATTTCTGAATTTGAAAGAGTTTGGAGTCTACAGTGTATTCTTGAGGGAGGGGACAGCAAGAGTATGAGGGCACTGATGGGATCTGTTGAAGGAATAGATTGGATTCCTAAAGTATAGTTGTTTCTTTGTAAATCCGCACCACAAATAATTATCCTTTGGGTGAACTTAAAAAACAAAAAAACTTTTGTATAGCTACTTTTATTTTTTCACAAAATGTATTTATGATTTGGTTAAAACCTCACATTTTGATTGTATTTAAAACAAAAATATTATTTGTTTCCATCACAACATTTAACTGTTTTTTTGGAGAATAAAATGTATAATGTGAACTTTAATATTGTTTAAATGTTAGAAAAATGTCATGGTACTTTTAGACAAACTTGGGAGAAACCCTTTCTCTGGATGTTTTATCTTTATTAATAATCTTTATTGAAGGGAGAGAGTACAGAGACATTGCTCAGAGAGACAGACATGTTCTGCATCAGATTAAAGCTAGGCTCCATCTGCAAAGTTGGTTTCAGAAAAATACATTTCAAGATACAATGCTTTGCTTGTGCGTCAACTGTCTTTGAATGTGATGCCAGGTGGAGAGAATCTATTTTAGAACTCAGCATGTCGTTCTATGCTTTTTATTTTTTTATTATATTTTGTTACAAACTGTCACTTGATTGAAGTAAATTATGAAGAATTACCAGGGGTTCTGTCTCATCAAGAGAAGTCATCACCTGTGTAAAAATGTAACCTGCCACATGCATTTTACATATTTCCTCCATTTACTGCTTAAACCACGCACTCTTTTGCACACTCATTCGCTTTGGATCGCAGCTCAGCTTGTCTCACCTTATTTGCCAGTGAGACCATAATCCTGAAGGAGATGTCTTTCCCATCCACCACGTAGGCGTAGATAACGTCCCTGATGAGCAGGTAGAAGAAGAAGGCTGCGGTGAGGCCCAGTGCGATGCCCAGAGGCAGCCTCCATTGTGGGAAGAGCTGCAGGGGGAAGTCCTCCAGCTCCCGGGACGCCCCCAGAGAGCCCCTGTCCAGCACCAGCAGGCCCAGACGGGTGCAGACCTCTGACACGGCCTGCTTCGCCTCAGCACTGTCCCCACACACGAACGTCTGCCAGGTAAGCAAGGAATAGTAAGTCACAATCTATTTTGAGTTTTTTCTCCTCGAGCAGCATTTTTCCTCCATGTTTGACAAAATGAAACGTGTTGTGACAAAACAGTGTGTGAAAGGCCCTTTTTAAAGCATGGTTCTCTGCACTGGCTTTATGTGGCTCGGAGAATAGACTTTAAGACACAAACGAGTCTCTCCATGAGCAAAGTACATCTGTGATTTGTTTGTGCCATATGGACCAACTCTGACTTTGAGGAGCACAGGGACTGGCCTCCTGCTGATGCCCAGAATCAGGATTAAACCCAAGAGAGGCAAAGTGTCAGATTTACGCAGCTAAAATCTGTCTTCCTCAATATGTGAGACAGGCTACTCTAACTGTTTCTTGTGTTGTTAAGCACTTTGCCTTGTGTATATATGTATAGTTTTGCTATACAGGTCAAACTTCTACATTCTAGATTCTGGCAATGTGACATCACAGCATTGCAAAAAGCCTGTGTTGTTAAAAATGCAGCTGAAAACTCTTTGCTGATGATCATGGAAACTGCCGTAAGTTTCGAGATAATCGAGCTGTAATTCTGGGACTAATCAAGCCTGAGAATACCTGAACAGCACAAAAGACTTCTGGATACACTCAAAGCCCCAAATAGATGAACACTCATAAACCTTACTTCTTCAACAACAAAAATAAATGGATGGTTTCCAGTTTACAAATTCAAACAATAAAACCTTCAACATATGTTTGTCAGCACATGCCAACTATAGTCTGAGTATTTTCTCAAAAAATGTAACGATATTGTGACAATATTTACAACAGCCAGTAGAAAAGAAGTTCAGACTGGTAGACTACCCACACACGTCATGGCACCAGGCTGTCCCCTTCCATTCTCAGCCAATCACATCAGCTTTGTCAACTCCCTCCCAGCCGTGCTAACAATCTTTTAATACATATTGTCTCTCATAGTCTCTCCAGATTGAAATGGGAATAAAATGACGGTTTTGTGAAACTAATTACTATGAACTTATGGGCTGGAAAAACATTTGTACGCTTCATTTCTCAGAATTTCTTTTTAGAATGGCTTTTGGAACCTGCTCTAGAAACAGAAATAGAACTACAACATGAACACAACTTATAAAACTCAGAAGAAGCGCATCACTTTTATGCTTTGGAGTAAGAACTGATTTGCACTTTTCTTATTGATGCTCTGCCAAAGGCTGGTCTTGTCCACACACACACACACACACACACACACACACACACACACGTAGAGGATGCTGGAGAAGACAAAACAAAGTCAAGCACAGACAAAATAATGTAAAAAAAAAACAAAAAACAAGAGGGCAAGTATGAAAGAAACACCAAATGCTAAATGCTGCTGGCAGGAGAGGGAAATCGGAAATGAGCCAGAATATTTTGAGATCTCAACCAGAAAATCTGAGGAAAACAAACTATGAAATGCACTCACTACTTGAACCGAAATACATGTTTTAAAACCATGATTGCTACTGTGAGAATGCAGTTGTAATTACACATCATTAACACAATGATATAGCAAAAATTCTCAGAAATGATTTGGATTGGAGGCCATGCATTTTTCATTTATTTTTTCACAAAGTGGCAGAACAGATGAATGCAGTTCAACAGTTCAACACAGGGGACAAAGGATGACTTTGTTCTGATATTAGACAGAGACAACTTCAGTTTGTGATGGGGACCAAACGTGAACTAGGATTAAAAGCTTCTTTCTGCACTCTGTCTTTTTGTAAAACACTGCTCAGGACTCTAGAGAATTGAAGTAAGTTGATTACAAATTCAAGAGTCTCTTTTGTCAAGTCAAAGTCAAGTGAATCTCCCAGCCGCTCGGTCAACATCTAAAGCACGGCATAAACACTACCTCACCACTCGTATATATACATGTCGCTCCTGTGTGGGTTCTGTCTCCTCTGGGACTCCACCACAAAGATCAAAACTAAAAAAAAAACAACTCTGTGGCTTCATACAGCAGCCAGAAAAAAACTACATCAAGAGCAACTGTGGAGTTAATAGATTTGAGGCGAGAACAGAGATGGCATTCTCAGCCACAACAAAAAGGCCCACTGCTCCATTTGGGCAAAATAAAGGGATTTGGTTTGATCATGATTTCAGTTCTTAATTTAGTATGGACTTTTAAGTTTTCTATTGATCTATTCCCTTCAAGTTGTGAGATAGCAGACATTATGTAAGCACATCAGAGCTATGTGGAAAGTTTGGACTTGACAGAAAAAGGCCCCATGTGACTCAGTACAAACACTCCATATGAGATGGTGGAAGTGGGGTCTGAAAATTAAAATTCCTGAGGGTGACCGTGGCAGAGGATCTTCCCTGCGGGGCATGCATTTTTTTAGTCTCAGTGGTAGGGAAAGCTCAACAATGCCTCTGCTACGCGAGAAAGTTGAGACACACCTATATGTCCAGACCTCTGATGGTGAACTTTTGCAACAGCGGCATCTGCAGAATTCTAACCAATGGGTTTATAGTGTGGTTCTCTCGCCACACTTAGGTGAACTTAGTGGAGCTCGATTTTAGGAGACTGTAGATTTCGCAAATTTGAGGCTCTGTCCCCCCTCTACACACATTTCAGCACTGAAAATGGGTATTTGATTGACAGAATACTGCATCCTATGATTTCAACGGAACAATGCCAACGAGGGTGCGGCTACAAATTCAAAAACAGACCTGAGAAAATGGAGAAGCACCTACTGTATATGTCCAGAGCTCTGATGGCAAACTTTCTATACTTTTTGACCACAAAACTGTTTTAGTTTTTCCTTGCCGATGCAGGAGGGTCTCATAGAGCTTTGTGAGGGTCTAACTAAGAGGGCAGTGGTGATGATCCAGGACAATCAACATTCAGCACCATTCATCAACACTTATGGACATTGGTCATCTGCCCCTTATGGACCAAAACCAATGTGTTTTCTCTTTTTTTTTTGTGTTTGAACTGTTTTATTCTTTGATCTGTATTGGCAAATTCACCGGTTGTGTAAACTCCTCCGAGATAACTACTGCTTTGATTTAGGGCTTTACAAGAATGCATTGAATGGAATTGAATCCTCATAATTTATCTCCAGTCCTTTATCTCCAATCGCTAAACCCACCAGAACCAGCACTTTTCTAACACAGCCTCACATTGTAGCTCTCATTTTGTCCATCAGACATCTGTAAAAAACCTCTGCTCAAAACACTGCATGAGTTCTTTAAAAGCCTTCAGAGCCGTGCGGTCAGTGTGGTGTTGCGTTTTATTGACGTGAATCAAATGTCGGGCCGCTGTGCGCAGCGTTTCGGATGCGTTGGAGTTACAGTAACACTTTGTCAAACACTACAGAGGGCCTGCGAGCCTACACCCACGCACAAACATGCAGCCTGTGAGGATGGGGATTTATATAAAACGGCGAATGTATGGATGCACAGAGGGTAGGATATTTGTTCATGAAATTACACGCCTACATATGGTCATGGCCTGAATCTCTCTGAAAAACATCATTGACATTGTATATGAGACACACGTATAGACAATACAATGGTCAAATGCTGTAAAAAGAATATTTAGCATGTTATTGCCCCTTTAAGCAGTTACCTGTCTGTTTGAGTCCGAGGGCCCATTCTGCAGGGCCCAGGCCGACAGCGTGTTCAAGGCTTTCACCACGGTGGCTTCGGGAACCAGCCTAGAATGTAAACAACGTCATCTGTAACTGCATGTGCTCGATAATGCAATACAGTCCGCGTGACGTCTGAATTAACCCATTAGTTAATCGTATCAGGGCCTCTTACCTCTGCAGATGAGACGCATTGGCCTCTGGGAACATGTCCTTCTCCAGGTTGTTGCTCACATCCACCAGGACCTTCAAATTAGACACACAGGAAGCAACAAGGATATTTGAGGGGCTTGGATAAATCGGAAGAAAAGTGAGGGATGTATGAGTTGCTTTATGCTTTTGATGAAACTACAGTTATTTGTTTGTTTTTAGTTTTTCCAAGTGCACATCCAGTACATAAACAAAATAAATGGAAAAGGGAATGTGTACAGCAGAAAAACATACAATGAATAATTTACTAAAGTTTGTCCAAAGAACTCATGTGGGTGTACTCTTCTGATTGATGGTTTTTTATTATGTTGATAATAAGGAATAAAGCAGGAAGCTATGTAAATATATCATAAAAAAGAGATTTATTTGTAATTTTTTTTACTTTTTAAACATTAGATCGACTCTAATGCCATCATTTTACAGTAAACAAGTAATTTTTTATGGAAACACGGGAATATTTGGTTTATTATATTAGTATTAATTGTCACACCTGTTATTAAATGTTACAAATTTGCTTGGTGTTGGTTTAAAACAGTAGTGATCAGGTAAAGGGCTGGACAATTGATCCCATTTGATGATCCAGTCAATATACAGTATACAGAGCTTGTTATTGGCAACATGGTTCCTGCTAGCTGATCAATGAGAGCTATGAGCCCTTTACTATATTGCCAGTCTTACAAGGACTTTAACTGTTGGCAGTGTTGGTCATGGAATCAGATACCTTCCCCTTGAGCTGAGGTGCGATGGTTTGCAGGAAGCCGTAGTGTTCTCGGTGAATACAGATGAAGATGATGCGGGCGGACTGGGCGGCTGCAGCATGGCTCATCACCTGCACAGGCCGTCATACATAAACATATAAACAAAACAAGACTATACTCAAAGATGAATAATGATTTCATTTGGAGTTATCATCATACACAGTGATGCTTGTGAGTTTTATTAAGATGTCAAGAAGATGCCAGTGCTGATTTCCATGTATGAAGATGTTGTTTAATAAGCTAATATAGTACTGGACTGTTGCATTCAAAATGCACATATCAAACCAGTTTGTTGTGTGCATTCATCACACAAAGGAGTCAGAACTTCCTTTAATCTAATGACAATACAATAAACATATAATAACAGTAATTAGTTGGCCTCTGAAGTAAGTGGCGAGCTAGCCAGGAGACAAAAACAAGTGCGAGCAGGATATTATGACGGAGGTTAGCTTAATATAAATTGAAAACATTCGAGCATTGCATTGCTGAAAGCTGATTGGATGCTGAGGTAATCCACCTTGACCTTTTGTGCTGTAAAATGGTTAAATACTGTTTGATGGCCTAATATTTGAGAAGGTAGATCATAATACCTCATGAATTTCAATTCAAACCTTTTTAAACATGCATTTTTAAGTGATAATATTCAAACACATTAACACTGTGGATAGAGTTATTTTGGAATAGCGATCAGTTATATTTAGCTTTTTTAATGTTATTGTCTTATAAATTAATTGTACATCATGGGTATATTTACATCTTGGAAAAGAGAAACATGCAAGCTTTGAGCTGCAGATAATAGGATTGCCAATGTTTTCCACTGAAATATTTACTTGAGGTTTTAGGTTTGAACTAATATTTCACCGAATACTTATTAACACACTACTTACTTCAAAAAACGTTCTGCACAGGCAGGGTTCCACGCTGTAGCTATAGCTCACCACCCCCTTCTAAATAGCTCCCAAACTCTCAGTAACATTTTGGGCTTTTCAGTTAGAAGATTGTTGACTCATTTGGATTTCAACTTTGGGAAAGATACAGACAACAAACTGGTGCTGTCAAAAAATCAAAATTTGGCTTTGCATTAATGTCATAGTAAACTTGCAAATCATTAAAAAAATATTCCCTTTTCTAAATGGTTTTTAAAAGGATTGGATGAAGCAGAATGCTTGTAATCCAATCCTCTCCAAAATCTCTGTATGCTTTTGTTGTTGCTTTAAAGATTATGATTAAGTAAGGGATGATGTATCGTACACAGGTCATTATCGGAAAATAAGTACCTGCAGGGCGGAAGCAGACCTGTCGGTACTTATATTCCGATAATGACCTGTGTACTATACATTATCCCGCTTATTTTACGGCTTTATACCAACAGAACACACAAAATAAACTTCAGTCCACTCTTAGGAATGCCAAAAGGTTTATTTAATGACAGAAAATAAAATAGTTCCCAAAGGCTTTCCCGTGGCTATGCGAGTAACAGTTAGGCTGGCAACTTCCAAACTAGAACTCTCTGGAACTGCATGAAAACTGAACAAAGAATTCTGAACATCAGCGGTGAGTGACCCAAACATAAACCTAACCTAAATCCATAATTCGATCCTCTGCAAATGCTCTTAAAAGGTCCCGGAATCTACTTCCGGGTTTTTCGCGATTGCTTTTTCTCGCATTAAAATAGTATTTTTGTCATGAAAACCTTAACAGAAAATTCTGAAATCCTCTGTGCATGTGTGTTAAGAATGTATATGTATAAGTATTCTCCAATTAACATTTAATTGTGTTGATTGATTGGTATTTGCGTTTATTGAGCGTGGCTAGCGCCGGAGTGGCCGGAACGGCGGTCATTATTGTTTTGAGAGGTCCGTTATAAGAAATAATGACCGGTAGAATGTTTTGAAATTACATTCAAACCAATGGAGCGTTCTACTGCTGCTGTGAGGAGCCGTGTAATAAGATTTTACAGTGTATAGAAAAATTTCAAATAGAAGAAATTAGTTATAAAAGCTACTCTTTTGTTTATTTTTTCATTCAAGGACTGGTGAACAGGACATAATTATGTGAACAAATGTTGCAATATTAAAAACGAAGCATCTATTGTTGAACTTCTGCCTCTGTCCAGTCAATTTAACATTACCTGTGTGCCTTAGATCAGAGAAGAAATGAGGAACATTTTTGGGTATCATATGCCCTGGCGTTTTTAGTTAGAAGTTTGCTCCGTATTGCAACACATGTCCACCACAGCGCTCCTCACACCAAAATACCAGCCAGGTGATTTTTTTCGCGCAGTGACGCAGCGTTCAGTCTAAAAACAGTACATACGTGTGTTAATGGTCTTTTAGGTCAGCAGCAATTATGGACTTTTGCTGGTGTGTAGCAGTTCTCTGGCATGCACTGTCTTACACTTCTCCACAGACTTCACCGGGGCAGGAGTATCAGCCTCACATTTGTGCTTAATTACGCGAAAAAAAAAAAAAAAAAAAAATGCTGGGTTGGTGTTAGCAGCGATTTATTAGAATATACCGTACCTTAGAAGATGAACCTTTGGGAGTAGAGCAATTTTTTAAATGTGTTATGTTGTGTTTTGTTATTTTGGCATTATGTCTATTGTCATTGTCTGAAGTCTTCTTGTTATGTGTGTTGTACTGTTAGTGTGAATGTTTTATGTACATCCTGTGTTTGTCATTTTGTTGCTAAGCTTTGATGTATTTTGATGAAATTAAAAGACCCCGGGAAGAATAGCAACTGTTCTAACACCTACACTCTGGGGATCTAAATAAAACAAACTTACACTTGTTGTGCATCAAGTTTAGACACAAGTACGATTAATCAAATGAACATTCACTTGATTAATCCATTATCAAAAGAATTGTTGGTTGCAGTGTCCATACAGTGACATTTCCCCTCTACCGCGTCAGTCACTTATCATCCGCTGTGACATTCACGTGTTTCTCACCTGAGCGCCCCGGGGCACGGGGACACAGCTGTCCGGTCTGCGGCTGCCAAACACCACACTGTATCCGGACTGGAGCAGCCGCTGACCCAGGGAGCGGCCCATGTCCCCCGTCCCAAACACACACAGGCTCTCCCCACAGCTCTGCGGGACAGCTGCAACCACGGGACCAAGCGACATCACTTCAGGCTTTTTCTCTCCATTTAAATCTGACAGAAAAACAGTCTCCATGGGAGTGATATGACAGATAAATCCACGACTCCGAAACAATAGAGAGAAACGAAAAGCTGTTTGCAGGATTTCAAAAAGTAGCCATCTTTATCCATGCACCTTTTCCCTTACACTGACAGAGTTGCCTGTGATATAGTTTTTACGTTGGCCTTTTCCCCTCCCATTTTTAGGAAAGGCTAAGGTCTAAACTGGGAAAGTCCACACAAAAAATCTGGGAGGTTTGACTGTCAACACAGCCCACACATGTCCTTGAACTAATTTGTTTTCTCTGCGTTCTGCCTGCCTGTTTTCCCTCCCGATGTGTGTGTGTGTGTGTGTGTGTGTGTGTGTGTGTGTGTGTGTGTGTGTGTGTGTGTGTGTGTGTGTGTGTGTGTGTGTGTGTGTGTGTGTGTGTGTGTGTGTGTGTGTGTGTGTGTGTGTGTGTGTGTGTGTGTGTGTGTGTGTGTGTGTGTGTGTGTGTGTGTGTGTGTGTGTGCGTGCGTGCGTGCGTGCGTGCGTGCGTGCGTGCGTGCGTGCGTGCGTGCGTGCGTGTGTGTGTCTGTGTGTGTGTATTGGCCTGATTCCGGAAAATCAGTGGAAGGTTATGCAAGATGGGACAAGCCGTCTTATTCAACTTTGTAACCGTAATTTCTAGTTTTGCCAAACTACGGGAAGTGCAAATAGTGAAAGTGTGTCAAGAGTGGATCTGGGGACACCGGAGAGGAAATGATCATGTTAGCCTTTATAATGTCCTCCATCTGTTATGAAACTTTACAATGTTATTTTTTTTTCCTTATGCAATACTGTTTAATCCAACTCTTGTTCAAAACATGCATCCATGTTTTGTTTGTTTTTTCAGTGAAATAGTAGCACAGATTTGTTAAAGAAGCTATACCTGATTTCATGAAAATGCTTATTTCTACATACAAGCTGTATTATAATCCGCAATTTAATTGAAAACCTGAGCTCATTGATTCAGCTTGTGTATGAATTCAGGCCGTAAAAAGTGCTGAGTAGAGCCTTGGCGTGATGCCCGCTCTCCTCCAATCACAGAACGAGGAGCGACGCTGTTAGAACGAGGCGGCGTCCTCTAGCCTCTACAGCAGGGGTGGCCAACCAGTCAGAGACAAAGAGCCAATTTTTTTACTGTGTTACAGCAAAGAGCCACATCATACAAATGTGCACTACATAAACATCACCCCAACCCTTACACACGCACGCACACGTACGCACACGAGCAGACACGCGCACACACATGCAATCTGTCTGAGCAGAGAGAGGTGTGCTCTGCTCAGACAGATGTATTGTAAATGTCATCAACATGATAATGACAGAAATTGACTCGTACAGTACTAAAGGGCTGGACTCGACTCTCCCTGGTTTACGGGCGCTTCCACCGCTCGCTTCAACCGCTCCCCGGTACTTTTTATTAATGGTTTGGCCCTGGTTCTAACCGGGCGAGTCGATACCAGAACAATTTCACGTCAGCGAACATCAATTATGATTTCGAAATGAATGCTTTCAATCTCTAACCAAGAAAAAAAAATCAAGTTTCAACCCAGTGTTCAGCAGAAACACAACTGTCTTTAGTAAAAGATATAGATTTGACACATAACACCAACACCACTTTAGCTGATTTAGAACCACATACACATGCTCAGTATAAGACCAGATACTTTTGCATTTGATTGAAGACAGACACTCACCAGGCAGAGTTGGCTTTTCTCCTGGTGTAACGCTAGCTGGTGTTAGCTGGTTTTAGCATGTTAGCCGGTGTTAGCCGATGTCCGTAAATGTAATCCATTTGGTCAAACCACCTCCAGACTTTTCGGGTCTGCCTCTACTTCTGCTGCTGCGATCTTTCATTTCACGGTTGTCACTTTTAAGCTTTTTAACTTTTCTCTGCATTGTCATGTTTGTGGGAATCATTCTGCTCCGTCCTTAGCGCTAGCTCCACAAACACCTTCTGGTTTCTGGTGGAACCAGCGAGATCAGGCTGGTGTCCTCTCCTCAAACTGAGGAAGGTGTTGCCCTCATCCAGCGACCAAGGAACTGTTTTCCGTACGGACGCCATGGGTCGAGGCAACGTGTTGTTTGTTATGATATTTGCAACAGCTGAGGCGGCAGCTGCAGAGTGATTGACAGCGCATCTGACCAACCAGAATTGACGTTCGCCGACGTCAGATTGTTTTGGTGGCCTGGCTAGTGGAGTGAAGTCGGCCTTTACTATGGGTCAGAACTACATATGGAATGAAAGGCAGCGCCACCACCGAGGCGTTTTTGACGCTTGTCGAGTGAAAGCCCGAGAGCCGCACGGAACCAGCCAAAGAGCCACATGCGGCTCACGAGCCGCGGGTTGGCCACCCCTGCTCTACAGCACTGCTAAATAGTGATGGGTTGATGAAGCTTCATGAAGTGTTGAACCTTTTCATCCATTGGTTCGAGAAAAGGTTCATTTCTTGATGCTTCATATGCTCACAAACCTCCTGTTGGTCAAAATCTGTATTGACAATTGAACTGTTTGTGAGGCTCTTGGTGCATAGGAATTAATACTGGTAACAGAAATAAAAATGTAATTTGATTGTGTATGACCCATTAATTCATCTGTTTCATTATGATCAATATCAGTAGTGAAAATGAATATATTTTAAATGACAATAAAATATAATGTACTGGTAACTGGTACAGTTGTCTGCTCTAATACACACACACACACACACACACACACACACACACACACACACACACACACACACACACACACACACACACACACACACACACACATACATATATGTAGATATATATTTATATACATATTTAATGATGAATGATTATAGCTTTTCAAGTCAAAATCAATGTTATAAATCCAATGGGACAAAAAACATTTTGAAAGTGTAAGTGCTTTTCAAAGGACGTGACACAAATGGGGATATCATTTGGGATTGTGACCCCATCAGTTGTTTAAAACCAAAACATTTCTGACAAAAACGCACTGCCGGTGAGATTCGAACCCCGGTCTCCCGGGTCCCAGCCCTGCTCCCTATCAATTGAGCCAACCAGCTGATACGATAACCCTCTCCATCACTGACTACATTAATCACCAAGACAAACACACAGTTTGAGCGGATCTTCTGCAGTACTTCATGAATCGCTCCATATCCTGTGCTCCCGAGGCTTCAAACGTCATTAGTGACGTCACTCATCTAAAACAACTCAGGCTTCGGCCCGCGCTCCGATAAAAACTTGAGGGATTTCTCGGCTCACGCCCCGAAGCGCCGACGCGGCACGACCCATCACTACTGCTAAACACAGTAGCATGTTAGCAGAATTGGCTATATACCATGGCTCTACTATATCCTCTCTGTGGCTGTAACTGCATACAGCATGGCGCAGTAAAGATGGCGCCGTGGCAAGAGCTCTGGTGTGTGCCGTCCTCTCTGTCTGGTGCACACTGGGGTAGTCTTGCACAGTTTTTCCAATGTGGTTTTACTGCAAATGGCAAATGAATTTGAATCTGATACACAGCAAAACAGCCCAAACGACACAACAGTGAGGAAGAGAAGAGGGAACTAAAGCGAAAAAATAATCAAAGAAGAAATCAATACCCATACACAAAGCTTAGAGCAAAGTGAAATTTCCGGCTCTTATATGTCCGATATACTGCAGTAGTATCACTAAAATCAGCTGAAAATTGCCACACTTTGCACAACACAAAACACTGGAATGCTCCCATCCCCCTCTTTTTTTCTTCTTCTTCCATTTCCCACTACAGTGCCATTATACGACATGCCGTAAGAGCTGTGTCAGGTGCGAAAAACAAAAAACACATGTTATTTTTCAGCGCCGGAACAATGCTTATAATTCATCACTAATGCATTGGTCAATAGGTGATTCAAGACCGCAAATTACACTCTACCCGCGCCTTGTGTGTAATTAATATCAGTAGACCTCAAAGTGCAGGGCTGCTTCTTTTCCCCGTAGTCCAAAATAGCAGCAGGATTCAAGGTTGAGGTGAACCACAGACGCTGTAATTACTGCTTCAGCCCACTGCCTTTTGCTCAGAGTGGTTGAGAAATGTTTGTTTCTTCTGACACGAGGTACAATATAGAGAATGTGTGTTAGGCGGCGGGCAGAGTGTATGTGCTTTTATTACCGGACTCTTTCAGGTAAAGGCTATTTTTTGGTGGAACTGTTATATCACGATTCTCGCATTTTTCTTTTTTTTGAGAATAGCTATTGTAGGTTTCTGCTGACAAAACCATTGGAAAAAAAAGCAATTGTTTAGAACCCGGCTCTCCACGAAAAATTTCCGTAATTTTTTTCTCTCTCGTTATTCTACTTATTTTTGTTATTGATTTTAGAAGTGTTCTGTCTATTATAGATTTTCAGGATTCCACCGCAAACTCCTGGAATACACTGAAGGAGAAATAAGGGGTGATTAATAATTGTTTTCATAATCAACTAGTTGAACAATTATTCTTTAAACTAATCTATAAGTTACTTTGATCCAGAAGGTGACTAGTTATACACTCCTGTCACACATTGAGCTGTTTGATTAAAAATCCTCGATGAGCACATTTCATTCTGCAGTCGTTTATATAACTATCTGAGTTCTAAACTAAATCTAGATTGCTAAAATAACCTTATTTATAATTGATTAGTTGTAATGATTGATTACTGTATTGAAATCCTAGTTAATACAAATGAGGGCAGATAATCTAATGACGATATAATAAAACCTGTAAAGTAAGTGGCGAGCTAGCCAGGAGAAAAATTATAATAAGTGGGAGCAGGACATTTGTGCTTTGTTTTGCCTAATTTAATATTTAATTGATTGAATACTTATTTAGATGAGCCATGTGAGTCACTTTCTGAGTCTTTGGTTTAAATTGAACGTGAGAGACCAGTCAATGACTTAAATATGAGAAACTGAAAAAATGAATCATTTTACATAAATTGTGGTTAAATTCTCAAATCAGAGAAAACATTTATAGTCCATTTTCACTTATGTAATTGTATTCATTTGTATTACAGGTCTCCATCAAGGGAGACAGAATACAAAATAAAAATAAATCTCTTCACTTCGAGACCTCTCTCATCACTTCTTCACAAAAAAACTTTCTTTGAAGTTTATGCACAGCGATGCACATTCAAGAAGACATCCTATAATTCACAATATCAAAATGGTAACTTGTCAAGTTGCTAAAACTCCATCAAGTTTTAGCAAGTGTAGAACATTTGTTTATTGTTAAAACAGACTGGTGAACGAGTCTGGAAGCTAACAGTTAAACACCTCATCATTAAATCATGCCGATGTTTGCCGCAGATTTTTACAGCATGAAAACCTGCGGCTGTCACGTTGATGAAAAATATGGGGACCCAAAATGCAAAACTGCAAAAAATAATGGATTTAATAAAAAAATATAACAAATCCAAAACCAGAAAAACCACAGGGAACAAGAACTGAAACAGACGAGGGATGACAACTGACTGAACAGGGAGTGAAGGAACACACAGGGCTAAATATAAGACTAAGGACACACAGGTGATACACATGAGGGCGGGGCAGGTAAGCAGACAACAGGAAGAGCAACCAAAGAAGACACAGGGATTAACAAACTACAAAATAAAACAGGAAATAAATCTAAACCATGACAGCGGCTTATATTCAAGCGTGGCCTATATGTGGAAAACATGTATTTTATTTTGCTAGGTGCGGCTTAAATACAGGTTTGCCTGATAGTCTAGTACTTTAGTGTTGCATGCATATAGTTAATCTACTAAAGATGATCACATTAAGATACAAGATTAGATACACTTTATTCAGCTCACAATGGAGAAAGATTGTTTTTCTTATGTTCTGCCTGCTTTCATACCCTGCCCACACATCTCCAGTCTCCATTCGTAACAGAACATGTGTGGGGTTTGTGTCAGCAAGAGAATAGTTTTTTTCTATCTGTTGTGAAAACAATTCAATAATATATTCAACATTATTATGCATTTATACACTAATGATGTTATGCAGTAATTGTGGCCAGACTTGCATGCAAAAGCCAAATCCTGTCAGAACTCTGAAGATTAGCAGTACAGGGTCTGGTTAGTACTGTGATGGGAGACCTCTGGGAACACCAGGTGCCACAGTGGGGCGGCTGTGGCTTTAAAGTGCCAAACTGTTGTTGTGTCCTTAGGCAAGACACTTCACCCCCATTGCGTAGAATGAGTCTGGTGTGAATGGTTGGTGGTGGTCAAAGAGACTGATAGCACAAACTGGTTGCCTCGCTTCTGTCTGTGCCCCTGGGAAATATATCACCACTGTGTATAGAGTGAAAGAATAATTAAATACATATAAAACGGATGCATTATTATTATTATTATCACTACTACTCTAATAATTGTTATAAAATGAATGTACTGGGATTATTTTATCATTCAAATAACTTAAAATAACATAACCTTGATTTGTTCCTCAGTGGAAAAATTTCAGGATATTGCAGGATTATATTACAGTTTTTATATTTGTAATTTCTTGTTCCTGTTGTATGAATTGAGCAATACAAATAACTTGCTTTGACATTCAACAGTAGAATGTCCAATTTTGTTTTACTGGTCCAAATCCATTTTTATGATGCAAGGCTGGATTGGTTGGGGGGAAATATGTGCCCCATCTGCAAATGGTTTCACAAAAATCCTGCCAGCGACGTCAACCTGTAAACTTAGAAACAACTATCTATTTCACAAGAGTCCAGCCGCTGAGAGTCTCGAGCCAGTGCGAGAGGATTGCATCAGAAAGGACATCCCGAGAAAGAAATGCCAAATCAATATGCAAATCTGTGCACACAACAAGGCTGACGACTTTCTGTGGAGACACAGTGGAAAACAAACAGGCCAGGTTCAAATGAGAGGAAGACAGGATTCTATTTTTGTCTAGTTTGTCGAATTTTCAGATTATTTATTGTGTATTAACATTATTCATACAATGTTTAATTGGGAGATGCTTTTCTGGCAACTGCTTCAGACCCCTCCAAATGAACACACCAAATATTTCAGTTTCTATAGTAATCTTTTGTCAGCCAGTGGCCTCCGTTCCATACATGAGATTATTTAGTCCTGACCAATGCACCACATTTTGCAAAGTCAGATTTCATTAGCTTTGGTTCCGTTCACACAAATATGAAGAATGTCGGGCACAAAAAGCATTCCGACCTAATGCCTTATCTACAAACTTGGTACACCATGATGAATCATTAAACTATTACGCAACCAAAAGCGTTTCTGACTTTTAAAACAAAAGTATTGCCTCAAATAACTGCAAATGCATCCTTTTAAGTACCACACTGTGTGTTTCACCTCGGCTCATGGAGTGCAACATAAAGGACAAAAGGAGCTTTTAAAACGGTTTATTAACACAAAAAGGGATATCTTTAATCTTCTTCTTTCTTTATCTTTATTTATTTATATAGTGCATTTAATATATATTTGTATATAGCATATAGATGTGAAATAATAACCAAAAAAGCTCCTGCTGCAGAGAGAGAGAGAGAGTGTGGGTGGAGCCAAGGCGGCTATTTTAAGGGCTCCAGTGGCTTGAAGCCCTGTAACTTCTGAAGAATCTTAGGAGCACGGTCACGGTTTCACAAACGAACTAGGCCAAGTGGCCGGATCATCGCCACAGGTGTGTGAAGACGGCCCGCGGTCAGAAGGTTTTTTTTTTTCAAACGTGCCAGAAAAATTGTGCTGTAGTACAACGCTCGGTCCAGCTGGTAGCGCTAATACTAACTTCAGCGACTACCTCGGGATCCAAGTGAAGTTTCCGTTTGTCTTCCTGTTTACACTCGGCTACTGTGGCCATCAACACAAGCATGGATCACCTTGTTTGCATCAGACCAATGTGTACAAGTGTCGTCTTAGTGGGTAACGTGTGTGTGTGCGGGACACGATAGTGCAGCTTGGTGTAAACGGCAGGAGCCTGAGAAAGTATTGAATGAAAATGAAAGAATGAAAAGTGTGGTGTACGAGCAGAGCAACCGAAGCCAGACAGGACAAAGGTGAAGGTGGTCAGATTGTTTTAGCCAAAAACAAAAAGTCTGATTCTTGAGGGTTTGAAGTGTTATTGGAATAGCACCACACTGTGACAGCGAGGGTCAGAACAGAAGGGAGTGCACTTGTGACCGCAGCATAGTTCCCCATAACACCCTGTTGGATTTTGGTCTTAATTCAGGAGAATGCAATTTCCCACTTCTACAATTAAATGGGAGTGTTTTCTCAATCTTCATTGTGTTTGGAGTGAAAGAACAATGACATGTGAGGCGTTTTTGAGTGTCCTGAAAAGCTGTGTAAAACTGATGCATTATTATTATTATAATGACTTGTCTTCATTGAACAGTAGTAAAAATAGCCTTTAGCCAGATTCAGAGATGAAGACAGCCATCGATAAAAAAAAAAGAGCTTCGACGTAATTATGTGTTGTTTAGGCCTTAAGTAAAACTAGTCTCTCTTGTGTTCCCTCCTCTTAACTGCATGAGTTATCAGAAAAGATAGAAACATGAATATAAACCCGAGCTCTATCACTAATAAAGACATATGAATGCTGAGCAGTCAATTATACCTACTTCAAGATCCTCCTCTCTCTGCAGCCGGCCTCCGAGTTCAGCACATCCCATCCCAGGAGACGTGCCACGGAGGACTTTTCTCCCCTCTTCTCCTCCAACACGTGGGCGTCTTTGCTCTGATCAAAACAAAACATGCTCAAGCAGCATATCAAAGCCACTTCTGAGAGAGGCAAAAGAGGTGACGATGGGTGAGGTGCGCTCTCGGTGCCCCGGCCGCAGCCGCCATTACCCCGATTGGCTCTCCGAGTGCTGTGGGCAGATCTGATTGTCTAAGCAAAATGCAAGCCACATTAAAGGGCCACTTGTGAATGCTAATGAATTCCACTGCTCGAAACACAGATACAGTGAGAGCAGGCAGTTCTCTGTATAATCACGGCAATTGATTTCTCGGCTGTGTTTTCCGATGTTTAAATGCAGCGTGTTATGTTGATCAAGTGTGGGTTCTTGTACTTGAAAGGCGATAAAGCAGACTACTGTATGAGCCTAATGAGCAATGTGGTTTTCAAAAATAGACAAAGCGAGAACGGCTTTAGCTTATAGCAACAGTTGTCAGAGAGCATGTATCTGGGCTAATGCTTCAGAACCAGCAGACTCACTCCTACATGCATTACTTTCTCCAGCTAAACTCAGTGATTGTCTTTGGTCCCCATAAACCATGGGCTCGGGAGCCAGATCCGGCCCGCAAATGAATTATTTTGGCCCCCGGGATGATATTTGTCAGACAGGCCTCCTCTCTGACAATGTTTTAAACCAGGTTAAAACAAGTTCTGTTTAGCTGTGCATACAACTGAGGGATTTTATATTTGTATCTTTCTTTTTAATGTACTGTGATTATTTAAGATTTTAAGGCTATCTTGTTTTGTTCAGCACTTTGAATTGCCTTGTGTATGAATTGTGCTATACAAATAAACTTGCCTTGCCTAAGTATTAGAACCGGCCCGCACAGAGCCATAAGGAAATATTGGATTATTCATCTTCAGGACAGGGCGACAGTAGCTCAGTTGGTAGAGTATTGGCCGTTGGGCCTGAAGGTCGTGGGTCCAAGCCCACCGTAAGACCTACTTCACGACTCCCACTGATGACTGCTGTCGTTGTGTCCTTGGGGAAGACACTTAACCCCACTTTGCCCAAAGCTCCAACTGAAAGATCTCAGCTCCTGTGGACTCACCACCTGCAGGAGGATCACTGAGGGGCTGGTGCTATGTGTTCTGGGTGCAGCTCTGACTGCCACCCCCCAACCCAGAAATGGATTAAGGGGAAGAAAATGGATGGATCTTCAGGGCATTGTCTGTGAGCCTGTTGAGAAATATTTTCACTTGAAATGACTGACCGCCACACAAAAATATTGTATTGTTCATTTAATCATTAAATAAAATATGATCCACTGTGTTAGGTTATGGTTAAATTGGTTATATGAAATCATTTTAATATGTTTTAATAAACTTTGAAACAGTTTGGCACTTGGCTTGTAATTTGTTTTTTGGTATTTGACTTTGACATCCCTGCCATAAACAAAGAGAGAGCATTATCTGTCACCTCCATTCTCTGTCTCAAAGACCTTCAAATCAGGTCAGAAATCTTAGAAAGCCAATGAAAAATAAGTAACATATTGTTTAGCATCTAAAAAACATGACCAGAAACAAAAACATGGGGAGGCATCATGTCACAGTCATGCAGCTAAAATCTGGAAAAGTCGTCCTGAAAATGCAAGAAAGACTTCTTCTCCGGCAATATTCAAATCCAGGTTCAAAACCATTGAAAGATTGTATTTTCACTCTTTTTTGTATGATATGATTTTATATGATATCAATGCTAATATGGTACAAATCTTATTCCGTCAAGCACTTTAAGTAGCCTTGTGCATAAACTGTGCCATACAAATAAACATGCCTTGCCTTGCACTTGCAGTACATGAAAACCTGCAGCAATTATTCATAAAGACGTGTGGTGAGGAATTATGAAATATTAATCTCTACATTGGAGAGATTTGTTGTACAGTGTGATTTAGTGTCCCAGATAAGCGAGGCCATGCGGAGCTGTCAGATAGACTTTGTGGTGAAGTTCAGAACAAGACCCAAAGCTGTGTCCAGAACTGAAAAGTGCTTTTGCCGCAGGGTGAAATTGAACGAGCAGAAATATCTTGGACGGAAGCCCACGTCTGCAACATTGAGCTGCACTTAGCGACATATGCTGCTGTTTCTCCTCGGGCAATAACACAAACATCCCAGCTGGATTTTTGGGACTTGCATTCAAGGGTCTATAGAAACATGAAGGCTCCAGATATAGTTCACCAGTGCATCCTAATGATTGTGCTGCCTTCATGGACAATGAAGATAAGATAAGAGATCCTTTATTCGTCCCACAGTGGGGAAATGTCAATGTTGCAGTGCACATACAGGATAAATCTCACTTTTTTGGGTAAAACATTGACCTAATCGCTGCGGATGCTAGGGAAACAGGCAGCAGGTCCATGGGGATGGTGGATCTGATGTTAAGAAGCTCCACACAGGTGCAGAGATGCTATTAAACAGTAAAAACAAAAAAACAAAAACAGAGCGCACGAAGAGCCGTGGCGACCATTCACGGCACCATCTTGTGATTCAAAAAGTAGCTGCTATGCTTTTTAGCGATAGCTGTGAATATGTTTGTGTAAGCTCTCAGTCTTACAGGGATTAGTCAAAACAAAGAAAGGTTTGTCACCCATCATCTGTACTTCAGTCAGTGACTGCTGACTGAAGTACAGATGATGGGTGACAAACCTTCCTTTGTTTTATAGCTGTGAGTGCTTCAATAACAATCTTTCAAAATGTAAGTGTAAATGTAAATGTGCACTTTAATGTACGCATAGGGAAATGTTTCCTCTGCCTTTGACCCATCCTGATGCCATTAAGTCTTACATGTACGTCAGCAGCAGTGGTAGGGGAAACCGGAATACTCAGAGGAAACCTACGCAGACACAGGAAGAACATGCAAATTTCACTCAGAAAGGCCCCGTTCTGACTGAGATTTGAACCCAGGACCTTCTTGCTGAGAGGCGAGAGTGCTCAGCCACCGAGCTATATAAATCTCTCTATTTATATAGTAAGTAAGTAATCTTTATATATCGCCTTAATAAAAGTAATAAAAGCCGTTTTAGGACTTTTCAAGAAATGCAGTGAATGTCATTATACTTAGGATTTTGCCAAATATTTGCAAATGTGACCCCATATTGGCCAAAAGTTTATATTTATACTATATATTAACTTCCTGGTTGTAAATAAATACATCACACGAGGCACGCTCTGAAGTCAGGGCAATATCTTATATGATGTATCAGTAAATAAATATATACAAACTAAAAGAATATACTTTTCTAGAGTAAATCATTTAAGTGTAAAAACATGCATTTGTTGTAAAATATACCAAACTTTCTGATTAACTTTGAATCTCCCTCCTGTGATGTCATCAGTTCGAGAACGTTACCCTTCTTATAAAGTTCTCCAAAAAAGAAAATTATTAGATTTTAGAATAGTGTAAAACTACAATTCAACATAATTAAGTAAAAAATCATTATACTTTATTGTCCTGGTCAGGAAATGTGTCCTCTTCAACAACAAAAAGTTTAAAATACATTTGTACAGCGGAGCACAGTGTTGAATAGTGTAGATGACTGATTGTAAAGTTGAACTCAGCGTTGTGTTTTTCATGTCGGAGCAGTCGGGCTGTTGGTACTTTTTCTGTCGCTGTCTGATCTATGACCGCAACGGGAGCAGCAGATTTACAGTGGAATCTGAGCACTGACCTCTGCTGCTCTGGAGCTCTGAGAGAGGCCACTGCAGTTAATGGGTCAGATCCAATATCCTCTGTAACACTGCACACACACACACACACACACACACACACACACAAACACACACACACACACACACACACACACACACATACACACACCCTCTTCCAGCAAAAGAATCAATGCTACCAGACACTAATCAATAGAAATACTTGAAAAGAAACAAAACTGAATAATTGTGGGATTTGAAAAAGTTCAAAGTAACAAAGGTTATAAATATGAGATGGTATGAGACCACAAAAGGATGTCTTCAAAAAACATGTGATTGTCGAAAGAGAGATCTCTGTGAGTCACTGTTTTGACGGTTTAGGCTGAGAGCTGATTGGCTGAGTGAGGGTGGTCCCCTTTTTTCCCCCCTTTCTCTCTGAAAAAGTTGAGGTGACCAATAAGTGATAACTAGTGACAGAACCAAACCTGTTTTTAGACTGAGCAAGGAACTAGTTATATGGGTATTACTGTATGCCATTGTTCCAATATTTGAGGTTTGAAAGTTAAGTACCCCATCTTAAATATTTAACTGATATCTGTAAGAAAATATCGAAGTTGAAAACATACAATTTTCAAACACAAAGACAATTTAATGTCTTACTTTTCCCACTAGGAGGTGAGACATGGTAAAACATATAAAAACAGTTTCACACAATTACACAAAATTACAGATTACAAAAAAGTCAATGAGGATTTCTCTCAATCACAAACACTAAACAACCACACCCTGCACCAGTCGCCTTCAACATCATCTTAAGATATTTCATTATGAATTCTGTATGGCGTTTTTCATGACACCCAAAGACGCTTCACATGCCATTAATCATTCATTACTACTGTATTGCCACAGCTGCCCTGGGGTCAGACTGACATAAGGGAGGCCCATCTGACCACCACCAAACATTTACACACTAGACTCTTACCAGGTAATGTGGGTGAAGTGTATTGCCTAAGGACACACTGACAGTTTGGCTTTTTTTTCTGTGGTGTTACGTTACTTCTATAAGCAGAATTAAAATACCGTGCAGTGGCAGCCATGTTGGATTTTTGCAGCTGCACCCAAATGAGCAAGAACTCCCCCTTGTTCTTCTGTCCAGTGACCTTTGATGTGAAAGGGCAGCACCAGGTTTGGTCAAGTGACATTTAACACAGTTCAAAAATGTTTTATTGCATCTTTGGTCATTCCTTTAGTCACAAAGGTCGATAAAAATGAGAGGTAAAGATAAGGAGGGTAAAAGGCTATAAGTTCCCCACTTCAACCACCAGATAGCTCTTTTATTACAATTATTTTTTGTCAACATCAAACACTGAATGCTGCACGGAATAGGCAAAGAACCTGGGAAAATTTCCAAAACTACTCTTGAGGCAATACTTTTGGGAATAAAATGGTCAGGTTTTCTTGTAGCCAGGTAAATGTTTAACCCGGCTACAAACAATGTTGTAGCCCTGGTTAACTAACCTCCCCCTAAAAGACAATTTAGCACATTAAGTGAATAATGTATCAGAATATTTAAAACAATATATGATTCGTTTCCAATCCAAGTACAGTTTGCGTCGTGCAAATCAGTCTTTTTTGTCGTCCCAAGAGTGAAAAAAGAAGCTGGAAAACATGCATTTGAATTTAAAGCTCCGTCTGACTGGAACAGTTTACCGTTGTCCATTCGCTCTCTAACTTCTCTGCCTCTGTTTAAATCTGCTCTGCTACAATATCTCCAGAATTCATGTCAATGTTTTTGATCTTAGGTTATGAGACCTAATCTTGTCTTTATTGTCTCCTAATTATTGTTATTAGTATTATTAATAGTATTATCCTTATTTAGTGTAATTACAGTACAGTCACAGCGTGTATGTGTGTGTGTGTGTGTGTGTGTGTGAGTGACTGAGGGTTTATGTGTGTGTATTTTGTATGTATTTTTTTTGTAAAAAAAAAAAAAATGTGTATTTTTTGTTTTGTTTTCATCTGTTTTGCTGTATCTGTCACTTTGTGAAATCTCGAGGACCCCCTCGAAAATGAGATGGTTCATCTCAAGGGGCTTATCCTCTAAATAAATAAATAAATGAAATAAATAAATAAAGTGTCTTTCGAAGTAAAATTGGTAGATGTTAGCAGCATTATTGTGTTGCAAATCTCTGCCTCATGCATTATTTATATTCCACACAATGTCCCCATGTTTAAGACTTCCCTGTATGCTTTGACCACCCACACCCTCTGGCTGCTGTGTCCTCCTGTTCCAAATATGCTTCACTCTTCACTCTAGCGTGAGTGGTGTATTCCTCCGAGTTCTGAGCCATATGTCCAGTGCAAAGACATGTGCGCTTGTTTACAAATGCATTCATCTTGTTACAGCGAGGACTGAATGTGGCACAACTGTGAACTCATGTCTTATAACAATACATTCTGCCACCTGTTTGTTTCCATGGAGATGTTTTTTTGCATAGAATATTGCAGTAAAGACCATTAACAATGTGCTTGCTCTTGTTCGGTAAAGTTTCTTCAAACATTTTCAAACTATGTACATCAGTCTTTCGACCAGGGGTGCACAAGGTATTTAACTCTGAGGGCCAACATGAATGTGCCAAACGTGTGAGGCTACAAACAAAAAACCCACCCATCGTTTTTGAGTGGAAAACTCATATTTTGCATCAGTGGGATTATGGAAACTGGCTGACCAAAACATTACTTTTAGTATTATCTTGAATATTTACTGGGGTTCAATGATTTGAGTAAATTCAAATAATGGTTGTATTCTTGAGAACATTTGCTTTAAAATGTGACAGGTCATGGTTACCCATAGTAACTTCTTACTCAATGCTTCAGTTCAGAATAGTTTAGGGAGACCACTAAAGATGGTGGAGGTAGTGTTTCAGATTTATGCAGCTAAAATGAGAGATAGGCTTATTCTCTGACAATGTTAAAATCCAGGTTGAAAACAGCTTTGTTTAGCTGTGCATGGAACTGAAGGATTGCATCTTCACTCTTTGTAATGTACTGAGTGCTACCGTTGTGTGTCGGACCCAAAAGCACAGACAGAGGCGTTTTTGGATTAACCATAAAAAAGAGAATTTCATTTACAAAAAACAAAGCAAGCAGGATGTGGCGACAGGGAGCTGGCTGGCAGGCAGAATGCTGGGACCTGAACACAAGACATTAATCAGTAAGGAAAAACTCACAAACTGATTTGTGACATAGAATAATCTGGCAGAGAAGTGGACTCTGAACCAGAGTTTTAAGGACAAGGTGACGAGTGAATAAGATGCAGATGAGCCAGCCACGCCCCTTAGTCCTTCACAAGCACTGAAAATCAGAAAGGGAGGTGGGAGTCAGAGCAAAACACGCAAACCCAACACTGTGATTGTTTATGATGGTAATGCCTTGTATGATTTTAACGTTGTAATTCTTTTCTTGTTTGTTAAAGGAGAATATGTAAAAATGGGGTGAAAAAAGTCAGAGAGAGTGGTAAAGTGGCAACCTCTACCACTCTCTCTCTGACTCAGGTTGCCAGATATGCAGATGAATCCAGCTGGGACCATAATAGCTGAATATACAGTGGTTTTGTCAACAACAAATCTATAACAAACACCTTTTTCACAAAGGCCCCGATAGAAATCCTTGTTTAGTCCTTGTTTTGTCATTAATGATTTGAGAATCATAACTAAACCTGTTTTAGTTCTGCGGCTCCATGTTACTTTACTCGTGAGATTAGCTCAGGTGGAGGGCGGGACATCAAAATTAAAACAATAACAAGGGGGCTTGTAAAACTAATTTTAAATGTGAACATCTCGGTTGAACTACTGTTATCAGTTAAAGAGGTATGAAAAAAGCATGATTTAATATTGCCCTCTGACAGATAAGGGCCATTTAATGATGTCTTGACATGAAAATCTTACATGTTGCTACTTTAAGCTCTCTGATTTGCCTTGTGTTTGAATAAATCAGTTTGTGCACAAATCAACTTGCCTAGCCTTGCCTTGTCATGGTGGGCCAAATGTGGGCACTTTGTAGAATATAAAGGCCTTATCCCTGGCTGCGACTCCATCTCCATTCTAAAAAAATGCTTTAAAATGATTTGTCACATAAAGACCACATTAAGCGCCTTTTGCTGGCTGCGTATTATATAGGCTTGATTTTATATTCTCTCGCTGTATTGCTCCGTGAGGGTAATTGCCCAACATCCTCTCCTATACAGACTAAAAGAAGAAGTGAAATCTGGAAGCCGAGCGCCCTGTTCAGCAGTTTTGTGTCGCCATGAATCATCGTAATGTTTAAAATCACTCTGGGCAAGTAGCAGCCCACCGACCTCAATTAAACTTCTGTAATTATTCCAAATAATAAAACAATGGTACAGGTTATGCTTGTGTAGATTAAAGCTCTATTCCCAGCTTTAAATGCACTCAGTCGTGGGCTGCACTGGCGATCTGACCCCACATTACAGCATTTTCCACTTGAGCGAATGACTCTACTGCCTCCTTTCGTATTATGCGTTTTTTACATATTTAAAGAAAGAATACTGTGCATTATTTCATACCATTAAAGGTGATAATGAGACTGCTACTTTTTAATTTAATGTTTTAGAATTAAAATTATTATTATGAATTATTGAGTAGAAACTCTATGTTGAGACAAGAATTAAGGGTAAACAATTAATTCTGCTTACAACTCCCCAAGCCACCACCAGAGGGAGGAGCACAATTCAATTATTTTTTGCAATGCCCTAAATCACAACAGCGGCTGTTTCGGTTGACTTCACAAAGATTCACCAACATTAGATCAGAGAATCAAACAGTTTGATCAAAGAAATATCAATAACTGCAAACACATAGAAGCCAATTTTCTTTTAGGAAATGTGTATCGCCAACAGAGGATTTAGAAGTGTTGAACAAGCATTTTTACCAGGGAAACAAAACCTGTTACTAACTTCATCCAAAATCGAGGGCGGTACAGTGGCTGAGTGGATAGCACTCTCTCTTCTCAGCAAGAAGGTCCTGGGTTTGAATCCTGGTTGGAACAGGGCCTTTCTGAGTCCCTTGACACTAAAAACATGTACAACAGGTAAAATCTTACAGCTCCAGTACTAATGACCATAGTCATGATAGGCCATAGTGGCATCAGGATTGGTCGAATGCAGAGGATGAATTGCCCTATGAAGTACGGGGATAAATAAAGTTCATCTTTACCTCAATGGTCGCACGATTGCTTATTTAGATTTCAAACAAAGTAAATATACAATAATGAGCCATGGGTGTCATTGATTATTACTATATGGAAGAGTTTTCCTATGGATGCCATGTCAAAAATACATCCAAACTACTCCAGAAGTCATACGCTTGGAGGGAAAGACACTAAACCAGCCCCGCCCCTCATTAAATCCACACCAATTACGGGCTGAAAGTTGCTATGCACAAAATGCATGGTGTGGCGTTTGCACAAAGTAAGCGGTAATGATCCTCACAAGGCTGATAATGAGACTTAATGGGAGTTAATGGGGTTACTCTGATCGGGAAAAGCTGGTGGACCTCGGGTTAATACGGCTAACAGAACACACAGTGAGAAACGAGGCCGGGACACACCAGCAGCAAAATCACCCGATGGAAAACAGCACTGGAGAAGTTTAATTAAGTAACCTGAAATGTTCAATAAAATAACTTTAAGTAGATAAAGCTTTTTGTACAGCATTATAATAATGCATCGGTTTTTGATAGCACTTTTCTGGACACTCAAAGACGCTTCACATGATATTATTCTTTCACTCCCAACACGGTGGAGGTAAACTATTAATGTAGCCACAGCTGACCGACCACCACCAACCATTCACGCACACATCAAACTCATTCTAGGCAATGTGGGTGAAGTGGCTTGCCTAAGGACACAAAAACAGTTTGGCATTTTACAGCCGCAGCTGCCCCACTTGGTGTTCCGAGAGGTCTCCCATGTCAGCACTGACCAGGTCCTGCCCTGCATAGCTTCAGAGGTCTGACGGGATCTGGCTTTTCGCATGCAAGAATAAATAAATGAGGATTCCGACAATATGCAAATCTGTAGTGCCCCATAAATATAGAACAAACAACTGTAATTTAAAATATAGAACCAGTTTACGGTAGATTTAATGTGTGTGCGCTCATACGATAGGATTTACAGAGAGTTAACAAATATGATTCGCAATATGTTACCGCAACATAAAGCTTTAGTTTTACCACAACAAATTAACAGACAACACTGAAAACAAAATTATACATGATTTTTTTATTTATATTTTTTGTGAAAAGTGGGGGTTACAAATATATTCAGCCTCCCTTTCTCTTGGTGCAACCAATTTTCTTGTTTCACCAGTGTAATTTAGACTGATTACAGCTGTTCTGGGGTGGCCTCAGAGACCTGAAAATATGAATATAATAGTATGGGTCAATAAACAGCATCATGAGGTCCAAGTGAGTAGCGGCAACGAATAAGGCGTTAGAATCTGAATAGATGGACTAACTGTCAAATATTTAAGAGTCAAAGTAGTATAATTTCCAAAACTACTACCATCTTGTATAATATCTTGTTTTATTTCTCATTTCTCATTTCAGAAAATGCTTTCATTCAACATTTTAGCAGTTGTGTAAGTAGTCAACAATAACTGTTATATTCCAATCATACAAATGCTGTGTTGTAGAATGGGTTGTTTTTGTGCTCCAGAGCTAGCAAAGGTGCTATACTAGTTTGATGAAGTTGCTGGTGTTATAGCTACGTGTTTGTTTTGGACCCACCTTGTGACGGTTTTGCATTACACAACGTACAGTCCTCTTTACTCTTTTCACTCTATCACTTTAAAAAGGTGCTATATGGCCGAAATATGCTTGCCGCTTTCAAGCTGCAGACTTTAGGTTTAGGAGATCACCATGGCCACACAGCTGTCTGTTGTCGTGACGCCAATGTACATTAAAAATGTGGGTATTGGTTGCCCTAATCGGGTCCTATGGTAAGGATACGAGTACAAGCCCATGGTATCGACCCGTTACCAGTATCGGTATACCGGTATCTGGATTTAGGGATGCACCGCATTAACATTGATGGACTTCATGGACTTTGGTCACCCTGCTCCCTTCATATCCTCCCTTTTTCTTCCTCTTTTTTGGGGTGATGTGGTTGTTTTCTAGTTTATAACATATAATTTTGATATTTATCCTATACTGTATTCACCGTCCGACGTGCCACATAAAGACACAGCCCAATCCTCGTCCATATGAGCTTTGTGACTATGTAGCAGCTGAAGTGTAGCCCTACAGTGGAGAGTCCTCAGCTGGTTGTTAGCGGGGGTCTGCTGCATGTTCTCCCCGTGCCTGCTGCGTGAGCGAGTGCCTGCTTTCTAATCCCGTGCTCTCTGTCCCAGTTAATGAGATCGGGCCACGCTTTTACCTGCAAGGGGGTCTTTGATGAATAATGCTCAGAAATCCAAAAGGGAGGGAGGGTCTGTGGAGAACGAGAAGTAAGCGTCAACCTGGCTGTGAATGTGTGTGTGTGTGCGTGCGCAACAACGGCAAGTGTGGGAGTAAAGAGGGGGGTTGTGATGTATGGAGTGGTGGGAAATATAGAGGTTATAGATGTGAAAAGATGGCGCGAGCGGGTGACAGGGAGCAGAAGGGAAGACATTCATTTTTAATCGGAAAAAGTAAGTCTGAGAGGCAGATAGATGAGGGCAATTCCCCCTACAGTCACCCACACAGCGGCAACAACGCCATAAAACAAACAGCTTCAAACAATTGGAGTGGACTAGTCTTTTGAAGCAATAGAAAGTATTTGTCTTATTCTTTCATCCTAATCTGTTTCAAATCCGACGGTTTTAAGCTGTGAGAAATTAATTAGAGGGAGGGAGAGAGCGGACCAAAGTAGAGGCAGTTGAAAGTGGCGTTAATAAACACATTGTTGGAGTTACAGCTTTATGGTTTGAAAAGGGCAGGTGCAGTATTGGAGCCCACTGCAAAAGTTCAAACCATTCAAATAAAGTGTAGTTAAATTGGACGGAACATATAAAATCGTCCTGCGCAGCTTTTGACAACACACTCACTGATTCGACAGCGTTGCTCAGTCAAAAATAAAACAGTTGATTTGAGGAGATTGTTATTAGACGGGCAAAAAAAATCACCTCAGACCTCTCTCATGTCCTTTGCTCTGTGTGAGCTGAGGCATTATGGGTAAATTGTCTCGCACCTGGTATTCCAAGCAGTTGCTTAGCCCTCCTTACCCTCAATACTCACATGCCAGTTTGGCAACACAACATACGCTCAATAAGGACAAAAAAAATTCACTTGTCTCTCAAATCTTTTTTGGATTCTATCTGTTTTTCGTACTCGTCCAAAAGCATATGTACTGAGTGATTAGAAGGGGAAAAAAACTGGCCCCATGTTCATGATTCTGGAGAAAAGAGCTGCGATGTCTGTGGAGGGTCGGACAGCTTTTTGATTTTGGTTCCTTTTTTCCCCATTTCTAGTCAAACATGTTATTTCTATAGACTCAAGATTACTTTAACATGGCTGGAGCTGCTTGAGATGTATTTTAAGTCCAATTTATACTTATTGCTTTAGGTTTCGATCCTAAAAATGTTACTTGTAAATTAGCCCTGCTATTCACATGATCCAATATTTCTAGGCATGACATGATCAAATCTTAGGAACAGACAATTTAAAAAAGGTTATAATGATAAAAATACATATTTTTTTTTTAATAGCACTTTTTAAAAACAGTGCTTACAAAGTGCTGCACAGTCAACATAATATCAATAATAAAAGTCCAAATAGGTCAAGACAGAGGACACAGAACAAGCCAGATAAAACAAAGACAGCACAAAAAACATAATGTGAAGTTTACAGCAGACTAATAAATAATGAAATATTGAAAGTTCAACAAGAAATATCTCAAAAATGCAAGATACATCTGCATCCTTTCAAGCCAAGCAATAACGTCTCTATTTATCTGCAGCCCCCCAAACAGGAAAGTTCTACCGCACCTTTAAAACACTTTCACACTTTTTTTATTCACTTATTCCTCCTAATAAAACATGGCACTGTGATCTGATGATTGCTTTCCCCCATATCTGGTCAAAACCCGGGAGATGTTTTTCTTATTTCCACAAACATTCAACCGAATTTGTCCCGCCTGTTATGGAAATCAAACTCAATATGCAAGCGGCTTCACAGTTTGTCAGCAAAAGGAGCATGTAAAATAATTACCCACAGGTATTGCATCTTTTACACTGCACGCACCACAGCATCTAATAACAACTTAACTGACCAAGCCCCCACGGGATCCAGAGTACACACCCGAGCTCAGAGGCAGGCGGGCGGCTTTCTCACACAGGTGCCATCGCTATTTTAACATGAGGCATTTTTCTCCTGCCAAACAGCGAGGAGAAAGGGAGAAGGTTTTTTTGTAAATAACGGTATAATAACGCTTAATATGCAAAAGTTTAGTGATAATTTAGTAGTGATAAATATTACTGCTAAATTTAGAATTTAGTAGTAATCTCACTAAACAGTATACTTACTTCTTTATCATGTCAAAGTTAGAGATTATATACCTAATTCTATCTTCTTCATGATGCTAAAATTGGAGATTTTAGATTTAGTACAAGGTATTTCTTGTTGTACTGTCAACATTTAATTATATATTTGTCTTTCTTGTTCTTTGTCCTCTGTCTTTTATTATTGACTATTATTTTATCCCAACTGTGCAGCACTTAATCAGTAAGCACTGATTTTGAAAAGCACTATTCAAATAAATATGTATTATTATTATCATCATTATTATTATTATTATCATTATCATTATCATTATTATTATTATTATCTTTTATAATATATCTATTTTTTTTTTATTTTTGTATAGAATTATTGTTAATTTATCTCGTGCTGTGTGCTCCACATTTATACTGTTCTGTAACCGGTGATACAACACTCAAATTTCCCTACTGTGGAATAGGGTTGCAGAGATGGCAGGACAAGGAGTTGTATCCACCGAAAAAAAACACCTTAAGTCAGCAGTATGGGGTCACTTTGGGAATCCAAAAGATGAGCCAGATGTTGTTGCTGATGGAATTCCAACGTCGGAAAGTCACAGCGAAAGAGGCCAATACTTCAAACATGATACAGCATCTTTGAGATAATCATCCTTGGCTGTATGTCCAAGTCAAGGTAATAAAACTGCATAATTGTCAATATATGTGTCCAAATGTTCAGAAATAAGTGCCCAAACTGTCTCAGGATGCACATTTATATAAAATCTGCTCAGCTTCTGCACATCAAAAGTGAAAGTACTGATGCAGGCCGCAAACACTTGCATGTGTCCTCTTAAAGGGACAGTAGCACGTATCCTTAGTCAACAAAACCAATGCAGACATAAAACCTAGACTACAACTATGATGAACCTTTTTATACTTTCTTCAGCTATTTACATATATGTATTCTAAATGTGTTCTAAATGTACTACATACTATTGTATGTAATACATTTAGAACATCATATAACTTATTATATAATGATCCTAATGTATCCATTTATTGTTTTCCTGCAAATTACTCAAAAAACAAGTGAAGAATCATAAAATCGCAATATTTTTTCTCACAATAATTGTGACTCTTTGCTGAAGATGTTCATGTTAGTCTGTAGTGTTAAAGCGAATATCCGGAGGATGAAAAGAGGGCGTGAAAATTCAAACCTGAACGGCACTATGCCGCTACCTAGCCCCTCCCTTGCATTTGTCAATCTTCTTGAAGCCACGCCTCTACGGTTGTGCACGCGCTGAGCCGAACATAACAAAGTTGGAAGGTCCGCAAATATTCGTTCTTTTATTTCATTTCGTGGCGAAGGACATTTCTGAGGTAAGACAAAGCATGTATTTAAGAATTTTATCCATTTTGTCTAAGAACTGCATAATATTGCCTATATGCAGCAATGCTAACGTTGCTAATTCTGCTAGTTACTATCAATCGTCGCAACTAAATTGCTAATATAGGTTATATAGCTAGAGCTGACCCTTTGCTTTGCATATCACATGTCACATATATATGTGTTTTGCTGCTTAGAGTTCGCATGCAGCAGAGTCGTCCTCTGACGAGGATTCACCCCCTTTCACCCCGACGAGCAGAGCACCTAAGCGAGCCCGTCCGTCTACGTCCAGGGGCCGTGGACTGGGTCGGGGTTGGCGTGCCCCGAGAGGCCGAAGTGCTGGCAACGTAGGCCTGGAGGATTCTGCACGTGTTCATGAGATTCGAACCCAGCGCATCAACTTTGAACGGGTATTTAGATGTAAATACATTTTGAGAAGTCTTCATTTGGTTGAAGAGCAGCGTTTCCGTCGAATTGTTATTCACGCGGGTGGTAATGACGTTCGGCGGAAACAGTCCGAGGTGTTGAAGCTGCAAGTCGCCGCCGTGTGCAAGCTGGCTAGCACAATGGCCGACACTGTCATCTTCTCTGGGCCCCTACCTAGCACTAGCAGTGCAGAAGCATTCAGCAGACACTCGGCTTTCAACCGCTGGCTGTCTGGCTGGTGCCCTCGAAGTGGTGTTGTTCATGTTGACAATTGGAGTGCCTTTTGGGGAAAGCCCGGTCTCATCCGCTCGGATGATATCCACCCAACGTTGGCGGGTACATCCCTTTTGGCTAAGAATTTGGCCCTGGCTCTAAACTGTTCTGCTCGGCTCAAATGACGATGCAGAACTGAGGCCCGGGTGCAGAGCTGCTCTGCCACAACCTCTGAGCCCCCATCTGTTCAGTTACTAGCCTCAGAAGCTAGTCAGATTGAAACTGTGTGTGCATGTGTGTGTGTGTGCCTGTGCTAGCCTCAGAACCTAGTCAGATTGAAACTGTGTGTGTTCCCCGCTTGAAGTCTAAAGCACTATATGCGAGGAAATCTGACCTAGGTGTCAGACACAGTAACTTAATAAAAGTTCAGACAGACAGAAATAGTTCTAGCGGTAGGGTTGTTAAATGTGGTTTAATGAACGTCAGATCAATCTCGTCTAAATCGCTTCTCATAAACGAACTTATTATAGACAAGGGCTTGGATCTGTTTGCGCTCTCGGAGACTTGGCTCCAACAGGACGAGTACGTTAGATTGAATGAGTGCACTCCTCCGACGCATGTTAACTACCAGAAAGCGAGAACTACAGGTCGCAGCGGTGGTGTTGCGATTATATCACACACCAACTTGGTTCTTAGTCCCAAAACCAACAATGCTTTTCACTCGTTTGAAAACTTAACACTTTCAATCACCTGTCCTGGGTGGAGAAAACAAAAAGCAGTACTATTTATAGTTTTATACCGACCTCCTGGTCCTTACAGCGAGTTCCTAACAGAATTCTCTGACTTCATTTCAAACCTAGTTTTGGAATGGGAAAACATAGTTATAACTGGAGACTTCAATATACATGTGGACGACAGCACTGACAGCTTAAACAAAGCTTTCAGCGCCGTACTAGATGGTGTTGGTTTTACTCAGAATGTCGAGGAACCTACTCACATTCATAACCACACCTTGGACCTTGTCCTGACCTACGGCTGTGATGTCTCCAATGTTGACATCCAGCGTCAAAGCTCGTTGCTGTCTGACCATTTCTTGATCACGTTTGATCTCGCTTTGGAGGACTTTCCTGTCCCGCAAGATAAAACCATAATGAAAAGAACCTTAAATGATAAATCTATCACAAGGTTCAAAGAACTAATACAGCCTATGTTGAATACTGCTGCAGGTGAACCTGTTCACAGCAGCTGCAGTCCCTCAGTCATTGACCAAACGGTGGGCAACACTATGGAGTCTTTAAAATCTGCATTAAATGCAGCAGCTCCTTTAAAACAGAAAACCATTAGGATTAGATCATCGTCGCCCTGGTACAGTGTTCAACTCCACACTTTAAAACAGGACGTCAGAAAATTGGAGAGGCTATATCGCCACTCCCACTCGGAGCCTGTCCACAGGGAGTGGAAAGCAGGTCTCCGAAACTACAAGAAGGCCCTTCGCGGGGCTCGAACTCAATACTATTCAACTTTAATAGAAGCGAATAAAAACAACAGTAGATTTTTGTTTGGTACCGTCGCTAAACTCACAAACTGCCATAGCGCAATCGAGCCTAAAATTCCAAGCTCACTGAGCAGTGTCGACTTTCTCCACTTCTTTAATAATAAAATTACATCCATCCGTGACAAACTGGAGGAGGTTGCTCCTGCTGTTAGTGGTGGACAGGTTGAAGCGGCATACGTGACTTCCCACTTAGACTCTTCAGTGGGCCTTAATAAATTCATGGCTGTGAGCCAAGCAGAGGTGATCTCTGTGGTCACATCCTCAAAAGCCTCAACTTGCATGTTAGACGCAGTCCCGACATGGCTCTTCAAAGACATACTTCCTTTGATAATTGAGCCTATCGTAAATATAATAAACGCATCCATACAATGTGGCTATGTCCCACAAGCTTTTAAAACCGCGGTAATCAAACCCCTTCTGAAGAAAACAAACCTGGACCCAGAAATACTTACAAACTACAGACCGATCTCAAACCTCACTTTTATATCTAAAATCCTGGAAAAACTTATAGCTGAGCAGCTCCGCTGCCACCTGCAGGAAAATGATATGTTTGAAGTCTTTCAATCAGGATTCAGAGCTCATCATAGCACTGAAACGGCACTAGTCAAAGTCACAAATGACTTACTACTAGCTGCCGATAATGGACAAGTGTCAGTGCTGGTCCTACTGGACCTTAGTGCTGCATTTGACACAATAGACCACAGCATTCTACTGCAGAGGCTAGAATGTGATATAGGTCTTAGAGGAACAGCCCTTGGCTGGTTTAAATCCTATTTATCAGATCGATATCACTTCGTCAATGTGAATCAGGACTCGTCGCCTTATTCTGGAGTGGAATTCGGTGTGCCTCAGGGTTCGGTACTCGGACCGATTCTTTTTACTCTCTACATGCTGCCACTGGGAAACATTATTAAAAAGCATGGAATTAATTTCCACTGCTATGCAGATGACACACAGCTTTATCTGTCGATGAAGCCTAATCAGACAGATCAGCTAGAAAAGCTCAGTGCCTGCATAAAGGACCTTAAAATGTGGATGACTCTTAACTTCCTACTTCTCAACCCGGAGAAGACAGAAGTGATCCTACTCGGTCCGAAGCGCCTGCGTGACTCCCTCACTAACCAGATGGTTACTCTCGATAATGTCAGTATAATACCCAGTAACAGGAATCTTGGAGTCATTTTTGACCAAGAACTCTCCTTCAAGGCTTATATAAGCCAAGCAACTAAAAACGGCGTACTTCCACTTACGGAACATCGCTAAAATTAGGAATTTCCTTCCTAAAAGTGACGCGGAAAAACTCATTCACGCGTTTGTCACCTCAAGGCTCGACTACTGTAACGCTTTACTGGCAGCGTGCCCTAAAGCCTCTTTGAAGAGCTTCCAGCTCGTTCAGAATACAGCAGCTAGGATCTTAACAGGTACCAAAAGGAGGGAGCACATAACTCCGGTGTTAAAATCACTCCACTGGCTCCCTGTGGAGTACAGAATAAAGTTTAAAATCCTACTCTTAACATATAAAGCCATAAATGGCTTGGCTCCTTCTTATCTCCAAGACACGTTAGTGTCGTATCAACCAGGTCGAGCGTTGCGCTCACAAAACGCCAGACGTCTGGTGGTCCCTAAGGTCTCAAAGGTCACTGTTGGTGGCAGAGCATTTAGCTACCAAGCTCCTTTACTGTGGAATCAGCTTCCCATTTATGTTAAGGAAGCAGATACGGTCTCCACATTCAAGGCCAGGCTTAAAGCACTTTACTTTAATTTAGCATATAATTAGGTAATATATAATATGTAGTGTATATATTATATATATATGCTGTATTATGTTATATATTATGTTATATATTATTCAATAATGTATTGTGTTATGTTGTATATTATGTTATATATTATGCTGTATGTTATTCTTTATTCAAGGCTAGGTTTAAAACAGTCCTCTTTAGTTTAGTATATGGCTAGGAAGGTAAGACTCGGAGAAAGTTAAACTCCTCAGAGTGTTAGTCAAGCTGCATAGGGAGTCAGTTTGCTGGGAGAAGTATGGTAACTTGAGCACTATCCTCTCCTCCTTCCTACTTTATCTGTTTAGCATTTTTAGGATTCTGACTGTAGTTTGTTCATTGCTATTCACCCGTTGTCCCATTGTCTGTTTCATGGTACGATGACGGGATCTCTGAGCCTGGCCTCTTCCATCTACACCTGCGGACTGCCCCGCCCGACCCGCCTGGGAGTGCTTCAGTCCTGCACCGGACCTGTCCACGTTCAGCGGCCACTGGTCCACGTTCTGTAGCTAGCTTAGGTCCTGGATCATTAGCCTGTCCGTCCGGAGGAGCGGATCCCTTTCTCATATGGGTCTCCCTCCCTGTGGGTTTTCCCTAGTTCTCCTCCAAGGTTTCTCACTTTTTCCCACTGGGTTTTTTAAGAGTTTTTCCTTGTCGATGCAGGAGGGTCTTGTTGGACAGTTAGTGTCCAACAGAAAGGATTGGTGATGATCAGGACACTTTAGCATTCTACAACATGTATGGACATTTTCTTCTGTGTGTGCTTTATACTGTATTCTTCATGTGTTTTAACTGTTGATTCTCTGACCTGTGTTGGTGATTTCAATGGTTTTGTTAAGTCCTCTGAGATGACTTCTGTTGTGACCTAGGGCTATACAAGAATAAATTGTAAATAAATTGTATTGTATTGCATAGCCGGTATTCAGTTGAGTGTCTGTTCCCACAGATCCCTGCGGCCTACGTATACATTTGCACCCTCACGAAAGCGGTCTGTGCGCGAGAACCCTCCGCACGCTCCAAGGCCACGCTTCAACACACGCATATTCATTACAGAGCGTTGCGGAGTTGTACCCCCCGCATATTCTCTGTATCCTATTCATGCATTCTGCTTCAGGGCATAATTGCTGCCTCCATGCAATGCAGCCTCCACGCAATGCTGCCTCCAGGCTATGCTGCCTCCATCAATTCTGCCTCATGCTATGCTGCCTCCATGCTATACTTGCCTTCCATGCTATGCTGCTCCATGCAATGCTCCTCCATGCAATGCTGCTCCATGCAATGCTGCTCCCAGGCAATGCTGGCCTTATGCAATGCTGCTCCATGAATCTATGCATTGCTTGCAATGCTGCCTCCATGGCATGATGCAATGTGCCTCTATGTGTTACGAAACTAGATAACAATCGTTATATTACTAGTTACTGTAATGGGTAACCATTAGATGCACTGGAATTCCACATGCTGTTCTCGCTGTGGTTAGATATAGAACTTGTGTGACATAAAACAAATTTTACATAGAAACCACTTAAAATTGTATCATCATTACTATACAATTATTAGGGTTAGTGGAATATATTCAAAAGACAACAAATAGAGTGTAATATTGAATGAATGAAGCTTTTATTACGGACTCATGGTCCAACACCGTTGTTATGCCTGTATCACAATATAACATTAAAACTAGTAATCTCTTATGTATAACACTGAGTAACTTGGCAAATAAAGGTATTGTTTATGTGCATATAGAACTTGTCTTATTATTGTACAACTATGTGTATATTTCTTAGGAACTCCTTCAAAGCCTAAGCCACCAGGACGCTCTGGAAGTACTGCAGGAAGTGTTGGAGAGGAACCCTGGCGTTCTCCTTGGCATCATGCACCGTTCAGGCCCAGCTGCACGAGACCCGCTTACAGATAATCAGCCTACTTGGTGTGTCTGCAGCCACTGTAAAGACATGCCAACAGACATTGAAAAAAAATGCTGCCAGCAATCCCCTGTCCTGTGCGTTTCTCTTGCTCCGCACATGCAGACTCTGATTCTTGACGGAGGGGTTTTGCGACTGGCGAGGAATCTGTGGAATGACTTACGCGCACTTCATGATGATTCGGAACCAGGGGAGGACAACAGACAATTTCGCCATGCTGCATATAGGCAATAGGTTTCATGGCAGTATGGCACACTGGGAGCTCGCAACAGGGTGGTCATTCCAAGTTGTGTGGTATGGAGAATAAGAGAGAAATACCCTGATCCGAATGGGATCTACACCGGCTTCATTCCCAGACGATTATAATTTAATTATATTGTAAAGTGTTGTTGAAAGGATTGTGTGTGTGTGTGTTTTAATAAAGGATCCTAATTGAATCTGATGCCTATGTGCTGTAATTACAACAGGCAAAGCATTTCAGCAAAAGTATATACATTTATTTACAAACTTCAGAATAGAATAAATATTCTATTGTTGCAGGAAAAATTCCAAATCTATTGCCGTTCTTCTTGACCTGCTGAAATTAAACAACTTATCAGAGGGGAAAAAATAAACAACATTGAAATACAACATCTTACCATCTCCACGGCTGACATGTTTGTCCCTCAGTTCTTTTGTTGATGGGGCTGGAACACCACAAACTAACCCTAAATGTCTTGGGTCATTAGATCTGAGTTTGGTGTGTTTTGGGAGTCCTCTGTTGCTGTTTATCCGAGCAGCCACAATCTTGCTTTGAAGTGAGGGAATATAGGCATAGTCCTTCTTTACCTTCAGAGCATAAAAAGCCCAGGATCTTGATTTTTTATTAAACACTCTTCTCCCTCTAAATGTAACAAAATATATATATTTTTAAAACAAAGAAAAAATGATTTGATTATCTTTTGGTATACACTTACTGCAAGGATCCATCAGGATATCTTCTCATAGGCCTGTCAACATGGTGGTTGTAGTCCAAAGCAGCAAGATAAACACGTGCATTGTACACAGGCTGTACAAAGCTAAAACGTTTACTTGCATACATGAGAAGATGATTGTGGAAGGATTCCAAATGTGCTGTGGACCTACAAAAATAAACAAAAAAACTCAATTTAATTTTACAATCTATAGAAGAAAAAGATGAATATAGTCACCTGTTTTCCTACCTGAAATTCAAATATTTTGGGACATCCTTGAGCCAGCGTTCTTTCAGAATGATTTCGGAAAGGGCAGAGTGTGCTTTGGATCCTTTCTTTATCCATTCCTTAGTAGGCTCTTCCACCAATGGGTTGGCATGCATCATAGGGCCATTCATGTTCACCAGTGACGTGGTGCAATAAGCCAATCCACATGGGCTACGAAGTAAAACAATAAAAAGGCCATTAGTAAGAATACAATAAAAAGACAATTATGGCACAATTCAAGTTCCTCACTTGACTCAACAATATTTGGTGTATCTATTCACTTTAAAATGAATATTTTAAGGTTAAGATTTTAAGCTTAAAACTACTTACAAAGAATCTTTCATAATTATCTGCTACTTTGCAGCAAAACCAGAAATGATTGCATATGTCTTTCTTCCACTGCAACAGAATTTTGCAATCCCGCTGTTGGCCAGACTGTAAACAAAGGTCAGCATAAATACAATAAACAAAAATAAAAATAATTTCTACTCACAGCATGTATTCGTTTCCCGAGGTTCTTTGCACCATGCCACATATCGAAGCTATGCTCCACTCCAGAATCTTTATATATTCCAGTTCCTAATTGAAAAAACACATGTGTTATTGTGAAAAAATAACTAGTATTGTTTAGTTTACATTGTAGTGTACTTACTGAAAAGTGCAGAAATCTGGGTATGCGCATCAGTACAAATCTCAGAAATATTGACTTCATTTCTAAGTTTGTCTAAACTATCAATGAATGCCAACTTTTCCATTATGGTGGAATGTCCCTGGGCTTCTTGCTTGTCTTTATTGGCAATATTCATAATCTTTTTACTGCCATTGTCCATCACAGTGTATGTGCAGTATTGGGCCGAAAAACCAGGGCTGTCCATTCTAGCATCTCCTGTGTTTTTAACAGAACAATGTATATGTCAATCATTCCAAATTGTTTAATTCATAAAAATTAATTGAATACATTTGATTATAGCTTTAAAACAAATAACTTACCAAGTGCAACAACTCTTTCATCCTTCAAACTAGAGATTATGGAAGCTCTTTTCTCTTCCCAAAATTCCTCAATGGTTGTCACACAGTATGCATCTTGAATGGCAAAGAAAGATGTCTGAGCTACTATACCCATGTTCATGTACTTGAACAGAAGGGCGACTTTGGAATAGTTATTTCCACTGAGAAGTATGTTTGTGGCGAGCATGAAATCGCCCGTTTGCATATTGAATTTAAATGTGGGCTGTGAATTCCATTGCCATACTGTATGACCATTGAGACACACCTAAAGAGTATGAAGATGAAAACGTGTGTTAGATATATTGATCCATGCTTATTTTAAAATCCCAATTTGCCCTCATACCCATTTCAGTAGAACAGCGCTTCCTCTTTTAACAAGAAAAACTTCAAATGGTCCAGTGGCTCCACATTCATCTTTTAGAGTTTTTGCTGGACATCTTCTAATTGGCATTTGGAGAAATGTAACAAGCTGCTTTAGGCAGGTGTCATACACAATGGCAGCTTGCTGGCCTACAATGTCTCTGGGGTTTCAACTCTGATGCTGTTGCATGGTATGGACGGATCATCACAAGGTGGGAGGTGAGGGTCTTGTCCTATGCCATCATACACAATGTCCTCCGCAGTGGCCACAGGAAGCTCATCAATATTGTAGGCAAGTGAAGCTCCAGGTCTGAGCAGAAATGATACAAATGATATATTTTTTATTTATTTACACAATACATTTCAATATTAGTAATTAAGTAATGTTTATTTATACAGCGCATTTTACAGACCAAGGTCACCCAAAGCGCTTTACAATGTTCAGAGTTCAGATATTTTCTCATCGTTTCATTCATTATACAATGATTGAAATGTTTAAACGCAGCACCTCATACTGTTCTAGCCTCCAAGCATGCGTTTATACTCAAACTGCAGGGCTCCTCTTTACCCCCTTACATAAATAACACTCACCTGATTCGTATTGTTGGTATGTAGTCCGTGTCACTGTCGTCAGACTCACTGTCTTCCTCTCTTGTTTCCTCCTCTGAGGTAGAAACTTCTTCTGTGTCTTTAGATGGGGTCCATGTTTCATCTTCTGTCCAGTCAATGCTGTACACAGAGGGACATCATATTTTTTTGTATTATTATTATTAACTAAGAAAGGTGTACTGCACTGGATCAGATGTATTGATTACACATGCTCATTGGACTGAAAAACTTGTAACAACTTTTAAAAAGGGCTAGGCAGAATTTGATAGTGGCAAATTTCCCGTGACCACTTGTTGCAAAACATTAGCTCTGTAACATATCTTTTGCAGCAAGTGGTCTTAAATTTCTTGTATACATTTTTTATACTCACATTGAATTCTGCAAACTGTTTACATCATTCTCATCCACTTCATCAGCCTGTATCCTGAAAAAAACATTGTTTACACCAAATTTACGAAAAATTATAATATCGTGAATAACGTACCTTTTTCCATCATCGTCACTGCCAATTGGGAGTACTTCGTAGAAATCCTCCTCTCTAAAAAAAAAAAAAAAAGTGAGGCAAAAAGAATAAGGAAAAATGTTGATAAACTACAGAGTGCTGTGAGGCAAATTTTTATTGGAAGATGCTAAGGATAAACGTACCTGTTGAATATGGAAAGAGCTGCATCACAAGTCGTTTTCTTTTACACGTTGAAGAATCTGATCGTTTCTGATAGCTACAAATTAAACATAGAAGATACGTTATAATCATTAGAATGGCGTTTAACTACACAACGTTGCACTGACTTGCAGGAGTTTGCAGCCAAAAAGCTAGTACAAGTAACATGTCAGAAAAAGTAGCGCTAGTAATAACGTGTTTTGGGGTACCGTGATTGTTAGCTGCTACGTGAAAACCAATAAATCCATGTAGTGACAATTGAAGACCGAACAATAAGTTTCATTTGACTTGAAATGAAACATGGACTCGGTCCACAGTAGAAGTGTGCCAGCTAGCTGAGCCGACATATTGCTAGCGAATGGTACGCTAACGTTAGCTTTGATGCATGCTAATTGACACTATGCACATTCTACTGTTGCAGAAAGACAGTGGTATTGTTTTTCACTAGCGACACGTTTAAAAGTGGCATTAAAAAGTTTTCATCACCTGTCCAAGAGATACATCGCCAACTCAGGGTCAGTTTTAAATCCCTTCAAAAGCCGCAGGTCCCTCCACCTTTGAAACGCCGCTCCAAGATATATTCTCCGGTGGTCACGAAGGCGTCTATCTGCCAACTTTGTCCCCGGACTTTTCTTTTGTTTTGATGTAGGAGCAGCTTTAGATGGCAATCGTTGGTATTGGCAATTTCGGGTTTACGGAGCTTTCAGCCATGATGTTGTGTTCGCTGGCCGAAGATGCGCGTCCTTGTGGCCATGCACGGTTTTGTGCATGCGCATGGACCTTGACTGACAGTCGCCGCTGCAGGAAGTAAAAGCCTATTGGCTAGCTGATCGAGCCTCGATTTTCAGTTTGTATAGGGGTCTATACATAGTTCCCACAGACCAATGAATGTCACATGACCTCCTCGGAGACGCCATCTTTGATGGCACGCTGCTGTGTCTGTGCATTCCATTAAACAGAAGAATGAGAATAAATGTAGATATTCAAACGCAAATTGGAAAAAAAAGGGCAACTTTTGAGCAAATAATTGTATATTAATACAATGGCACCACAGTTTAACGTGCTACGGACATGTTTTACATATTTGATCAAATTATGCAGCAAAAATTAACAAGCAATGCAAACATTTCTCAAAAACTTTAGATTTAATACCAGTTGGAGCTCCATTTAATTATTTTAATTATATTAACAATTAATTTAATTAATGCTAATGCCACACGGACACTCTGGATTGCTGTTATTGTTTATTTCCGCGTTTTTGACCGTATGTTTTGGTGAATGGTGGGCAACTGATTTTTCCAGGCGTAAAGAGCAGTTTATTTTATGACACAGATCTTTTTACAGAAGCAATGCTGTTTGTGAACATTGTTTTAGCCCACCATAGAACTATTATTATCTATTTAATACATTTACGTTGCCCTCGAGAGCCTCGGACGCGACACCGATCCTCCTCATAATAAAGTAATCTAACGCTAAATAATGAAACTCTCAAGTTACCAGATATCAGCATACACAAGTTAGTACTGAGTAAATTACGTCTGTCAACACATTATAAGATACGATACGCACCTGACACAAAGTGCTCCGAGCATATTCTTGCGTGTTTTGAGGGAGTTTCTTGCCTGTTTATCTTCGCAAGCCATAACCTCCGTTGTTGTTCTGACAAAAGCTTAGTCTTCTCACATTCATGAAGTCTAATGATGGGTATACTGTAAAATCCAAGTTTAACGGAACCTCCGGCACGATTTGAACATCCATTGACCCAGCAGGAGATGACCATTTTCAACTTTATCACGACATTAACACGTTTCAGCTTCTTTTTCTATTGTTTTGCCCACAGAATGCCAACACAAATGTCGCCGGGTCGGCAAATCCCCGTATGTAGTGACGTCATGTGGGAACTATGTATAGGCCGAGGGCGGGACTTACATACATCGATGTATACAAATTGCCAATGGCACTCGACCATAGTAAAAGACAGCGCAATCCCTTTTTCACAATTCAAAAGAATAATACATAAACCAAGACTTTCCAGAAACTCCGGATATTCGCTTTAATGAGAAGAGACAGCTAGATTAGTAGTTGTTTGTCCAGAGCATTGGCAAAAGTAAAATATTGTGCTGTCATCAAAGAACATGTAATCTTTTGCATACATGCCTGTACATACAGTGCCCATTCCACTTCTCTGTCTCAAAAAGCTGAAGTAGATAAAAAGAGTGAAAGAAGCAGGATTCTGAGTAATTTCCTCCATTAAATTAAGATATGTGTAGGTGAATATGTTTTGTGTGTACACTGGAATAATTTTAGTCCCATTTAATACACAGTTGGGCAGTAACATCTTTGCTACAATATCATCATTTACAACCAGGATGATATTTGGAAATTTGAGTCTCCCCTTTAGCTCAAAAATGCTGTCTTGACAAAATCTTGTGGCATTAAAAAGTTGGGTAACACTTTACATTACGGGCCGGTAAGTCCATGGTACTTACAGTGGTACTTCTAGGTACTTACAGTGGTACTTCTAGGTACTTACAGTGGTACTTACGGTGGTACTTACGGTGGTACTTACGGTGGTACTTACGGTGGTACTTACGGTGGTACTTACGGTGGTACTTACAGTGGTACTTACGGTGGTACTTACGGTGGTACTTACAGTGGTACTTACAGTGGTACTTACAGTGGTACTTCTAGGTACTTACAGTGGTACTTCTAGGTACTTACGGTGGTACTTACGGTGGTACTTACGGTGGTACTTACGGTGGTACTTACGGTGGTACTTACGGTGGTACTTACAGTGGTACTTACGGTGGTACTTACGGTGGTACTTACGGTGGTACTTACGGTGGTACTTACGGTGGTACTTACAGTGGTACTTACAGTGGTACTTACGGTGGTACTTACGGTGGTACTTACGGGACTTACGGTGGTACTTACGGTGGTACTTACAGTGGTACTTACAGGGGTACTTACGGTGGTACTTACGGTGGTACTTACGGTGGTACTTACAGTGGTACTTACAGTGGTACTTACAGTGGTACTTACAGTGGTACTTACAGTGGTACTTCTAGGTACTTCTAGGTACTTACAGTGGTACTTCTAGTGGTACATCTAGGTACTTATTGTGGTACTTACAGTGGTACTTCTAGGTACTTACAGTGGTACTTAGAGGTACTTATTGTGGTACTTACAGTGGTACTTCTAGGTACTTATTGTGATAATTCTAGATACAGCTGTAACTTAGTAATTCAAGGACACTACAGTATTATTCCTATGTAGTAAATGTGGTACTTCTACATACATACATACAGAGGTCATTTGTAGGATTGTTTGACTATAAAACATAAAACAACATTATGTAAAACAAACGTCTTTATTAATATGGAATAAGTAGCACAGAAAGGACAGTATAAATACATTTAATGCATATTTCAAAACAAGTTTCAAGGACAAGGGAAACACTGCAAGAACTAGGTACCCAACCCAAGTAACAAGAATTACACATTACCAGGTACTTACCAGCCAAGTACCAGGTACTTACCAGCAAGTACCAGGTACTTACCAGCAAGTACCAGGTACTTAACAGCAAGTACCAGGTACTTAACAGCAAGTACCAGGTACTTACCATAGGGACTGGCCCATAATAAGACAAAGGACTTTAACATAAGTACCAGTGATAACACCAGTAATTATACAGTAAGTACCAGGTACTTACCATAGGGACTGGCCCATAATAAGACAAAGGACTTTAACATAAGTACCAGTGATAACACCAGTAATTATATAGTAAGTACCAGGTACTTACCATAGGAACTGGCCCATAATAAGACAAAGGACTTACCCATAAGTACTAGTGATACCAGTAATTATATAGTATACCATGTACTTACCAGCAAGTACCTGGTACTTGCTGGTAAGTACCTGGTACTTGCTGTTAAGTACCTGGTACTTGCTGGTAAGTACCTGGTACTTGCTGGTAAGTACCTGGTACTTGCTGGTAAGTACCTGGTACTTGCTGGTACTGCTGTAAGTACCTGCTGGTAAGTACCTGCTTGGGTAAGTACATGGTATACTATATAATTACTGGTATCACTAGTACTTATGGGTAAGTCCTTTGTCTTATTATGGGCCAGTTCCTATTGTAAGTACCTGGTACTTACTATATAATTACTGGTGTTATCACTGGTACTTATGTTAAAGTCCTTTGTCTTATTATGGGCCAGTCCCTATGGTAAGTACCTGGTACTTACTGTATAATTACTGGTGTTATCACTGGTACTTATGTTAAAGTCCTTTGTCTTATTATGGGCCAGTCCCTATGGTAAGTACCTGGTACTTGCTGTTAAGTACCTGGTACTTGCTGGTAAGTACCTGGTACTTGCTGGTAAGTACCTGGTACTTGCTGTTAAGTACCTGGTACTTGCTGGTAAGTACCTGGTACTTGGCTGGTAAGTACCTGGTACTTGCTGGTAAGTACCTGTTACTTGCTGGTAAGTACCTGGTACTTGGCTGGTAAGTACCTGGTACTTGCTGGTAAGTACCTGGTACTTGCTGGTAAGTACATGGTACTTGCTGGTAAGTACATGGTATACTATATAATTACTGGTATCACTAGTACTTATGGGTAAGTCCTTTGTCTTATTATGGGCCAGTTCCTATGGTAAGTACCTGGTACTTACTATATAATTACTGGTGTTATCACTGGTACTTATGTTAAAGTCCTTTGTCTTATTATGGGCCAGTCCCTATGGTAAGTACCTGGTACTCACTGTATAATTACTGGTGTTATCACTGGTACTTATGTTAAAGTCCTTTGTCTTATTATGGGCCAGTCCCTATGGTAAGTACCTGGTACTTGCTGGTAAGTACATGGTACTTGCTGGTAAGTACATGGTATACTATATAATTACTGGTATTACTAGTACTTATGGGTAAGTCCTTTTTCTTATTATGGGCCAGTTCCTATGGTAAGTACCTGGTACTTACTATATAATTACTGGTGTTATCACTGGTACTTATGTTAAAGTCCTTTGTCTTATTATGGGCCAGTCCCTATGGTAAGTACCTGGTACTTACTGTATAATTACTGGTGTTATCACTGGTACTTATGTTAAAGTCCTTTGTCTTATTATGGGCCAGTCCCTATGGTAAGTACCTGGTACTTGCTGTTAAGTACCTGGTACTTGCTGTTAAGTACCTGGTACTTGCTGGTAAGTACCTGGTACTTGCTGGTAAGTACCTGGTACTTGCTGGTAAGTACCTGGTACTTGCTGTTAAGTACCTGGTACTTGCTGGTAAGTACCTGGTAATGTGTAATTCTTGTTACTTGGGTTGGGTACCTAGTTCTTGCAGTGTTTCCCTTGTCCTTGAAACTTGTTTTGAAATATGCATTAAATGTATTTATACTGTCCTTTCTGTGCTACTTATTCCATATTAATAAAGACGTTTGTTTTACATAATGTTGTTTTATGTTTTATAGTCAAACAATCCTACAAATGACCTCTGTATGTATGTATGTAGAAGTACCACATTTACTACATAGGAATAATACTGTAGTATCCTTGAATTACTAAGTTACAGCTGTATCTAGAATTATCACAATAAGTACCTAGAAGTACCACTGTAAGTACCACAATAAGTACCTCTAAGTACCACTGTAAGTACCTAGAAGTACCACTGTAAGTACCACAATAAGTACCTAGAAGTACCACTGTAAGTACCTAGAAGTACCTAGAAGTACCACTGTAAGTACCACTGTAAGTACCACTGTAAGTACCACCGTAAGTACCACCGTAAGTACCACCGTAAGTACCACCGTAAGTACCACTGTAAGTACCACTGTAAGTACCACCGTAAGTACCACCGTAAGTACCACCGTAAGTACCACCGTAAGTACCACCGTAAGTACCACCGTAAGTACCACCGTAAGTACCACCGTAAGTACCACCGTAAGTACCTAGAAGTACCACTGTAAGTACCTAGAAGTACCACTGTAAGTACCACTGTAAGTACCACTGTAAGTACCACTGTAAGTACCACCGTAAGTACCACCGTAAGTACCACCGTAAGTACCACCGTAAGTACCACCGTAAGTACCACCGTAAGTACCACCGTAAGTACCACCGTAAGTACCACTGTAAGTACCTAGAAGTACCACTGTAAGTACCTAGAAGTACCACTGTAAGTACCATGGACTTACCGGCCCGTAATGTAAAGTGTTACCAAAAGTTGCATCTAAATGGTGTTGGTGATGCTACCACGTTCAATAGCAAGTAAGTATTTCCAAGCAAAGCAATAACATCTAATTTGTTAAAAGCCCTTAGGGACAGACATTGCAATTTTCCTTGGCTATGAATGTTGTAGTGTTTCACATGTTGATTGTGTGCATCAAATAAATCAATACATCAATCAATAAATCATCTGTAACAAGCAGGTATTGGAGTGCAAAAGTTGGAGAGTTTTTGCATGTGAAAGCCAGATCAGCAGATCAGTATTGTGATGAGAGACCTCTGAGAATACCAGGTGTTCACACTTCTGTCAGTGTGCCCCAGGGCAGCTGTGACTCCAGTAGTGTTTATTATCAGTAAGACCACATGAAGCATCTGTAAGTGACCAAAAAAAGCACTATATAAATTGTCTATGCATTATTTAAAGTTAAACAATGCAGCTTTAAACTGCAGAATCAAAATCAGAATCCTTTTATTGCCATGTGAGTAACTGGAAATCACAAACTAGGAAATTGCTTTGGCTCTCGGTGCAAACAAGTTAAAGCAGAATAAAAACAAGAAGGCGTGCATAAATAAAAATCTACATACATTTCTTCAGTTTATTATATACAAGTGAACTGGGAACCACTGTTTGAGAAACACTGCCTCAGATGTTATACTCAATCAATTCATTAAAATGTGGGTTACAATCTGGACCTTGCTTCGGCCTTTCCAACTATCTTGACTTGAAGTTTAAGAACTCTCTCTCTCTCTCACACACACACACGCTTGTATACAGACGCACTGAGCCCTATTTCAGGTGGCTGTCAGCGGGGGACAGAGGCGAGAGGAAACACAGGATGAATTCTCCTCTGCTTCATTCTATCACCGAGCCATGACACCCCTATTTACCTCCCCCATCTATCTCCTCCCTGACTGGACAAGCCCGAGCCGCTGGGGTGTGTAGCTGCTAATACGTTCGCCCGCTGGTGTGTGCGTGAGCGCCGGACCACGGTGTATCCGTGCGTCGGTCGTGATGGAGAGAGATAAATTGGGGGCTGTATATTGTAGTTTACTGTGTTAGAGCATGCTGAACTGAGCAGAATTCAAGTGTTTTGTTAAGATGCCTCAAATGGACTCGTGTGGTTAGACAAGGCTCCACAATTGGGAGAGAATGCAGGGATGTTTTCAGAATTTGCTGATGAAAGTGAAAGTGCATTCTCAACATTGTTCTTTTTGTCAATTGTTTTTATTAAATGTTTGTTTTGTTCAATAGCCGTCATCCGTATACACACATAAACATCTCAATTAAAAATCTAAATTCAATTCAATTTATTCTTGTATCGCCCGAAACAGTTACTGAATCTCGGATGTTGGTGCCATATGAACCAACACAGACTCTGAGGAGCACAGGTACTGACTTCTTGCTTAGACTTTGAGGAGTATAGGTACTACCCTCTTGCTTGGACTCTGAGAAGCACGGGGACTTACCTCTTGTGGGGTCTCTGAGGAGCACAGGGACTGACCTCTGCTTGGACTGTGAGAAGCACAGGGACTAACCTCTTGTGGGGACTCTGAGGAGCACAGGAACTGACCTCTTGCTTGGACTGTGAGAAGCACAGGGACTAACCTCTTGTGGGGACTCTGAGGAGCACAGGGACTAACCTCTTGCTTAGACTCTGGGGAGTATAGGGACTGACCTCTTGCTTGGACTTTGAGGAGCACAGGGACTGACCTCTTGTGGGGACTCTGAGGAGCACAGGGACTGACCTCTTGCTTGGACTGTGAGAAGCACAGGGACTGACCTCTTTTGTGGGGACTCTGAGAAGCACAGGGACTGACCTCTTGTGGGGACTCTGAGGAGCACAGAGACTGACCTCCTGGTGCCTTAAGTCAGGATATAACATAGGAGTCATGCAGCTAAAGTCTGCAGAAATCTTCACAAAAAACCTAGTAGAGAGTCTTCTGGAGAATGACTAGAATATCTTTTAATTCAAAGTGAAAACGCATGACCATGGTTTGAGAAAGAGAGAGAGATAGAGTCCAACTGTGGGAGAATGAGAGTTCAGAAAAGGGCCTTTTTTCTCCGAGCCAAAATGAGGTTTTGTAATTGGACACAACTCTCGGGTTTTGGCCCGTGAACGCTCTTTCATATTTTCACTGCGACATATGGAGTGTGAAGACAAACTATTGACCAGCGGCCGAGAAAAAGGAGAGACGACAGAGGAACCAACACGGTGATACCAGCGGAGGATTCATAGTAAAGCAAAAGTGGACCAGAGCTGTCCTGGTTTGATGCACAACTCTTATCCACACAGAAGAACCCCAGTGCACTTCAGAAGGAGGCCGTGTTTACCTTTTATTTTTACACAGGGAAAAGATGAGAACTATCAAGACTCTGGACTATACGACCAGAAAAAAGTGTTTTCAGCTAAACCAGTCCTGCTTGATTAAAACAGAAGTAAACCTAACATTCTTCTATTTAATACATACTACACTTTTGTCCCGACAGACAGAGGTGATATATTCTGCAATATATACTTTTTTTTGTCTTCTTTAAGTTTTTACTTTCATTGCAATGTTTAAATGATGTGTAATAAATACACACATACATACACATGTGTAACTACATACACATACATGCACACGCACATGACAGTAATACAACAGGATAAATAATATTTCAATAATAGATTTGATGACATTGTACCACTGAGACGTCACACTCAGAGCATCTTAGTTTTGATGTGAAGTTACGTTCTTTACAGTCACACGGCTGTGGTTGCAGCCGGTTATTTTCAAATTTGGAATAAAAACAAAAGTCCTTCCTCTGGAGGTAGCATAGGGTCAGAGCAACCTAATAGCAGCCCTTGATATTTGTTTCATCATATATTTTTTCACTTTATGAAAATTAAAATGAAAGTATGTTCTCAATATAATTTTAATTGCCAAAAACAATGTGTATAATGTGTCATCTTTAGGTATCTATTAGTAAAAAAATCAGACCATAACTTCTTTATTTCATGGCGTTATATGGGACCCCTGAATCCAGCCTCTTTCATGCATCTGAAGACTGTCTGCCCCGACTCGTGGGATCCCTCTCTCACTGGGTTCCTTGCTGAAACAGGAGGGTCTAAAAACAGGAGGGTCTAAGAACAGTGAACAAGGACATTTATGGACATTTATTAACATTTATGGACATTTGTCATCCCACCCTCTATGGACTAGGGCAGGGGTCTCAAACCTGCAGCCACATGCCCCTTTCTGGAATCGGTTTGAGACCCCTGGACTAGAAGCTCCTTGATGTTTGTTATTTCCTGTGGTCGAACTGTTTCATCTGATCTGTTGTCATAAAGGGCGATAAAAAAAAACATTGAAATGAATTGGTTTCCAGGGTACCGTTATGTTAGCCATGGATCATGTGCCTGCATTTCTGTCTTTAATAGTTTCCTCAACCATTTGATGGATCTTTGGTGGTGGACTTTGTGAGTCACTATTTCTATATGAAGCTAGGAACTAAAATCCACCTCATTGGGGCATCTCTGTCACTTGGCTTTAGACACTTTACCATAAGTCACTTTAATAATGACCTGCACTCAGACTGAAGAACCAGCACTGCTATTTCCACTTTTTTATTGTACATAAAATATCCTGCACAGGCTATATTTTAACCTTGACATGTTTGCACACTTCTGTCTTTTGACTGATTCTATCTATGCCAAATGTGACGCGTAAATTTCTCCATTATGAGATCAATAAAGCGTATCTTATCTTATCAAAGTGTATCTCAACTATTTGGTGAAGGACTATAATAAAAAATAAAAAAACGAGGTTAACCACCCCTCAAAAAATACGACATTAAAAGTTTACGTGCTCATGGGAGCTTTTCTTCAGAGTCCAATATTCTGGAGTCATGCACTTTAATATTATGAAAGAAAATCTAAACGTGCATATTTCAAACTGCCGCACATGGACAGCCACACATCCACAATTATGTTTCTTAACAAATTGCTTTGCGAAAGTTTACAACAGTTATAAATATCAAATTGTGCTCATGAATATTCAACATCTGGGTAATCTCTTTGTAATTGTGTGAACTTTATCAGGTTTTTTAAAGGCACACTTAAAAAGGAAATGCATGCTGTCAGCTGCCTTATCATAAATGTGAACGTGGCGGCTTTTCGAGTGTTAAATGTATTGTAGGAAAGCACAGTTTAAACGCTCATTTATCTTTTAGCGATCCGCCTGTGCCCCTAAATCTTGCACCTGCCACATTCCCACAGTGTGACCTTGCAGTGAACGCTGTAATTGTAATTTGTGACAATAAAAAAGTGAAGGACATGGACTCCGCACTCGCCCATCCTGTCAAGGGGACGATGGAATATGGCTTAAAGGCCCAACTGTGTCTTTCTCTGGAGGGGGTCCGCCTCGTGCTGGAGTGGAATGGATTTAGTTTACACAGGATTGGGCGGTATAAATAAAAAAAATAAACTACAATTCAACTTATCTTGATCTTAATACATTTTCTTAAATTTCTAAACAAAACATGAAAAATTACCCAAAAAAATATCAATTTTGTTCCCTCATCAGATTCAGATTCATGTATTTGCCATTTGCAATACAACCACATTGGAATACATTTGCAAAAGTACCCAGAACTTGGGTTGTTTTTGAATCCATCCACGCTAATATCGAGAAATTCTGGCACAAACATGTAACTCCGCCCCTTCTGTCTAAAAGATCCTGTTTCCGACCATTTTAATAGCATGATGTCATTGTACCACGAAGGCGTCACTCTCAGAGCAGTTTTCTGCCTTTTAAACAAAAGTATTGACCATAAATTAGTTATAGACAATATCTCTGTTTCAATTGCATTCTTTATTGTTTGGCTGTAAGCACCGCCATCATTTTTGTCTCAATTGTCCTATTATAATGTTTAATGGGAAAAAATTATGCAGAATCTTTCTCCTTTAAAAGTTGTAAAATTCATGTAATTAGTTTTCGCTTTCCAAGACATAAGTGAAAGGGACAGGACTACCCTCACATTACTGACATGGTTCTTTCTTACAAGTACTGGAAAGATAACATATTTCTAAGCAGATAAAGACAACATGTTGCGGTCACATTTTACTTTTCGTCAGGACAAACAATATGTTGTTTATTTACCCCCACTTTAAAACAAGTTTTGCCAATGGGACAAACTAAAAAGGTGTTTTTTAACAGCAAGCGATGTGGTCACAACTGAAAAAACACTTATTTCAGTACTGGCAATAAACACCCAAATGACAGCTCTCAAAACACTTTAATAAACAGGTTTTATCATACTTGTCTTTCTTTTTTTCTTTTTTAAATAACTAAACAAAAACATAAAATGGGTACATTCTGGTACAGCCAATCAGCTCTCAGCCCAAAGTATCATAATGGCTCTTTTTAGACGTTTTTTAACAATATGTTTTTTGTTTTCTTTCAAATGAGATGAATATAGCTTGTGTTCTGATTCTATGACAGTAATGTATACTTAATTGAATAAAAGTGCTCAGCTTTAAATCGTACCAGTACACAATCCTCCCATGTATTATATATACGTCAAAGATCTTTTTTGTTGGTCTGGTGAATTATTGTTTTGTAATTGTGTTTTCTTTCCACGTTTTGTGGAAGTCGCTAGTTAGTTTACTACAAGTTAATCTTACTTTTCAACCAAAGAGGTCAAACTGAACAAAAATAGCGGACCACAACTGACCCACACCCATGTACCGTATGTTATTCTATGCTGGTCCCACCCTAGCTGAGCCCTCCACATAGTAATCTTTGGGGCCCCTGAGACAAGATGCAAAAACTATGTGAAGGCTCCCCTCTCTATAAGGTTCTATAAGTATAAGTCTCTCGGGGACTCCATGTGCATAACCTCAAAACCCTCTTCC